AAATATTTGGGTGATGATACTTCACTACTATTTACATAGGAGAAAATGAAATAGTCAGATGAATCAATAAAGAAACTGTACCATAACCATGGCAAATAAAATATAAGTGCCTGGCTAATTTCAATGCAGATGAAAATGTTATGGTTGGTAGGCTATAAAAGTTAGTCAGAGTGAACTTTAAGGTTCAACCATATATTGTTTAAAGTACTTGCCTCAGTGATTGTTAGCCTGTTTTAGTGATTGTAAACCTCAGTTTTTGATATTTCCAAAATTATAGGGGGGAAAAGGGGAGGGGGTGTGCTACTGAGGCCCTGCTAATTGCCATCTCTTAATTCTATTTGTTTGAAAAGCTTCTGGTAAAATCATAGACTGGCAGCTTTAATAAGTTAGAGCATATGTACTAAAAATTATCAGCAATTAAAAATTTGCATCAGAAAAAATTGTAATCATAAAAAGACTAAGTACAGAAATCAGCTAATTACTCTTGCAAAACTGGATGGTAATAAAATGCTAGACTCTTTGACAATTACAATACAATACTGGAGTCATATGACATAACTTGGTGCTATATTGTCTAAATCAATAACTATTTAGTCAACCAGAATTACTATAACTATAAATTAGGCGGCTGATGTTTATCTCAAATAGTTTGTCTGGATGAGATGTCATATGATACCTGTATTTCATTGTAAAGGGGGAAATATTATAAACATACCAAATAGACCTTGGAGGTTCTTACCTACACATTGAGTCAGTTTAGACTAAGAAGCCCCTTGATTCGAAAAAATGTCCATCTGTTTATTTGATGTACATGTACACGAATTCAACAAAATTAAATCAACCATGTAATGAATTATTGCGTCAACATCAATCAGAAATCAGAAATGTGTGGAAATCTACCAAATTTATATCAGAAGTAAAAACAAATGAAATTTTTACATATTCTTATACAGTAAAATCTATTTTTTTCTACAGTCCATTTCTACGTATCAGCAGTTTTTTGGGGATGACCTAATTAACCATTAATAAATTTGGTTAACAGCAAACCAGTGATAGTCTGATGTTTTTAATTGAATACCATGCTATTTTCTTACCTTGAACTACAAAAAAATTTATATACATGTATGTAAGCTTGAGAGAACTGGAATCCAAAAATAATTAAAAAGCAATCAATGAAATAATCTCTACAAATCATGTTAAAGATACTGAACAAGAAATTGGACGTCAGACTTGTGATAGACTTACCATTGGTTGTCCTTTATACTCTATTTCCCTTTCAAACAAAAAAATCTTTCAATTATTGTGAAAACCATAAAATATTCACTTAAAGGCTTCAATTACATCATTGTCATAATTGATTGTCTTACATTGTGTTGATATATATATATGAATCATTACATTCAGTCTGGAAGTTATTAGTGGCATAATGTTACAATCAAGAAGGGAGAAAAAGGATACAGGGTAGATTTACTGAGACATCACACAACAGCCCGTGTGGATTTTGCTTTTTCCACCGGCCCACCGTGTGCAGTCCACCTGTGCCCACTCTAGCTATAATCTCTTTTTTGTAAAAATATTGATTACAAATGCTTATCTGCTTTTTTCAAGTGATTGTACTTGCAAGTCTTTAGATGAAACAAAAGAAATTGAATGCCCACTCCTACAGGTGGGCAGAGTGGACAAGGTACAAATTTTGCCCACCCGGTGCCCACTCCCATGGTGGGCCGGTGGACAAAGCAAAATCCACCCGAGCTGTAGTGTCATTTTGATACACACAAATGTAAGAATGTAGGAAGAAAAGTCACAGAAAAAAGTCACGGATAAAAAGTCACAGGAAATAAAGTCACAATAATAAAAAAAATTGTAAATATAGTATATTAAATTTTTATTAAGATGTAGGCAGAAATTATTTCAAATATATACAAATTATATATTGTACGGAAAGTCACAGGAAAATTATTTGACCTGAATTTGTATATGTAGTAAATCATATCAACTGAATAGTGTTTCCGAATACTTCAACATCTTTTAAATTTCTAATGTTAGAATACAGGGGTGTGGTATTTCAATGTTTGTGTTTATTGCAATTTAATAAATTCACAAGATTAAAATAAACGGTTGTCCATGAAAATGTCATGTTTAAAAAAAAATTGTTTTGAGAAGAAACAAGAGTGTATCCATAGTACACAGATGCCCCACTCATACTATCATTTTCTATGTTCAGTGGACTGTGAAATTGGGGTCAAATCTCTAATTTGGCATTAAAACTAGAAAGATCATATCATATGGAACGTGTGTACTAAATTTCAAGTTGATTGGACTTCAACTTCATCAAAAGCTACCTTGACCAAAAACATTAACCTGAAGCAGGACAGACGCACAAAGAACGAACGAACAGATGCACAGACCGAAAATCATAATGCCCCTAAGTGGGGCATAAAAAATTGATACATGTATGTTGTGCAAATTTGCCGTAGATGTGAGAATTTACCATCCCCCCAAAAGTTGATACAATGAAATTGAGAAAAATTATTACCGGTTAAAATGTTTTTGTTTTTAGTAACATGTCTTTGGACTCCAATCATACCCCCCCCTCAAAATTCACTAAAGTATAGACACATTTTTGTAAATATTAGTGTTTTCTTTTACTACCTGTAAAATAATTTCCTAAAAAAAATCATACTTATTAATAATAGCAGATATTATAAATTAAACAGTCAGTGTGACTAGAATGACAATCAATTAACTAAACCAGTTCCTGCTGAAATTTGTTGCAAGCCTACAGCCATTTACTACATTACAGATTCTTTCAAAGATAGTGTGCAGTATGCACATAATGTTATTGACTTTTTCCTATGCTGAATTCTTTCTTAAATACAGTGGATTTAGTCAAGAAGATAAAATTGGCCAAAATGTATACCTGATTGTGCATTAAAATTCTCTTGAAAGAGAGAAAACAGAGTAGAGTAGCTAATTAAATATTGGTCAAAGCAGTCAATATTGTGACATCACAAGAAATTCATCAATTCCTATCAACATGATCAACTCATTGCAAATTACTTGTACAGTACCAAATAACTTTATTTCCTCTTATGCATTTGTAACTTTCTAATTGTCCAATGTTAAAATTGGATGAAGATCACAATTTTCATGTATTTGTAATGTTTATTGGTAATTCCATCATATATATATATATAGCATGAGTTCGAATCCCGGCGAGGGAAGAACAAAAATTTGCTTCCGCAAATTTGCAGATTTATCATTGTTGTGCTGTATTTAGAGTAATTATGAATATAATATGCGTTTCAGCCGTGTATCACCTTCACTGGTGATCCAATGCTTGGATCTGTCGAAGAGTTGTCACTTGTTTAGACGTACTTATATATATATTTATTTTAATCAATTGCAGGAAAGAAAATTAACAGAGTCCCAGTAGGACATGGTCCCCTAAACTTTGACATGTGGAAATGCATATCAAGACAATAATTCTAATTGATATATACATTATACATATTGTGTAGTGGTGGTCACTTTGTTTACTTGTTTATTCTATTTATTTGGGGAAATTGGTTAATGTTATAGTATTATTTATAGTTCCGTAACTCTTTCTCCCGATACCGGCCATGTAAATTATTCTTGTCGGGACTTCCTGCTTCTGCATGTGCCTGACTTCCGGCCCGGCCGAGCTCGTTGACCCGAGGAACTATAAGTATGACGTCACTCACCGGGTTCAGGGCAGTCTACACTTAGGATTTGAAATGAGCAGACGCTCATACGGTTTGGCTTGCAAATAGGGAACTTTACAATGACAAGTAGACTAGCCACGACCGTATATTTTATTATTCTTGTATGTAACTTATATTGAGCCATAACGTATGTCTCTTAATAAACATCTTGTTTATATTTACGTGGTTTTATAGTTTGTCAAATATCCCAGAACTTGGGTAGACAACGGGAAGACAACGAAGTCAGTAGGAAACTTCACTCCCGTTACAATTGTATTGCCATGCCTGTACATAACAATTATCACATCTGCATCTGTATACAATGTTGGTTAAAGGTTGCTTTTATTTAATTTAATGCATATATTTGGGGCATAATTTTATTTTGGATTATTAAATGACAATACAAAATAAAAGTTTCTAAATATAAATTTTTAAAAAAGTCTACTAAAAGATAATTGAACAAATTACGTCACTGTTCATCATGTGAAGTGAAATAGCTGTGATATGTTTTTAGATGGAATAGTTTGGCAAAAATGTGCATATTCCTTTCTGCATGTATATAATTAAAGACATTCATTTGATACATGAAGATCAAAGCAGACATACTATTGTTCATTTTTACCATTCTCGAAGTTGGAATGTTAAAAGATAATCTACATCATCAATCAATTTTATTTACATCTTAAAAATATAAAAAAAAAGATCAGCACACAGCTTTCAGTATTGGCTATTTCAACTTGCACATTTTCATAGTTTCAATCCAAAAAGTTGTCATTTACCTTTCTTTGTACAAATATAACTTTCAAACTGAAAATATATACATGTATAAGCAAATCACAATATTGCACATTACAAAAGTGCATATACATGTACATGTATATGTCACCCTCTAGACTTAAGATGAGTTTCCTATTTCCGTTTTATGACTTAACTGGCCCTGTTGACCTGGGGGTAATTCAGGGGAAAGGTGTCAAAAGACACTGTGACATGAAGATATTTGTTTTGTAGAATAAGATTTTCCAGGAAAATGCATTAATTCAATAATTGGGAGAATAAGTATTGCTAATTTATATTTTAAATTCCCTTCTTTATTCAAATCTTTACACTATGAGCCAATACTTACTGGTACATGTATGTGATTTACAAATTATATTGTAGATCAAAGCCAACAGGACTGCTAGGGAGGTCTAGATGTACATTTGTCTGGATACAATTCCATCCCCCCTTTTTTCTATTTACTAAGCAAAAGAAAGGACTTCACCAAGATAAACATACCCTTAACATATGGTGATGGAACAGTAAAATCTTTAACACTTCCTTCGAATTCCACTTCTCCTCCAAATTGTTTTGCTATTTCTTCTTTTTGAACCCTGGCTTCATCAAATGACATTTCATAGTAAGGCTTGTTATTTCCATTTTCGGTTCTTAGCTTAAAATAGCTTTCTGTCTCTTCGTGCACTTTGTATTTCTTTTTTAAATCATTTAAAGCTTCAGACATGGCTATTGTTTGCAATCACATCACACCTTTAACATATTAATGAACCAAAATAATCTTATTTTGCTACCGGTGAATTTCTTTCACTTCCGCTGAAATGCAAAGTGGACTATTCCACTTTATTTTTGTAGGGGAAAAACCACATCAAAGTGAAAGTGAAAGTCCATCAAAGTACTATCAGTGCTAGTCAGATTCCTGCTTTTCAAAGATTTGTGTTTATAGCCTTTATACTTTATGATGATTTATTTACTACCGGTATTATTTAAATGAAAGAACGTGAAATTTATATGTTATAAATTGTGTATCAGTTTTATTTTACCGGTAGTTTAAATCAATTGACCTGGGCAGTCATCAATGTATTATTTTCACAGATTTTTGGCTGCTTGGTGACATTTACAGTATTTTTAAACATCTATTTTTAGCAATAGTATCCATATATTTTGTAAATCCACAGTAAAACCAGATTACAAGTAAATAGACCCTGCTTGCATTTTATAAACAGATTTTATTTTTTGCCTTATCTTTCAGTTTGGAAAAAAAAAAAACATCTTATTAATCCTTTATCATTTATCTTTGGCACATAATTTACAGCATAATTTTATGTAGTGTGGATGAAATGTAATTATTGATGAATCATTTCAATAGATTATAGATCATCAATCTAAGATTCTATTGAGGTCAATTATGTAATACAAGAGCATGTATTGTATAAAATGATTTAACATACTTTCTATTACACAATGTAATACACAATTCTTGACCTCAATTTGCCTTAGGAAAGAAAATGTAGAATGATGACATAGTTCCAGCTTGGCTGGATCAAAAGCTAGGTCCTTACAACATGTTATTGTACAAAATTTGTAGTTGTTTCTTAGGTTCTGTGGATTCATTATTATTCGTGGAATACCAATTTTTGTTGATTTCGTGAATGATCTAGACACAAATTTTTAAATGTTCTAGAAGTACAATTTTTTTATAAATGCTTGTATGCAGACTTTAGCAGAATCATGAAACCAAATATCAACAAAAATACAGTTTTTCCTCAATCCACGAAATTGGTATCCACGAAAATAAATGAATTCACAGTATATCAGAGGTTTTTTTTTGTGTTGATGGTTTCCCAATGGGACAATGCAAAAGGAACTCTCCAAATGGCAGATAGTTTAGTTGGTAGATCAGATCCAAAGTGACTAATACCTCACCATGAATTTTAATTTATGTCATACTAAATCAATGTAATAGTATTTTTTATGTTTGTCAAAAGGGGTACGGTGAAACTTGAGTTAACGTTTGAGTTTAATTGTCAAATTCCACACAGTCTATGAGTTGACCTTTTAATTTGAGTCAATCTGTCAGTCTTTTATTTTATTTCTTCCTAACAGAATAGTCAGATCATAACATTTCACCAGTAATTGAACTTCAATTGAAGTATGATATTTTACAGATATGTTGTAGAAAGATTTAATGATAAACTGTCAAATGATTGAACTAGCTGCAATTAGTGTAATTTACAAATACAAAAGTAAAAACATAATGTATCTATAACTTTTTCAAATATATGATTGAAGATTCAAACTGATTGCCTAATCACAAAGCAATGTAACAGTTGGAAAGCCATTGAACATTATTGAATCACTAGCTATCACACTTTGTCTTAAATTTTCAATCAGATTTCAATACAGACAAGAACAATATGACATGCTAAGTCATATATAGTAAACTCTTCAGATATATTTTATGTGTATTTGTTGTATAAACGATTGCAATATACTTATCCCTCAAAGAACTCTTGTCAGGCTAAGACCAGCCATCTTGAATGGCTGATTTGGTAAATGAATATAACTTTTAAAGTAGTCATTTGTGGATTGTTTTGTACATAAATCAGGCCTATAATGGTTTACTTTGACCTATACTGGTTTACTTTTATAAATTGTGACTTGGATGGAGAGTTGTCTCATTGGCACTCATACCACATCTTCTTTTATCTCTTAGTTTGAATTAATTTACATTTGTCATTTTAGGGGCCTCTTATAGCTGAATACCTGTATGTGCTATAGCTTTTGCTCATTGTTGAAGGCCGTACAGTGACCTATAGTTGTAAACTTGTATGTCATTTGGTCTCTGGTGGAGTGTTGTCTCATTGGCAATTATACCACATCTTCTTATTTTCATATGATATACAAAGGTTTTGTTCCAATGAGCATTATTCAATAATGAAATACTGCCTTTAACACAGAATATCTTTTCTTTACATACCGGGTATATAAAAGACTAAGAGTAAATATTGATAAAATTTTATGTTACATGACAATCCAACAGTACATGCAGTTCCCATTGTGTTTCAAAGAAAATTGGTACAGATTTTATGGTGTGATGGTTTAATTAATTTGATCTACCTATATGGCAATGATCTATATTAAGAACTTATAAAATTATTAAAAGAAGTCTGACCTATAATTGTTTACTTTTACAAATTGTGACTTGGATGGAGAGTTGTCTCATTGGCACTCATACCACATCTTCTTATATCTATTGACACCTCTATTTCTGTATTCACAAAACATCTGTCTGGAAGAGCCTTCATGGGTTATGCACCAGACCAAAAGTTTGAGGAGCTAAAGTCATATAATTTTTAAAATTACATGTCATCCATAATAGGAACAAACTAAAGTTAAGTCCAAAAAAAACCCCTCATGACTTTTATACCTTTTTGGAGAATCTTGAAAACTTCAGAAAAGTAACTAATAGTCTGTTTAATGGAAACTTGTCAACGGAATTCTGTACAATATGTTACAATTTAACATTTATGATACTTCTAGCTTTAACCTTCGGTAACATTATGTTGCTTAATCTTTAGTTTTCTGTGCAATGTCTTTCCATCGTTTTTATTTTGCCCATGGTGTCTGTTTTTTAAAATATAAGACTTTTGATTTTTGATTGTCCACTTCACTATTAGCAATATTTTTTGTTAATAATGAAACTAGTTTATTGGTATATATATATATGCATTTACTCTCTGTTGAAATCATTCAAAGACCTTATAATGTCAAATACTTGATCATGTTATATCCCATTCAGTAGCATATACTATAGTGTTCAGCATGTTTTCTACTCTCTGTCCATCCTTCAATCATAATCTAAATTGATGTTTCGTTGTGTTGTTACAAATTTCTAAAAACTGTCAAGACTGTGTTATAAGACTTAAATTAATTAATTTCTGAAAAGTATATGGATTTTGAGGTGATATACAAAGAATAATTTGTCTTATGCTTAAAACTGCATTTAAGAACTGTGCTACACAAAACATTTATATACTGGTATATATATTTTTATTTATCAAGAATAGATAACATGAACTAATTATGAACGAATATAATGAGCTAGTAAAATCACCTAAAACATATGATATATATTGAAATTTGCAATTATGCACTTTTTACAAAATGTTAGTGAACCTTTACGATTCAATGTTATATTTTACACTTTAATATCCACACTAAACCATTAGGAATGCTCTTTAATGAACTGCGTACATCTTTCTATTGGTTTCTTACAACATTCTTTAAAATGGCCTACAAAAGAAAGGAAAATTTAATATTCATATTGGCACCAAGGGGAGATAATCATATAATATATCTTAAATAAAATTTGGAAAGTTCTTTATTTTGTATTATTCAGATTATTCTATGATATTTATTTCCAGGAAATTTTTTTTTCCACATTTAGTCCTTTTAACTGATATTGGGGCAGTTTATGCAGTTTTCTAACTTTGTTGTTCATATAAAAGAAGATCAGAGATTGCAAATAGGGGCAAATAATCTCCAAATGAGAAGTGCTTATTATAAATGCATACCCAATATCATTGACTAACCATCAGTGGTTTATCTATAACTGACCCAATCACAAACTTTAACATGTAAACTATGCAAAAGTTTCAAATTCAAAATAAGCCACAACTGAGAGGACAGGGCCAACTAATCAGCAAATCTCTATGGAAATGAGATGTGCTATAATGATTATACAATTATACAATTTCATACCAAATATCATAGACTTATTATTACCCGGTAGAGGTTCTCCTTAACTTACCTAATCACAGCAAATGTAACCAAATTGCTGTTTGAGCTGCCACCTGAAACAGCATTCTTAACTCATTCGCCCCCAAGAGATTTCTGGAAAATCAGGCATTTTCGAAAATTTGCAATCATATGCAAATTATATGCAAATTAGCAGACTCTTGATGCTGTAACTGATGCTCATCTATTAAACTATGTATTGAGATTTGGGGGCGGATGGCATGGGTCGGGGGTGGGGTGGGAGGTGGAATATTTTCTCGTGGGTTTGAACCCACCCCCACTGAAAAATGTTAATTTTCCGACTATTTTCCGATTTTAAAACGACCTTGATAGGTGAACATTGACCAGACTGTTTTTCTTTGTCATTCAAGTATTACCCTATAGTTACAGCAGTACATTCATGCTAACTGGGAGTATATTGGACTTAAGTGTCTTGCTGGGGAATTATTATTGTCAAGTCAGGTCTGCCTAAATGTCCGTTTTTACGGATTTTTGACAAAACGGTGACCTAGATTTTACAGACTAGATTCCTATTGGCCATATTATACCTCGTTGTGTTCCTGTACCACCTATGCATGCATTTATGATAATAGTTTATACCTACAGTCACTACCAGTTACGTAGTGGCAATCAAAAGATGCCCACCCCCACCTGATTTTGGCTACTTTTCACGTTTTTTTCGATTTTGAACTCTTAAACGGCTTTCAAAGTGCCATATTTTCATGAACAGACATCTGAGAAGAGTTTATGGACCATGAACTGCTTGGTTGAAGTCCCTGCTATCATGACAGTTCAGCTGGGGCAGTTCAAAAAAGGTATGGAGGGTCATACGGGCCATCAAAGAATGGTTGTCGCCATCACGCCTACAGGCGGGATTGGGGGCTAAAGGGTTAAGTCTCTCCTTTGAGACTTTGTCTATAGATCTTAATTTCCATGTAAAAATTTAAAAAAAAATTTATAAAAAAACCTGTCTAAACCACAACCCTAAAAAAATGAAGATTTTGATCAGATTAGACAGGCGTTCAATTTCCACAGGTCAAATTACCAAAACATATTCATAACATGTCCTGATATAATAGATTGATTTTGTCAGCTTTACTGTTCACACAGCATTCTGCTAATAAATAAAAAGGAGATGTAATACGATTGGATACCCCTATCTATAGATCAAAGGACAAAACTAACAAAATAAAAGAAGAACGTGTCCATGGGACACAGATGCCCTCATTTGTAAATAAACGATAAATTCAGCAGTGTTTCCATTTATAAAGGGACATAACTAAAGAACCCTAATAGTGACACCTTCCACATCAGAACTTGATCTGTGTTAGGTGGTAATAAGCATTGTATGTAAGTTTCATAACATGACATTTGGTTGATACAAAGTAAAGTAAGAGTGCAGAAACAGCAAATTCAGCATATTTTCCATTTATAAAGGGACATTACTCAAGAATGGTTGAAAGTGATGCCACCCAGATTCGAACTTGATCTTGTGGTGTCTTGATTGCCCAAAGAAAGACCTCCCTAGGGTCGGTCTTTCATTCGAACTATCCTGACACCCCTCAGTGTGTTATACGACAAGAAAGACCTTCAAATATGCATTATCTATAACTTAAAAAGCAGTCTGTTTCCACATAACTCACCTGGCATAGTAAAGAAAGCATGGACAACACCTTGGACAAGTAACAGTTCACTGCTGGTTCCAGATGATTTCATCTTCTCATGGTACACTGTAAATTAATAATTGTATATTTAGAAAACATCAACAGGAACTCATCAACAAGTCAATTCCACATTTCAATAATTACTGAGTAAACTATTTGCTGAATATTTATAAATGTTTAATAATTCAATACTGTAAATTCAGAAATTTATACATGAATTTATTATTGCAATTGTTGAAAAATGGGCAAAATGTGAGATTAAATTCTGCAGTTTCAGAAAAATGATGCCTACAAATAAAATGCTATCAAAATTTCAATTGCATTTTTTTATTTTTACAAAACCTATCTCATTGAATTTTTTGCAAAAATAAAAAAATTGCAAAAATTTCTTAATTTACATTATGTATTTATGAATATATACCCTCCACTCAATTGAGAACCTGTGTTTTTTCAGCCTCATTTCCAGAGAACCCATCAGGAAAGCTGATACCCACAAACTTTTTTTTTCTCAAATTCAATACTGCTATAATTAATATTTTCAAATGCACTGTAGTTTGCTCTTAAGTGCCAATCTGCCTAAGAATCAGGCAGTGGTGTAAACATGACAAACAAAAACCCACTCAAGTTGACATTAATTTATGTTCAAAATGTATAATGGTGCACGAATATAATATTTGTTTCCTTTTCCTGTTCTGGTAATTCAAGTTATGATTTGGTTGAAATGCACTAGAAATTAACAATTAAGGGGAGCTAACTCCATAATTTGCTATCATTCTGACCAAAATTTACCTAGAGATTTCTCGAATTACCAGACACGCAGAAACGAAAGACCTACCATTTCTAACTCAGGATGAGGGTAACTTCAAAATAGGATGGTTAAGTCGGTAGGTTTTTTCCGGCCATGTTTTGATTTCTTTCAAAATTGCCTGATTCTTACAAAGACTGGCACATAATCCTGTATAAAGAGAATGATGCCTTGCTTTTTTTTTCAACCTGAGTCTGTTAATTTTGTGTTGGATTCAGCCGTACACACTACCCTTTTTATTTACCAAACGGAGTTTTCTTTAATATCTATATGATTGATTGTTAATTGCTTAATATCCAGTGGCAAATATTTCATGAATATTCAGGATAAGCTGTATAATATGTATGTTATATCCAAATATTATGGCATTTTTCTATTACACTTTTATCAGCTTTAAGAACATCTATAGAATCAAATTTTAACATGTGATGTGAGGTAAATTATAAGACAATATCCTGTCAACACAATCAAAACAAATATAGACATCAAGCGGTTATTCCCCTGTTTATATATTTTACCAATGTTGAATTTCCCCCTTTTTTACATACATATGGCATTATCTCTGAGTGGATCAATATCAGCCACAATAACTAAAGCTGGTGGTAACTTAGAAAAACTCTTGGTATCATTCCGTAATGGTGAACCTCTCAAACTTGCCTTGTCAGATTCATTTGAAAAATAATTGCCAATAAACCTGAAAATAAAGAAATCAGAGAACATACTAAAAATCATTTAAGGAAAATTAAGATGTCAATATATTTGTCTTTTGTTATTGAGCATATAACCTATCATATGAAAATATTATAGTCAGTACTTTTATTGTCTTCATTTGTCAATTGAAAATCACTGTCTTTAAATTGCACATTGAGCACTTCAATCCATATAAAGTTTTGGCCCCCATTTTCATTCATTATTTGTAAACAAAAAATGGCAACAATTATTAGATGACAAAATAATTTAGAGGAAGCAGTTCTTTTTTCAGATTTTTGTTTAAATATAACTAAGAAATAGTATGTTAATTTGTTTGGGGTTTAAACCAATTTGCTGATTGCTTTAAATTTTGTGTCAACTGTTTTCATAAGTTAACATTGTTTCATAAGTAAAAAAGCAAATCAAACACAGATTACTTTACTTCTGTTTCATATGAGTGCTTAAAAAGCATTGATTAAACACTGTACTGATTTTAAAGAGTTATCTCCCTTACCCTAGATCTACAACCCCCCCCCCCCCCCCCCCCCTCCTTTTATACAGTGTACTGAATTCTTAATACCAGTCTATCAATTGTTTAGTAAGTGCTGGTCCTCTGATAAACTCTTGATGTGCTGGAGACGAGTGTGTACTATCAACACTAGGATACACCAAAATCTGAAAAGTAAATATTTTAAATTGTAATTTTTGCTATCAACCAGTATTACCTTTTTATGATTTTCATGGTTTTATCTACAACAGATTACTAAACATCTGATGTATGTACTTTTCATGTATTCAAAAATAAAATAAAAATTAAATCGAGAATGTGTCCATGGGACACAGATGATTCCCCCGCTTGCATATAATGTTGTTTTGTGGTAATAAGCATTGTGTATAAGCCCAATTTGGTTGAGGCAAAGTAAAGTTAGAGAAGAAAAACTTATTTTGGGACGTACGCACAGACAGACAAGGGTAACATTCAATGCCACCTCCACCGCAGCAGGTGCACAAAAATCATGATTACGATTACAATAGATGAAAGAAAATCTTTCCTGACCAGTAACCGCTGAAAATTGTATATGATCTGAAAATCCTCCTGATCAAGAAAACTTTTATATGACAACCTATAGCTAATGAAATGGCCTATGACATCAAATCATATTTGTGTGTTTACAGTGAAATGTTTGTCCAACCATGGTTTGATGATTCGTAAAACTTCTGTTTGGACTGACCTGATAATCTATACCTTGTTCTTCATGGCATACAACAGCCGCCAATCGACCTCCAGCACTATCCCCACCTGCTCCAATTGTACTTCTGGATGATCCACCTGTCAACAGATGCACAAGTTTAAAACAGGTTGGTAGCCAATGACTGGCAAAGATTTGAAAAACAACATAAATCTTAAAAATATATGGTCAGTTACAATAAACAGTTGCTGTGACATATTTTTATAAGAATTTGCATTATACGGCTAGAGCATGATAAACTTTAAACTGCAAATTGAAAAAAAATATGAATTTATATTTTTATCCTGATGTAATAAGAACTTAATAAATCATTTAACGTACATCCCATTCCACACATACATTTTTTTCATACCTGTCCTATATTCCTTGCAATCTTTTACTTTTAATGTTTTTGAAATACTTAATTAACATTTAAGGCTAAAGAGTAACCATCATTAACATGTCCCTTACCCTTACCACAACCCTACTTTTAAGCATTAAAACATAGCTATAACCATTTGTAATTCCTTATTGTAAAAGTTACAAAAAATACCTAATTCTTCCTTATGACCTTTGACCCATTGAAAAACACACAAAACATCATCATGGTTACTTGGAAATTTAAATTCTGGTGCCAGTCGATATTCTACATTGACGACAATACAACCAGCATCTCTGAAAGAGAAAAGTTGACAAACTTTTAGTTTTTTTTAGATTATTGTAAACAATGTCTGTTGAAGAAAGACTAAACCATAATTTAACTGTCGGGGATTCATTTACCAGTAAGTCAGAAACCTTACTGACGACAAAGCCTTCATTTCCAACTTATATTTACACTTTGTTTTTATGTTGTGCTGAACTTACACCACTGTCTGAGGTTAAGGGAGGGTTGAGCACTCACAAACATGTCTAACCCTGTAATATTCTTTATTGCCTGTCCCAAGTCAAAAGCCTGTTATTCTGTAGTTGCTGTTGGTTGCTGTCTGTCATATTTTTCTTTTATTGTTTTGTCATAAATCAGGCAGAAGATTTTCTTGTTTGAATTTTTTAACATTTTGTCATGTCTGGGGCTTTTATAGCTGACTATACAGTATAGGTTTTTATTCATTGTTGAAGGCTGTACAGTACCTATAATTGGTTTTCCAGATCACCTATACCAATAAAAACTAGTCCTACATGAAAAATAATGAATCAACTCTTTCCATTTCTAAGCAACAAATTTGTTGGAAAAACCTGTAATTAAGTTATATATACCTTGAAAAGATTTTACAAACTGTATCAACACCAGCTCTGGATCCAACACAATTGCCTCCTCCATGGAAATACACAAATATAGAAGGATCATTTCTACAGGAAGCTGGCTTGTAGATAGTCACTGGTATACCATCTGTTGTGAAAGTAAATTTGATAACAAGAATATGTGTCCATAGGACACCATGACCCTCTTGCACTATCACATTTCCATGCTCAGTGTACTTCGAAATGATGTTTTGACATTAATTTGGCTTTTTTTTATCAAATGTTCATTTCATAATGAACGTGTGCCGTGAGTTTCATGTTGATGTGACCACCACATCATGATAAACTACTGCAACCAAAACTTTAATCTGTTCAGTTAATAAAATCATTGCAAAGATTTCTGAATTTTACAGTAGCCAGCTTATATATATATAGGCAATAGTATTCTGGATTCAATTCACGTTTGATAAAGTGCATTCTTGTTGTTTAATGTTTTTACGTTTATGTAAAATATGTAAAGATAAGATTATGAAAGAGAGGCAAAAGAGTTTAAGGGTTGCTTGATTTTGTTAAAATCTGTTATAATATAAGGTAAGGGAATGACCATTTAACTTCAAGGGGGATTTAAGGTTTTTTCCTAAAAAAATATTCTGATCCCTAATTTGATGAAAAAAAATATTGTGGTCAAGCAGATGACAAAAAAAATTATTCTGAATCCAGATTTTCCCCATACCTTATAGTGTTGAAATTGAAAAAAAAATCTTTCTGACTCAGACAAAAAACCATAACCCCCCTCCCCCTTGAAGTTAAATGGTTGCTCCCTAACTGAAACAAATCAGCAATAAACTATTAAACTAGAGTTGTATTAAACATATATAGATTTTTTTTTTTAAGTTTGCAAGAGCTACACCAGATCTATTAAATGGTAAAAACTGCAAATTAAGGATGTTCGGTCCTCATGTTTTTGACTTTCTGTCAGATATTCATAATCCTCTAGTTTTATCCATATAGTGCCATTAAAAATTTTGCCCTCTAACTACTACTTTTCTTTTCATAATTTTATTACATATAGTTTAAAAAGCCATATTTAAAAATCTTATAAAATCGTTTGTTATTTTTTCATAGTTTTTGAAAGACAAAAAGTACCAATGTTAAATGTATGAAAAATATAGAGAGAATCATTTCCCGCCAAATTTTCAATGGCTTTTATCTCGAAAACAAGGACACAGACCCTTCATTTTTTTCTGCTTTTTTAGTTCTGTTAATTATATACAATCAATTTATAATATTAGTCTTTTAAAAAGCTTGTTATTTTGAAACAGAGTAGCGAACATCCTTAACTCCAGGTTTTTTGTTCTGATATGGATGTGACGAAACTTAAGTTTTACAAATTATAAATAACAGATACTAGACATAGATTTTGAAAATACATTATTCAGTGATCATGTCTTTCCATTAATATCTTTATACCCTTGAAACAAATACGACCTCAAATACTATTGGTATTTTATATTAAATATCAAAGAATTAGACCAACTTTATTTTTTATTATAAACAAGGAATTATTTTTAAAAATTTTGAAATCTGGAAATTGGATAAGAAATATATAATGAAAACTAACCCAACTTTATATTAAAGGTTCAAGTTACTTTCACTGATATTTCAGTATGAACTACGCCCCCTTAGCCTCCTTTATTGGGTTAGTTTTCATCATACATTTCTTATCAATTTTCCATAATTCAAAATTATTCCAGATTCACTTAATTCCTTGTTTATAAGTTATTGTACAAAAAGGCAAAACAAAATCTAAATTAAATTAGAACTTTTCAAGATACACTTTTTTTATTTCAACTAAAAATTATGATCACGACAACAAAGATTTTGAACTTTTCAGAATTAAATCATTATTTATCAAAATCAACTTTAAAATTTCAATTTCTACTTCCGAGAATTTTCTTCAGTTTTTCACGTCTTTACACATGTGCACTACAAAGAATTAACTTTTAAATGGTTGACATGCCCATTTAAGTCTTCTGTCAATAACTCCTGAGATACAATTGTTGATTCAATACATACTTATCTAAGTAACTTACCTTTAACATCTTTAGATGGAATGTTTAATTCCTTTATTGCACCGTCAAAATCAACACTACCTGAAAATAATTTAGCTGATCTCAAACTTGATTCCCTAGCCTCTGTTATTGGTACATCAAAATAAGCCTTGGTGAATCCATACTCTGTACGTTTTTTGAAAAAGTCAAAAGTTTCAGGATGAACAAAATATTTTGATTGTAATTCTTCTAATATCTCGATTGTTGTCATATTTTCAGGATAGTCAATAAACTGCTTTGTATAAAATTTATCTTGTTCTGGATATTAACCTCTGAAGATTTTATCTACTAAGTTGGAGAGATAACTAACTTTTCATTTTCTTAATTTTTACTTCCTCTTCAAAAAAGGAAAAATTTGATTATCAAAAATTCTATCCAAAAAATAAAGGTCACTTTTTGGCAACTAGAATAAGAAAATCGAAAAGTATGTTATATTCAGAGGCGGATTTAAGGAGGCAGTCTGTGTCGTCCCCCCCTTTTGAGGGAAAATTTGGTTGATTATTTAGGGAATTACTGAAGCATGACGACTGGAGCGGGCCCCCTCTTGGGCAGTCAGTGTCCCCCCCCAAATGAAAATTTCTGGATCCCCCACTGATATTAACCAAATAACTGTGTGATCTTTCAGATTCTCAAATAAGTCTTCTGATCAAAATGAGGAAAATTCCTATTTGTAATCAAATAAAGATTATGACTCAGCTGATGGAATTTTGATACATCTTGGAGGTACTTGTTCAGAAATTACATGGTATAGTACTTTAAAAACGTTCAAATTTAGTTATCCATTTTGAATATACAAACCAAATGAAAACAACTGATGGAACTGCATAAGCTGAAGAGGAAGGAGACAGGATGGGTAGATACAGTTAGCATCTACTGCTCTACATGCATCACCCACAATGACAAACAAGACTAAGTCATAATTTCACGACAGGCAATATGACACAATCCGTAAATTTACAGAGTAGACAACTATTCTGGTATCATAATATTTAAGACCAGAAAACATGTCTCTTGTGTGTAATGACACAAAAAAATCATATAAGTCAACAAATTTGTGATAGAAAACATGAAACCAATCTCATTTTCATGAGTCCGCAACTAATGGACCATCTTTTATTGGTAAAATACAGGTTTTACATAAATGTGACCAACTTAAAAGGGAGAAAGGGCTCTTGGCTTTAATCTAAACCTCTACACTTAGTGCCTATTAAGATAAGACTTATATGTTTGCTCTGTTCATTTGCAAAAATTACATTGGGTAAATGATTTACTGGTATATGGTAGAGTTTTTCAGGTACCTATTAAAAACTGATCGTTTTCTGTAAAGTAAAGAAAGTGGTGTTATAAAGCCGACCACAAACATGTCAAACAACATATTAACATGGGGCAACAAATTCAAATACTCAAGTCTTTGGTTTGACCCTGCCTAGGATCTAACCCAGGACCTTTTGCACTCGAGGCAAGCAAACTACCATGAGACACCAAGGCGGTGTGAATGAACAATAAAAATAAGGTAAAGGTGTGGTGTTCCCTAACTATTGGAACACATGTTCACTTTACTATTATTCTACTGACCCAATATAATACACCTTATCGCTATTTGTCCGCCATTACTGGACATCACACAGGTTCCCGTAAAATTATGACGTCATAATACAAAATGTCTGACGCCACAATGGAAAAGTGATTGTTGTATGACGTCAAAAGTTGGAGCGGGACAGATTCTCGGGTCAAGCATGATTAGCGATAAGGTGTATTGAGTTATGAAAAAAAACTCATCCAAGATACCAGGTTTACAATTTTGTATGCCAGACAAAACTCTCATTACTTAGAGTAGCTTAAACGATCAAATTTTTGTTTTTTTTCTTCAGTAATTGAACCTTGAAAAAAAGTCAAGAGAAATGAACATATGCCAAAGGTAAAATTCAGCCTGTAAAGCACCAGTATACAATCAAAAAGATATTAATTATACAGCTCAACTTACTACTGAAGAGAAAGCTCACAACAAATAGATGTATGATGTTGCAGGAAAGTCAAATATTCAAGAGATTTGCTTTTATTATACTTGTACATATATGTTATAAACAGTAAGGAGGTACAATGGGCCAAACAAAAGCCATAAAAAGATTTACTGTGAACAAGTGCTTTGTAATTATACCTCTGTTTACATCAATGATCATGAAAATGTGACCCAGTATGGCATAACCAGATGAAGCTTGGAGACATATATCTTGAACTTGTAGTTACTGAGAAAAATGCAACAAAAACATATTACAGACAGACTCACGGATTGATTTGATTTTTGATTTTTGGTGTTTTAACGCCACTTTTAAGCACCGCTTTTGGGCTATTTCATGGCGGCCAGTTTTTATTGGTGGAGGAAGCCAGAGTGCCCGGAGAGAACCACTGACCATCGAAAGGAAACAGGGTTCGACACTAACGCTATTCCGCTAGCCTGAGGCTAATAAAAATTAGGGAGGGTTAGTAAAGTTTTCATCACAGTAGTCCGACGGGCTAGTCAAAGTTTTGTTTATAACTAGAAATTTTATAAAATTTTAATTGTCAACAAATCCCACATTTTTTGCTGACCTTTGCTGTCTTTATTGTACCGTTTATTCACATATATTTTTGATTGTCAGACATTTTTTAACATGAAAGGTACTTTTTGGAGAGGGGAAAAACTGACAATCATAGTCAATTAAGATTGGAGTTGAGTGAACCTGCACGAGCGGGGTTCGAACTCAAAATCTCAGTGTTGACTGGCTAGTGATTACAGTAGTAACTACTTAGACCACTCGGCCACCGAGGCCCCAACTCACAGATTGATGGACAGATATAAACTGTAGGGTATAATCAAAGGAAAGACAGCAAACTAAAGTAATAAAGAAAAAAAGCAAAAGTCCACATACACTTCACAGAAAAAGAAAGATTCAGCACATAAATCCCCCTTTAAACCAGTCTGAACTCATGTGCTGTGGAAGGGTAAGCATTTTTTTCTCCATTAGTAACACCCATTGTGATAACATATTTGGTGATGTCATAAACACGTGAAGGAGGAGGGACATTGAGGCTACAACAAATAGGATTCATGACTATTTGTATGAAAAGTTTGACTTTTTCTCTGAACTGCAAGATTTTTCTCTTTATACACAACCATAATAATCAGACTTAAAATATAATCCTATAATATTTAAAATTAAAAACATTGATGGCCTCGTTGTTACTTAGAGATGAGATACAGAAATAAAAGTGCTACTCTTTCTTGTCCGTGGGGCTTTGTGTCATGAATAAATATACCATGTTGTTGTTTCTGATTGAATTTACAAATAATAAAAATAGTAAAATTGAGAATGGAAATGGGGAATATGACAAAGAGACAACACCCCGACCAAAGAGCAGAAAACAGCCGAAGGCCACCAATGGGTCTTCAACACAGCAAGAAAATCCCGAAAGGCGGCTTCAGCTGGCCCCTTAATAAAAATCTATTTTTCAAACTTTTTTCTTAAGTTAAAAAAAAAATAACATACTTTACATCAATCATTAGAACATAATTAAACAATTAAGAACAACAATAGCTAACATTCATCCACATTTATCACAAATTATGAAACAATTAAAATCAGTATCATAAATAAAAGCTTTGGTTAATATGACTGCGGCTGCCCTATCTCTGCAAGATAATCTTGGCTTCCTTAAACCAGTTTAAAGTCTTAAAACCAGTTTGAGTTGTAAAAAATTTCTACCATTTCATAAAATGGAACATATCAAGTAATGTGATTTCGAGTCATAGTTTTCACTCTACATAGCATCATCAAGTATTCCAAAACTGAAGATTTGTCCCCCTTGGTTCAGCTGAATACCTGTTGGTTGAAATGTCTACATGTGAAACTCTTTCTACGTAATCTGGATCTGTGAATTTTACTGTACATATATAGAAGAACACAGGCAGCGGAACAGTAGCCAGAAGCGAGAGATGGAATGTAAGATCGGTCAGCTGTGTCATGGAGATTATCGCATATGCATGAAGTATCCAATGACCAACAAGAATGATTAAGTTCCTTGCATCACAGAAGTTATTTTTAAACAATTGTTTCACCTCCTGAAATAGACAAAAGAGTTTGTTTTTTTTTACATTTTTTACAATCATTATACTTCTATACTATTGCTTCAATTTAAATACAGATCAGGGCTATTAAAGGGTGGTACTCCTCCAGACCAACCTTAAATTTTTAGCACCAATGTTAAATTTTTATACTTTATGAAGAAATTTGAAATATTTCTTATAAGTATAATTCTGAATGACTATAATTAACTTTTGAAATTTTTGTCATGAATCACAGTATGTATAGGCACAAAGTATATACCATGTATGTATAATTTAAAAGTATTGCAAAATGGCATAAATTTCTTTAATATTTTTCAACTGTGAAAATTGTTATGTTTTAAATGTCATAAGATGCATCCTTAAAAATTAAGCTGTTGTGATCCCTGCATATACCTGTACTCCTTGTTTAAAATGTCTTATCTAACTTATATTAATAACATTTGTGTTACAGGAGGGACAAAAAGTCATATGAGGTTAACATCAATGAAACAGCAACCTAACAATGAACTACTAATGGGTGGTAAAGTATGAAACTTTCAGTGCTTGAACTTAACCATATTTAAAAGGTATGAAAAGTACTAGAGGACAGGAATACTGAAAATAGTAAGTCATAGGGGAATATCAAGTTATTTGATTACCAGGTCAATAATCAAACTTGGATGACTGAAATGTTTTTGCAGCGGACTGCAAAAAAATAAGATCAGTTGAATAAAGGGAAATAGCTTACAAACATTCAATGCTGTATAGGCACAAACAATTTTACCCACATATATTCATATTATAATTCTTTTAGAATAATGTTTCAAAAGACCTAGAGTGCAGGAGGTTGTGGGTTTGAACCACGGCCAAGTCAAATCAGAGACTTGAAAATTGGTATTTGCTGCTTCTCCACTTAGTATTAGAAAATACTGGTTGGTTAGGATTTGGAATAATGTGGGAAGGAGTACATGTCTTCCTGAGCAGTGTTAACTAGCACATTAAAAATCCAGCTAAGCATGTTGGTCCAGTACAAAGCAGGGTTTATATTCATATCTCTAACATGTTCGTCCTGAATATGACCGATGGAGGTTAAACAGCCATCCACCATAATCATCAAAAGACCTATACAAGAAAAATTTCAGTAAAAATAAAAGTAAGATATTCTCTTTCTTTAGCATGTTGTGGAACTGGACATTTTAATAAAAATAAAGACTTACCAAAACATTAGTACTTGCTAAATGGGCAGCACTTGTTACCAGTGATATAACCAACATTATATATGGAAAAGCATAATCTGAAAATACAAATATACTACAGTACTGAATGAATAAAATTAAATATAGATTAGGCCAGTATGTTGGAAAATAAAAGAGGTTCAATTGAGCTAATCTATGTAAAGTGTTAACAGTGTAAACACACCAAGATGTCTCACCTACTGCAATATCTTAATACCAGATCAATGCATTTCTAAGGGCACAATCTTTTAAATTAAGGTCAAGGTCAAATACGACCTGCTAGGTGTACATTTTTTGTCAATAATTTATACATCATATCCTTTCTTTTCCATTTTAATGTATACATAATGAATTCCCATACAATATATTTTCAATCAATCACATATAATTTCTGAGATACAGACCTAATCTAATAACTTGAACCTTACCACATGCAAAGGAAAAATTATGTGAAGTGCAAATGCCATAAGTCAGACAGACATATATTCCTAAAAACAAATCCAACATCAAAATTTTCAGACCTGTCATCTAAAGCTGATGAGGATTAGACCTTATCCCAAAATCTCAACCTTACCACAGGAGTGTGAAAATGCGATGAATGCCATATGTTAAACTTAAAATGTTAAACAGCCATATAACTCCTCACAAACAATCCCTAGACCTATCAAAAGTATTTACGAGAGATTTTATCCATTACTCTAAACCTGACCCATGGATTGTGAAAATGAAGTCAAGTCCACTTGACAAACCATCCCTATCCCAAATATTGTTGACCTATTATTTACTAAGTATTATGTCATTAGGTGAAAATAATTGAGTGACAGAGTCTCATAAGAGGTAATCTCCATTTTATTTTTTTCACCACTGTGAAAATGTCTATACTAATTTTTGTTCAGCTACATTTTGTAGGCGAACGTGGTGATCAGAAAGCAAGGTCTTTCTCACTGCAGCAACAGGAAAAGTAACACCTTAGTTTCCTCTACCATTACTTTGTAATTTTACACTGCAAAGAATTATGCCTTTTCGTAAGATATGATGATGTTATTGATCTGTACTTGTCTTAGGTTACTGAGTATATTATCCTGACGTTACAGCACATCATATTAGAATTAAACCTAACTTACACAATAGTCCACCAAACATGGCCTGCAGGACAATTAATATGGGATGAAAATACAAAGCAGCATAAATTGACTTGGTTCCTTTGGTCTCTACACATCTGTATGATATCAGTGGTCTAAACAACATCATAAACAGCAAGGAAAAGGCATAGTAGATCATACATATAGTATATCTATAAAAGAAATTTTTGAAATTTTTACAATTTTCATCATTCAAAATCAAAGAGATATGTGATCATTTTTAAAAAAAACTTTGTCTGTAAAGTTCAAAGTTCATACCCGAGTTATTAGATACTAATAGTGTGTATTTTTTTTATTTCCCTCAAAATCAAACGAAAATGGTACACAATGAATATAAGAATTTCTATACTAAACAAGAAATATCTGCCCTGCACTGCATTTACTCAGAAAAATGTCCAAAAAAAATGTTAAAAAATATAGCTTAAGTGTGACTGAGGGGTTAATTCCTTATATTCATCTTGGAACTGAAATTAAGAATGCATACAGAAAAACATAATTAATATTAAATGACAATTGCACACATGCAACAGCATATAAAATATGAAACAGAATCATAAGCATTTATTCTAATCTTGGATTGTACAGTGTAGAATACTGAGTGGTTAAATGATTTCCTGTGTACAGTGTAGAGTTGAGGTTTAGTTAGGACTAAGGTTGTACAGTATAGAATACTGAGTGGTTAAATGATTTCCTGTGTACAGTGTAGAGTTGTGGTTTAGTTAGGACTAAGGTTGTACAGTATAGAATACTTACAGTGGATAAACAATTTCCTGTGTACAGTGTAGAGTTGTGGTGTAGTTAGGACTAGGGTTGTACAGTATAAAATAATTACAGTGGATAAACAATTTCCTGTGTACAGTGTAGAGTTGTGGTGTAGTTAGGACTAGGGTTGTACAGTATAGAATACTTACAGTGGATAAACAATTTCCTGTGTACAGTGTAGAGTTGTGGTGTAGTTAGGACTAGGGTTATACAGTATAAAATACTTACAGTGGATAAACAATTTCCTGTGTACAGTGTAGAGTTGTGGTGTAGTTAGGACTAGGGTTGTACAGTATAAAATACTTACAGTGGATAAACAATTTCCTGTGTACAGTGTAGAGTTGTAGTGTAGTTAGGACTAGGGTTGTACAGTATAGAATACTTACAGTGGATAAACAATTTCCTGTGTACAGTGTAGAGTTGTGGTGTAGTTAGGACTAGGGTTGTACAGTATAAAATACTTACAGTGGATAAACAATTTCCTGTGTACAGTGTAGAGTTGTGGTGTAGTTAGGACTAGGGTTGTACAGTATAAAATACTTACAGTGGATAAACAATTTCCTGTGTACAGTGTAGAGTTGTGGTGTAGTTAGGACTAGGGTTGTACAGTATAGAATACTTACAGTGGATAAACAATTTCCTGTGTACAGTGTAGAGTTGTGGTGTAGTTAGGACTAGGGTTGTACAGTATAAAATACTTACAGTGGATAAACAATTTCCTGTGTACAATGTAGAGTTGTGGTGTAGTTAGGACTTGGATTGTATAACATGGAATACCAATCTGAGAGTTGTTTGACTTTACACGATCGTATGTTAAATGAACCAATCGGATCCACCAATAATATTGTAACGATACCAGACAAAACACTTTCAATAAATGCTGATACATGAAGGATGATTAAATTACTGTAAAAAATAAATTACATTATTCTCCAATCACATTTGGCCTGCACATATTACAGTAACAGGAAACCAATTTTGAGAATACTAAGTTCCATAACTCATGAATAACCTATAAACATAAGAGTATGAAAATCCTTAGGCTCTCATTTCTAATATTCTGGGAGAGTTTGAAGGAAATATACCAGGGTATACTTGCAATTGAGTAAGATGACATATCAATATTATGTTGTGCTGTTACAGCACTGTCCCAGGTTAGGGGAAGGTTTGATTACTTAAATACATGTTTAATCCTGCCACTTTCTTTATGTGCTTGTCCCAAGTCAGGAGCCTGTGATTCAGTGGTTGCTGTAGAATCATGTCTGTCATATTTTTTTTTCGTAAACTGTCTTATTATAAATTAGGCCGTTAGTTTTCTCATTTGAATTATTTCACATTATTAATTAACTACTCTGTTATTGGACTTAATATGATGAAAACTGCCTATGCAATACAAAAGTGTCAACTCGGCCAATACAAAATAACTCGGCCAATATTGATATTTTTCCGTATTGGTCGAGTTCTGATCCGGCCAATACAGGAATTCGGAACGTCTCTAGTTTTTAGGTCGAAAATCATGATAAACACAAACTTAATGTAAACTGTCGTTTGGAATGTGCTGTTTTATTTACTAACCATAAACATGCCGAAACGTTCAGTGTGGCAAATATTTCAGGCTGAAGAAGGTCACATTCATTTAAAACACATTTTGTAAGTAGATAATTGAATTATTAGAGGTTTGGGAAACGAGTCTGCAGATTATCACAAAGCTCATTTCTTGTCGACTTCATAACTATTTAAAACATTTTATCAGTTTAACGGGTGCATTTCAATTTACTGTTCACTTTCGCTTCTAGGTATCATGTATTTTTTAACCCGAACCAGGCATATGGATTGTTGAAGGATGAACTGTAATTTATTGTTCAAGTCTTCGTTCTTTGGTCATTGTCTATGGATAGTTGTCTTATTGGCAATCATATTTAATTCCAAGTTGTATTAAATACTTTTGTTTCTAAATCTCTCGTGCAATGGCAGTACCTTTCCAATTACTATTTATGTGTTGCGTCTAAATATGTATTGTAACACTTTATAGTGACCGAAAAGGGTTATCAAATCATCAAAAAATGTAGAAGACACTTCCAAACAGCACCAGATCATTTGACATTGCAGCTTAAACTAGAGGCTCTCAAGAGCCTGTGTCGCTCACCTGCATTTACTGATGCTTTCGAAATCATGTAAAATAAGGTTAAAATCATAATTAATAGTATTAGATATTAGATATTATAATGATATCTAAGATAATAACAAGAAAACTGCAAAATTTTTGTAAAATTACTAACTCAGGGGCAGCAACCCAACAACGGGTTGTCAGATTCGTCTGAAAATTTCAGGGCAGATAAATCTAAATCTGATGAACATTTTTGCCACCTGTCAGATTTGCTCTAAATGCTTTAGTTTCAGAGATATTTATAAACCAAAAACTGCATTTTACCCCTATGTTCTATTTTTAATCAAGTCGGCCATGATGGTTGGAAGGCGGGGTCATCGGACAAATTTTTTAACTAGATACCCTATTAATGATTATGGCCAAGTATGGTTAAATTTGTCTCAATAGTTTCAGAGAAGAAGATTTTTGTAAAAGATTACAAAAATTTTACAAAAAATTGTTAAAAATTGACTATTAAGGGCAATAACTCCTAAAGGGGCCGAATGACAATTTTGGTCATACAACTTATTTGTAGATCTTACTTTGCTGAACATTATTGCCGTTTACAGTTTATCTCTATCTATAATAATATTCAAGATAATAACCAACAAGAGTGCACACGCTGAAATGTCTCGCCTTCTTTACTAATCATTGATATTATGGTGATAGTCCTAAATATAAAGCTTTATTACAACTGTCACATAAACTTAACATTAACCAAGTAAACTAAACATTGACCAATGAACCATGAAAATTAGGTCAAGGTCAGATGAACCATGCTTGGCAGGCAACAGCTAACAATTCTTCCATACAACAAATATAGTTGACCTATTGCTTATAGTTTAAGAAAAACAGACCAAAACACAAAAACTAAACAGTGAGCAATGAACCTTGAAAATGAGGTCAAGGTCAAATAAAACCTGCGTGACTGCCAAATAGATCATGAAATATTTCCATACACCAAATATAGTTGAACTATTGCATATAGTATTAGAAAAACAGACCAAAACTCAAAAAACTTAACTTTGACCACTGAACCATGAAAATGAGGTCAAGGTCAGATGACACCTGCCCGCTAGACATGTACACCTTACAATCATTCCATACACCAAATATAGTAGACCTATGGCATACAGTATAAGAAAAACAGACCAAAACACAAAAACTTAACTATAACCACTGAACCATGAAAATGAGGTCAAGGTCAGATGACACCTGCCAGTTGGACATGTACACCTTACAGTCCTTCCATACACCGAATATACTAGACCTATTGCTTATAGTATCTGAGATATGGACTTGACCACCAAAACTTAACCTTGTTCACTGATCCATGAAATGAGGTCGAGGTCAAGTGAAAACTGTCTGACGGGCATGAGGACCTTGCAAGGTACGTACATACCAAATATAGTTGAACTATTGCATATAGTATTAGAATAAAAGACCAAAACTCAAAAACTTAACTTTGACCACTGAACCATGAAAATGAGGTCAAGGTCAGATGACACCTGCCCGCTAGACATGTACACCTTACAATCATTCCATACACCAAATATAGTAGACCTATGGCATACAGTATAAGAAAAACAGACCAAAACACAAAAACTTAACTATAACCTCTGAACCATGAAAATGAGGTCAAGGTCAGATGACACCTGCCAGTTGGACATGTACACCTTACAGTCCTTCCATACACCGAATATACTAGACCTATTGCTTATGGTATCTGAGATATGGACTTGACCACCAAAACTTAACCTTGTTCACTGATCCATGAAATGAGGTCGAGGTCAAGTGAAAACTGTCTGACTGGCATGAGGACCTTGCAAGGTACGCACATACCAAATACAGTTATCCTATTACTTATAATAAGAGAGAATCTAACATTACAAAAAATCTTAACTTTTTTTTCAAGTAGTCACTGAACCATGAAAATGAGGTCAAGGACATTGGACATGTGACTGACGGAAACTTCGTAACATGAGGCATCCATATACAAAGTATGAAGCATCCATACCTTCCACCTTCTAAAATATAAAGCTTTTAAGAAGTTAGCTAACGCCGCCGCCGCCGTAGCCGCCGCCGCCGGATCACTATCCCTATGTCGAGCTTTCTGCGACAAAAGTCGCAGGCTCGACAAAAACTGCAAAATTTCCTTAAAATTACCAATTCAGGGGCAGCAACCCAACAACAGGTTGTCAGATTTGTCTGAAAATTTTAGGGCAGATAGATCTTGACCTGATAATCAGTTTTACCCTTGTCAGATTTACTCTAAATGCTTTGGTTTCAGAGATATAAGCCAAAATCTACATTTTACCCCTATGTTCTATTTTTAGCCATGGCGGCCATCTTGGTTGGTTGGCGGGGTCATCGAACACATTTTTAAACTAGATACCCTAATGATGATTGTGGCCAAGTTTGGTTAAATTTGACCCAGTGGTTTCAGAGGAGAAGATTTTTGTAAATAGCTAACGATGATGGACGACGACGATGGAGGACGGACGCCAAGTGATGAGAAAAGCTCACTTGGCCCTTCGGGCCAGGTGAGCTAAAAAGGAAACTCAGATTTGGTTAGTTCAATTTCAAGGTAAAGCATGTAAAAATCTTGTGTAAGGAAATAAAACACACAAACAAACAAAAACAGGTAAACACTGTCACTGTAGTTAATTAATAAAGATATTATTCATGTGGGGGCTTTTTAAAGCTGACTATACGGTATGGGTTTTCTCATTGTTGAAGGCTGTACGGTGACCTATAATTGTTTATATTCATGCCATTAGAACTCTGGTGGATACTTATCTCATTGGCAATCAAACCACATCTCCTTATTTTTTACAATGAATGGAATGGAGGCCATTTATTCCATAATTAATTCATAATGTCTGTTGGTACCTTCAATCACAACATGTTTCAAATACACTCAAAACCAACAAGAATTATTTCTGATTTAATTGAATTACCTTAGTTATATTGTACATATTTTCATAATAAAAGAAATAATAAAACAGCATAAGCAGTGATTTTCATTAACCAAGATTACTGGAACACACACAAAAAAAAAACAGTATGCACGAATTATCAGGATTTCTCGATATTGAAATTGTAATTATAAGTGAATACAGCAAGTCTCATATTGTTGAACAGCAGCAAACATTTTTCAATATTATGTCAGGAAAATCTGATACAAAATGTAATTGATTAATTTGATTAATTTGATTAATTAATATGATTGCATTTGTTTGATTTTCATGGTGGAATCTATGGTTTTACTTTGTTTTACAAGCTAACTGGAAGAGGACTTAATAATAATGGATCAAACTTAAAAAGGACAGGTCAAATATTGTAACACCCAAGACAGGTCTAGGTCAAAGTTACTATGGCCAGGAATGGTTTTTCTTGACTACTGGTACATTTCATTGAACTTTTGTCAATGTTTTACAGATCCTTGGAAAGACTAATTTCAATTATTTTTTTCTTCTATTTGGAAAATCAATTAAAGTTTTTTCTTTACTACTGGTACATACCAGGGAACTTTTGTAGATGTTTTACATGCACTTTGAAAGGCTAATTTCACTTACTTCTTTCTTCTATTTGTAAAATCTATGAAGAACCAATGAAGTAATAAAGACAACAAGGCCATGAATCCCAGAAAAAGCCAGTCATAAAAACAAGGTTCTTCTTCACATCTCTTACATATAGAGTTTTCAGAACTATCATCAGGCTGGTAGCCTCTCACACACGCCTGCCATAAAATAATAGAAAAATAGATAAATTTTAACAATTCACGCCAAAAATTAAAATTTGTTTACGCAATCACAAAATATCTGAATTTACAATACTGATGACTGGTTTGTTATCTGTTGGCTGATAACTTTTGTAGTATGTGTGATTATAGGTACTCTATCCAGTCAATTTTCACTAATTTTTCATGTATGATATTATGAAACAAGACCGCCTTGGTGGTCTCATGGTAGCATGTTCGCCTCAAGTTCAGGAGGGCATGGGTTCGGAACCCTAACCAGTTAAGACCAAAGACTTTAAAATTGGTATTTGCTGCTTCTCCACTAGCACACGGCATAAAGGAGTAAGAGCAAAGACTGGTCAGCTCGGAATCAGAAAAATGTGTCCGGGTAGGGTGACATGTCTTCCTGCAGACTGTTACATGTACCTTAGCTTGTGAACTACATTTAGGACATTAAAAATCTGGATCAGCTTGTCTGTTTAGTACAAAGCAGTTTTAATATTCGTATCGCATTAACATGTTCTTGTCCTGAATATGCAATTAATTTGCTGCTGGACATTAAAAAGCCATCCATCAAGATCATCTGATATCATATTAAGAATAAACTATAAATAAATCACATGAAGTTATTTTAAATGATAAAGCTATACATACCCCACAATTACTGAGTGTTCCATTCTCTAGTGTCCTTCCACAGTAAAGCCCAGGACATTTTTCTGTAACTGAAAAAAAAGAAATAAATTCAGTAAGCTGGTAAATTTTACTACCAGTAATCAACCACATGCCATCCTTGTTCTCACTTTGCTACTTTAGTTTTCATAGAGTTATACCAAATTTTCATTTGTGATAAGCAACATGATGGATGCCATTAGTGGAGCATGAACTACTTTCCCTTCCAGGGCATCAGAGTCCAACCACAGCTTTGCCTTTTTTTTATGTTGTTCAATCTTTAGCTTTCTATGTACATGTATATACAGTGTTTTGTGACTTCTATTTGTCTTTTCGGCTTGGTGATTTTCATCAACTTATGGTGTATGAATGTCCCTTTAGAATCAAGGCTGGCAAAAAGCGATCAATACTAGTATTGACAGGAACATATATATCAACGGGACTTGATACTACCTAATTATAGCCGATTTTAGCGTCGGGTCATAGTTAATAAATGGCACGATACGGAAACGGACATGTGTAAAATACGTACTCTCTATTATCTTAATAATTTCTGATAACATCAATAAAATGTCATTCAAACTAAGTAATAAGTGATGCCAGTGTATCGAACTTGTAATCTGTCACTTCAAATTTGTCATAGTCGCATTCATTTCATCACAGAAGGGTACAGAATGCAAACAGGGTAATAAAAAATTGGTGCTGATGGCATTCCCAGTAACCGTGAATTTCAAAAACCATTATAAAACACTTCACATCAAATAAATCACATTTATATTGTTCATTTTATATGACAAAATATATCTACTTTACGATAAAACTTAACAATTCATTGTATTTGTTGAATGTTTGGAATTATGTGGTTAATTTATTGAGCAGTTCTGATAGTTTTTCAATCAAACGCTTCCAAAATCCATAAATCTCATGAAGTCTTGTAAAGTTTGAGATTTTATCAGTTTTATACCGAAAGCCTATCAGATTCATTTCCCGTTAGATATACTGTTCCCAGGTATTGACCAGGCCAGCAGAAAATATGTTAAATACAATCAATTAGAAATTTATATAAAAGTCTTGAGATTTACGCAATGATACTAATATAAGATGGTAATATATGAAGAGGATGTTATAAAATCGTGTTGAACAAATTCACTAAATGTACTTCATCCAAATGGCATCAAGAAGAAGTACAATGTACTAGCATCTATTATTTTATATATATTCACACGAACTGCTACATTTTGACAATTTGGGAGGTATAAATACATGTATGCAGCCACATTTACATAGTATTGAATTTTTTGTTTCATGAAGTTCAAGAATTCGGATCAAATCGATACATGTATTTATGCAGTTCAAAATTTACCTGTATTACTGAGCTAATTTAAAAATGTATAAACGATCAGTTGCCGACTTCTGGTCTATATTTAACCATTGTAACCCTGAATCCCCATGCATGTTACCATTGAAGGTTTCCATATGTGTAACCAATGTAACCATTGCGTCAATAGCTTTCATGTCGATCCGGCCCCACGTCGATCCGGCCCAACGTCGATCCGGCCCATATTTAAAGTCGATCCGGCCCCAATAAAAAAATATATTTATAAGGAATAAAAAATAAAGATATATATTAATTGTAATTCATAAATGTTTATGAATTTTATTATAATGTAAAAGGTGTACGGTAAAAAAAATGGCCTTTGACAAATACTTTCTTTAGATGAGTATAAAACAAGTAGGTTGATTATGTTTTCATTACAAGTTTTCAAAATTATTGGGTATAATTATAATAAAACTTATATAACAGAATTTAGTACAATCAACAGACATCAACATTACTCAGCAGTACTAGTAATTAGCATTTTCTTTCAATTGACTGTGATCTTAACAAGTCTTTCATCCTGTGTAATAACAAATAGTTACACATACACAACTGTACAAGCCGTACATACAAACTTTGTTTTTGTTTTAAGTTCTTACTTCTCAAATTGAGAAATGTTGTTTGATTTACCGAATCCTTTCTATAAAAGAGGAGACAGAATGCGTTTGCTTTTAATATCACAATGGCTTTTCCTTGTGTGGTATGTGACCAACATGTTAGACCTCGGCAGCATGCACTACAGTGTGAGCAATGTTCAAAGTGGCAACACCGTCTCTGTAATACCGGTAAGTTTCTATTTTCACTTTTTGCTTTAATATAATCAAACTGTAATTTTGTATATAAGTCTTAAATATTTTTTTCTTTGCTTTTATCATTAAACCATAAATATGAAAAAAAAGTATATAGTTTTGTGTTAAATCTGGGAAGATTAATTTGCGTGTTTTCAGGTGTAAAATGGTAAAAAGCTTATAAATTCTAAATAAAGATTGCTTTATTTATTCTTATTTGACTTTTTGTACAAAACATCATGTTTGCCACACAAGAACAGCTGCAACTACAACAAACTGCAAAGAAGTGGTACCTGGATGGTACTTTCGAAGTAGTGAAGAAGCCTTTCTATGTGTTTAAATTTGTCACAAAATCCTCCAAAGTCAATATAGTTTAATCATATTTTATTATGGGGCCGGATCAACTTTGGGCCGGATCGACGTGGGCCGGATCGACTTGGGACAGATCGACTTTGGGCCGGATCGACTTGGGGCCGGATTGGTTTGGGGACGGAACGACCGGATACCCGTCAATAGAGGTTACAAAACAAGATAACTTAATTCTGTTGCACATTTTGTACCTTATATGCAATAAATTGACTGAAAAATAAAATAGGTGAAAATTAAGGCTATATAATAAGCTACGAGTCCTCAATCTTAGGCAGCAAGCCTAGTGGCACAACTTGTTTCTAGGGTGGCACTCATTTACTTTAGTGGAAAGTAAAATCACAAAAATACTGAACTCCGAGGAAAATTCAAAAAGGAAAGTCCCTAATCAAATGGCAAAATCAAAAGCTCAAACACATCAAACGAATGGATAACAACTGTAATATTCCTGACTTGGTACAGGCATTTTCTTATGTAGAAAATGGTGGATTAAACCTGGTTTTAAAGCTACATAAAAAAATGTAGCTAAACCTCTCACTTGTATGACAGTCACATCAAATTCCATTATATTGACAACGATGTGTGAACAAAACAAACAGACACAATAGGTAAACATGTCACAAATAGGGGTACAACAGCAACACGAACCCCACCAAAACTGGGGGTGATCTCAGGTGCTACGGACCATTGATAAATTCGGTTTTATATGGTTATATGCAATGAATGGGTTAAGTTTAGAATAAATTGGAGGTTAATGAGTCATTCAATTGTGCTAGTTGTCTGATATTGGTTTTGGTCTTTCAATATAACCTTTCTGTCCAAATGATACACCATAAATTACAGGAAATAATATGAGAAGCTTCAACATATTTGTTTGACATTTGAACTGGTCCTTGTGTTTTGGTTTGTGAAAGTACCTTTCAGGGTTATTTCTGAATCCGGTAACCAGTTTCAGAAACTCTTTTGAGTGGAGATACTAAAGTTATATCAGTCAATGCAGCCGAAACAAAAATGTTGTCGTTTTTTATAAAATCGACAATATTTCTGTTGTATTCAGTAGCGATAACTTCCAGTGAAAGTCATGACATTGAACAACGTAAACAGATGTCAGATCCAACATCCGAATTGTCGAATCTTTTCTGGTTTGTTCAGGTATATCAACCGGCGTTGCCAAAATTATCATGAGACATGACTCATTATCATCAGATTGTTTGAATAAGAATAAAAGAAGAAGAATAAGAAAAAAATATTTTGATTCGGCATAAGTCAAATATACAACACAAGCTCTAAGGAGCTTTTGACCGAACATAAAAACGTATACATAACATAAAAACAGTCTAAGATATAAACAACCTGCAAAGTGCAATACAAAGTTGAATCTCACACACAGCATGCAATAAAAAATTTAGCAGCAAATTTAGGATGAAGCAAAGCATTTATCTATATGTTTTACCTATTTTAAAGTTTAAAAATTTAGAATTAAAAATATTGTAACTATTTAAATAAATTTGAAATTCTGAATGGAAATTGCATCAGAAATGAGATATTTCTAATACTAATAGTGAAAGCTACGGGAGTGTCTTTTTACCACAGAACACCACAGAATACCACAGAACATCAAAAATATACCACAGAACTTCGAAATATAAATACTTCAGACATTATATTATTGTTATTGTTAATTCTTTTTATAATTTGACATTTATTATTCAAATAAATTTAATTTTTCTATTTAGGGTCGACTCACTATCGCTATGCCCCCAACTGAATTGGCCTATTATTGGGTTTATACCAAAACCACCTACCAGTATTAAAACCATAATATACAAAAAATATTTAAAGTCACAACAATTGTAATTCTGGGGTATATTTGTTACATTTACTTTTTTTTTAAATACATTTTAATTTTTTCTTGTTATTTTTTTTCTTCCATTTTTTAGAATGTTTAGATGCATAACATAATTATATGATGGACATCACAAACTAGTACATTAGCTTGGATTTTGAAACACTGAATAGATTCTTGATACACTTGATGCAGTTCAAAACAAAATACTGTCGGCAAGTCAGATGAAACATAATGTATACACATACTTTACTTGAGATGAAATAAAAGTAACTGGACAATATTTTAGATTTTTTAGGAAATTTTGTATGCATTTAGAAATAGTTGAACTGCATTTAAATAATTAATTCTGAATTATTAGTTTTGCATTTTGTAAAGTAATTCAATGTTCTGTGGTATATTTTAGTAGTTTTATTGTATTTTGTGTAGTTCTGTGGTATATTTTTGGTGTTCTGTGGTATTATGTGGTGTTCTGTGGTGTTCTGTGGTATTCTGTGGTGTTCTGTGGTAAAAAGACGCTCCGTTCAAGCTACTGCTGGACTTGAGAATGGAGGAGGAATTAAAGGCCTCATGATTAAACGAGCAAGATATAAAATGTTCACAGGAAATTTATTTCAACCTTATTCTGAGCCTTTCCATATTTTATTTCTTTTACTGGCCAATCATGACCAATTTAAATTATTTGATACAGTTTATATTTTTGTATCAAGATTCAGTCTCACAACAATTTGTCAGGTTTTGGAACTCCTAAAAAAATAAGAACAAATACACGTCAAATTCCTTAGAAATTTTACTGTTACCACAATTTCCTTCATCTACAACATGACGTAATATTATGTCACCCACAGTCTGATTAAAATTAAAATCAAACCTCTCAGCGCTCCCGTTTTCTGACATATAAATAAACGATAGCAAGTGAAATTTAAGTATGATTTTAATCATACTGTGTCACCCACTTCACAGAATCTCTATTGGAATTCTGTTTTTGATTCTGTGTCTGAAGTGAGCAGAAAAATCAGAAAATCTCTCACGACACACAATGCCAATAGGGATTCCCACTTCACAGTGTTACAAACTCCATGTGAAGTAAATTATTATAAGAGAGGCGAAAGTACCAAAGGGACATTTAAACTCATAAGTCGAAAACAAACTGACAACGTCATGGCAAAAAACAAAAAACTACCAAAAGGCAAACAACAGTATACAAAACACAACATTGAAAATTAAAGACTGAGCAACACGAACCCCAACAAAAACTCAGGATGATCTCATGTGCTCCGGAAGGGTAAGTAGATCCTGCTCCACATGTGGCACCCACGAGTTGCTCATGTTAGTACAAACCCGGTGATAAGTCTTATTAGCACTATATAGGTAGGTCACATTCGAGAAAGTAAGTCTCTTTGACTGAAGCAAAAGTAACTCTCTGAAGCAAATACAGCTGTAGCTCAAATATATATATTTTTCTTGAAAAAAAACCCAAATATATGAAATTTAGATAGGAAGGCATATTTACCCTATTGCTCAGATAAGAAGTACCTGTTTTTGTACTACCAAACTTCTGGAAACAAGTGCACTCTTAATATGCAATTAAAGGTACATTTGTAAGTTGAATTTTTCAGCACAAGTCGGGATAAGGTGTAATAAGTTTCGACATGAAATGTCTCATTTTATTTGAACTTAAGACAAAACAACTATGGATGCTTGTAATAGCAGAAATTAACATAGAAAGCAATTGGGCTATAGCTTAGTTGTTTTATTCCTGTATGTTGTCATTTGTTTATAATTGTGGTTGGTTCTGCCGTTTTATTGCATGAGTTATACCCCATATCTCCTGTCATTCAGACCAATGATTTTGAAACAGCTAGACTTTGCCAGTTATGACTGATATAAAGTAGTCATAAGATAACTGAAATGAATTTTGTTCAAATTGAATTCTATAATTTTATTTAATGGTCCTGAAGGTTTGACATGTGATGTATCATTAGTTTCTAGTGTACTTATATATGTTCTATTTCAGGTAACAGATATCCATATCAGTAAATTCTCAGCCTTTAGTAGAGCTCCTGATTTGTCATTTGATGTATCATTAGTTTCGAGTGTACTTATATGTGTTCTATTTCAGGTAACAGATATCCATATCAGTAAATTTTTTGCCTTTAGTAGAGCTCCTGATTTGAAAAAGTTTTGTCTGACCCATCTAACAAATATACGGCCAGATTTTGTTATAGTTTCAGGTATGTAATGGTAGAAATTCTACATTTAAATGACCCATCTACGGCTGAGTAAAATTTATGATTGCTGTAATCATTGAAGTTTTATGTAAAATGTGGAAAATTAAGTCAATTTTTATGTTTAGATTAAGAACTCAGATATTAAGTGAGACCTTGTTTTAAAGATGAATGAAATTTAGACTGGGATTACAAAACATTTAAAAAAAATGTAATGGAAAATTGGCAGGAAGAGCAATTTTCAATTGAATCTCCTTAAATGCCTGCACATGGCAGATCACTTTTACAAACCATTTACAATAATAAGATGGAATTTCGCATCTAATTTTGTTTAATGTATTTTTCTCGATAATGTTCTTTTATTGACGGAAAATGTACCTCAATATTATTGGTACCACTTTTTATAAATAAACAGTTATATATACATTTGTACTGAGTTAATTCAATCCTCAAACTGTACTATTTTAGGAGATTTAACTGATGCAAAGTATGCAGATACACGGGGATCTAAACAGTTTATAGAAGAGTGGAAGCTTTACCAGAGAACTGTCAATGATTGTAAACAAGCATATGACACAACATGGTTTGATATTAAAGGAAATCATGGTATGTGTAATGAAAAAATAACTGTAAACTACACAAATGTATTCCTGTTGGAACAAAGCATGTTAATCTTTCAGGGCTATTGAAATTAAACATGCACTTTCAAAATAATGTTACCATGCACCTTATTAATTAAAATACCTTAGAATTTCACTTACATTTCCACTATACTTGACACCCACCTATAGTTGAGATTTCAAAGTGCCTTCTCTTGTTCCATATAAAAATAAATGTGGTATGATTGCCAATGATACAACCATCAGACCAAATGAAGTGGGTTGGAGCAATTATAAGCCACAGTATGGCCTTCAACAATGAGGAAAAAAAACAAACTGTATAGTCGGCTATAAAAGGCCCAGACATGAAAAATGTGAAACAATTCAAAAAAGAAAAACTTACGGCCTAGTCTCTAACAAAACAAAAAACAAATATGACAGACATGAACCAACAACAACCACTGTAGTACAGGCGCCTCTTTTTACCAACTTATATGACAATGACAGCCGAGAGAAAACATTGTTTGCCACTAAAATTAAAGGCATAATGACAATATTTAAATGGAAAACACAAATATTGTAATTACTAATAAAGCAGAAGTTCAGAGTAGTTCTCTTACAATTTATGTCTTATATTTGAAATATTTTCTTTTAAACTTTTTTCTAACCAAACCCCCCGAATCTTTCACATCAATAATCTGTAAACCAACAAATTAAAAGACCTAAATGTATTTATGAAAAATAAATTACTCATAGTAAAAAGAAATTATTCTGGCCATAAAACTGTGTTGACTTTCTCAAATTTTATTACAGAAAGGAAGGAATTTTACTAATATCAACATTTATTCCTGTTTTTAGACAAACATGAGTAACTATTTTTTTCATTAATCCAAAGTAAACATTAAATATATTACAGATGCATTCGATGTACCAGGAGATTTTGACAAGAGGAACTTATTTAGGTATGTCTGTATAGCAGTGACCTCTGTAGAAAAAGTATTTACAAGATAGGGCCCTAAATGGATAGGTTGCAAATGACATAATTTGAGTTTGAGTTATTTCCCTTGGCTGCCATTTTGGAGGGATAAATGGTTGTTTTCTTATTTGACTACAGTAACCGAATTGAAACATGCAATTCACACATGTCTGATAAGAAATCCTTACTTGATCATTGTGATGAATTAAGCAAGGCTAAAAAAAATCAAAATTGTTCAGAAAAACCCTTTTTCTAAAGTCTAGTGGTCAGTATAACAAGTTGAATTTGGCTGTTTTATGAAGAAATTTACACACATAGACTTCCATCATGGTTGCAAAAAGCAGCTCTTGCTTAAATTGTTTCAATCAAACCCGATCTATATCTGGATTAGCAATCCATTTTAACATTTATATTTTCTATTTCTATTTTTCTATTTTAACATCCCTTGTGATCCCATTGTTCTTCAGATTCGTAAGCTGCAAATGCCTGTTTATGTTTGAATGGCGGGTTATTTGAAAACAAATAAAACTTCAATAACCAGTAGGTAAAACAAAACTTCAGGAATCACTCAAGCCTTAGCACTAAATTTGTTATCAGCTATCTAAATAATATAAAATAAAACCTTAGGTGTCAGCAAATCTAAGTATTATCTAAAAGTTGTACATGTGAGAACACAACCTTATTTATAAATTCGTGAAAATGCAATGCGTCAGAACAGATTTGAGCCAAAACACATCATTAACTGTCAGTTGATTTAAAAGTTTAACCTGTATAATGTGTTAGCCAAACTGTTAAAATCAACACTCAATTTTCTTAATACCAGTAGATCAACTGTAAGATGTCACAATATAACATCAATAGACCACTTTCGAGTTCGTTGCATTTCCATCAAAAACTTTGGTTTTAGTGAACATCATTCATCCGTTTAGGGGCATCATCACTTCCTTCCCATGTTGAGTGAGTGGTTGAAAAAATATGATGCTATATTGCAAGAATTATTCGCCAAATTAAATTCTTATCATTGATAATCAGCACTGCTGTGATTTATCTATACTTCTAAACTGGTAACCTCCCGAAAGATACTGAAAGTCCGACAGCGGCGTCATCTGTTATCATAAAACGAAATGTAGCATAAAATGAATGTACAAATGTCAGATGAACAAATCACCCACTTTGCAATCATCCCGTTAGAAAAGTGTCGATTTACAAGTATTAATACGCTTTTACAAATAACATAAAAGCAAAAATGCTAATTGACATCTACAAATTTAGAAAAAACAAATGTACAATTAAGCAATTTACAAATTACAAATAAACATATCACAAATGTAGCATCTAATGAACAATATACAAATGTTGAATTGACAAATCACGAATTCAAGAATAACAAATATACACATCACAAATGTACAAATTACACAGTTACAAGTTACAAATTGACAATTTACGAATTTAGAATTTTGACCCCATTGGCTTTCCATAGTGATTAAGTACCTACAGAACAAAAATCATTTCTAGTTTATCCTGCATATATATATATATAAATACGATCACAAAGACGCTTGATGAACTTTAATAGTGCATGGATACAGGCAATCCCCTTTATCTGGTAAATGACGCCATAAAGGCGTGCATAATTGACAAACTGGTGAAGGACATAACTGGAAAATGGTCTAATTATCAGTCATTTTATATGTTAACAGGAAGTATTCTGAACAAGGTTGGACACACCCTTCATCCTATTCCTTTACCCATGTGAAGCCTTATGGGAACTATACAGTCATAGCAATGGATGCAGCACCCATTCCTGGACCTCGTAGACCCTTCAATTTCTTTGGCTATATGAATAAAGTAAGTACTAATAAATATTCTGTATAGTATGAAATCTTCTGAGGGGTTTATTTTCATTATTTTTGTAATTAAGATAAAATCATAAGGATATCACCTGGTCGTAATATGGTCTTTAATTAAGACTTGACTCAGGGAGAAGAAAAAAAGCCCTAAAAAGACTATAGTCTATAGAAGTTGTAAAAATATTATACAAAAACTATCAAATATTGATTGATTCTTGTTTGCTTAACTTCCAGTGGCACATATTGCATGCTTGATCAGGACGAAACTAATCTATCAAAGATCTGCAATCAATTGACATATTTACATTTGTATGCAAATTTTTCTGCCATTACTAAAAATCACACCAGTTCCTGCAAAATATTACATTTTTTGGTTCATTCAGGGACAAAAGACAAGTTCAGCTAAATTTATACCAAAAAGTATAAATACATCTATTTTTCTTGCACTTTTAAAAAAACTCCATTATTAAATCTGTAAGGTTTGGCCCTCAGATTTGTCCTATAGGTAACTCCTGAACAAGGAGATGTATATTTTCTTTAAGCTACAAGTAAAAGAATAAATTTCTATATGTTTTTTTGTTGTCATGGTGATGAAATGTAATGGTACTTTCTATTAGGTCAGTTGTAGCCATTTAAATATTTATTTTGACAGGAAAGAAGGATGAAGTTACAAGATTTATCACAACAGGCAATGAATTCCAGCAATATGACTCTATGGTTTGGACATTATACTACATCTCTTATCGTAGATGCTGAGGAAAACAATATCAGAAATTTAATGAAGTAAGTGAACTCTATTTTAAGACATTTAGAGTCATTTAAGATCATTTAATGAAGTAAGTAAAGGAATGTTGAACATTTAATGAAAATTGAAAACCTTGCCAGTCAATATATTACCCGAATGAAAATAAAACTAGATTGTGTCAGAACGACAGGAATGGCCCCTTTCGCTAAAAAAGCTTGAAGCCATTTTTAGGAGTGGAAATTTGTCTGTATAACTGTTATTTTCACAAAGCCTGTAATATTAGCAAAAACCAATGGAGTGGAACCAAATGTAAACTTGATCTGTAACTCATCATAGTAGACTCACATACTAAAAATCATCTCAATATGTGATGGCGTTTAGAAAAAAAAGTCCATATAACTGTTTCTTGCCGAAATAAAAGATAAGGGTAAAACAATATGGCCCCTACAACTTTGTTGCAGGCCATAAAAAGACATTTAAGTAATTAAGTGAACTGATTTTCATACATTAAATGCATATTCTTGGTTGAAGTTGAAAAATAAATTACATGACCTTGCAAGAAGCCTTAGTAATTTTTTGTCTAAACTCTGTTGAAATGATTATTTACAGGCTCATTGCCCAGTCCTGTAAATATAATGTATAATGTTTGTCTGCTTACCAAAAGATTTTTAACTCCTTAAATGAAGGTGATGTTAAACGAGCTTTTTAATCTTATAAATAGTGTAAGAAAGTTAGAAAAGATTAGATAATTAGGTCAGTTTCAAAGCAATGCAACATATACTATGATTTGCCCCCAAAAATGTAGAAATTCAAGTACTTCGATTAACAGGTATTTTGCCTGCTTTATTTAAGGAATGTTAAAATGCAGAAATTATGCAATATGAAAAAGAAATTTATCTATTTTCTTTGTGTAAGGGAATGTCATGCTTAATTTATTATGACAGATCTTAAACTTGTCTGGTTTGCCGTCATTTGACACACAAAAGTAGTTTGTTAGTAATTTTTTTCTATTTTTGATTAATTTTTTGTCGAGCCTGCGACTTTTGTCGCAGAAAGCTCGACATAGGGATAGCGATCCAGCGGCGGCGGCGTTAGCTAACTTCTTAAAAGCTTTATATTTTAGAAGATGGAAGACCTGGATGCTTCATACTTTGTATATGGATGCCTCATGTTACGAAGTTTCCGTCAGTCACATGTCCAATGTCCTTGACCTCATTTTCATGGTTCAGTGACTACTTGAAAAAAAAGTTCAGATTTTTTGTAATGTTAAATTCTCTCTTATTATAAGTAATAGGATAACTATATTTGGTATGTGCGTACCTTGCAAGGTCCTCATGCCCGTCAGACAGTTTTCACTTGACCTCGACCTCATTTCATGGATCAGTGAACAAGGTTAAGTTTTCGTGGTCAAGTCCATATCTCAGATACTATAAGCAATAGGTCTAGTATATTCGGTGTATGGAAGGACTGTAAGGTGTACATGTCCAACTGGCAGGTGTCATCTGACCTTGACCTCATTTTCATGGTTCAGTGGTTATAGTTAAGTTTTTGTGTTTTGGTCTGTTTTTCTTATACTGTATGCAATAGGTCTACTATATTTGGTGTATGGAATGAGTGTAAGGTGCACATGTCTAGCTGGCAGGTGTCATCTGACCTTGACCTCATTTTCATGGTTCAGTGGTCAAAGTTAAGTTTTTGAGTTTTGGTCTTTTTTTCTAATACTGCATGCAATAGGTCAGCTATATTTGGTGTATGGAATGATTGTAAGGTGTACATGTCTAGCTGGCAGGTGTCATCTTACCTTGACCTCATTTTCATGGTTCAGTGGTCAAAGTTAAGTTTTTGAGTTTTGGTCTTTTTTTCTAATACTATATGCAATAGTTCAACTATATTTGTTGTATGGAAATATTTTATGATCTATATGTCAGTCACGCAGGTTTTATTTGACCTTGACCTCATTTTCAAGGTTCATTGCTCAGTGTTAAGTTTTTGTGTTTTCGTCTGTTTTTCTTAAACTATAAGCAATAGGTCAACTATATTTGTTGTATGGAAGAATTGTTAGCTGTACATGCCTGCCTAGCATGGTTCATCTGACCTTGACCTCATTTTCATGGTTCATTGGTCAATGTTTAGTTTACTTGGTTAATGTTAAGTTTATGTGACAGTTGTAATAAAGCTTTATATTTAGGACTATCAACATAATATCAATGATTAGTAAAGAAGGCGAGACATTTCAGTGTGTGCACTCTTGTTTCAATTAACAATAAAATGAACAAATGAATTTTTGAATTTGTTGCTGAAAGGCTCTCTTGATATTTCACAGTTATAAAGTCAGTATCAAAAACAATTAAAAAGTTCTTTATTGATTCTATATACACATTGCATTAAAGTAGTATATTTACAACATGTCTTTGACGTTGCTCTTTCAGTGACAGCCAATTAGACTTCATTTGCTTAACTTCTAATGACTCATGAACAAATAATTAATTTTAGAATCAAAGTTCAAAATGTGCAATATGTGATTTAAATGTTTACTGAATTGATTAACAGGGATGCAGCTTATTACCTTTGTGGACATCTTCATACCCTCAATGGTTTACTGACCAGGATGTACACAAGACATAATACAGGGACAATAGAGCTAGAACTGGGTGATTGGAGGGATAACAGATTGTAAGTAGGCAGATTTTACACACCCAATTAAGAATGGAGTGAATATATCATACAGGGGGCAGCTGAATGAGATTATTGATTTAAAATAAAATTGGTTGTAAGCAGGGATTTCTCATTCTATCAAAACTTGATTCGCACCCACTTTGAGTTTTTTTTATGGCCCCGCAACAGTCGTAGGGGTCATATAATTTTAGAAAAATTATGAAATCTTAACCTAAACAAGTATGTACTCGAAAAATAAAAAAGGTTATGGTATATTGCTCTGGTATAAGGTATTTTGTGGATTCATTATTATTTGTGACATACCAATTATCGTGGATTTCTTGGGTACTCATGAAACACAAATTAAAATGTTCAACGAAGTACACTATTTCTATAGCCTTGAATGCAGACTTATAAAACCACAAAATGAATATCCAGTTTTGCAAGTTTTCTTAAATCCACAAAAATAAATGAATCCACAGTTGTATTATCTGTTCCCAAACATCATGCATCAACAGTACAAAATAAAATCATATTTATATGTCTTACAACAAAAACAGAAAAAATTTAACTTTTTTTCAATTATAATAAAATATGTTTTAAGAGACTTTTGTCAAATAGGTTACACAATCTAGGCCACCCTTAAAAAAATGTGTTTTATGTTGTCTACCCATGCCCTGTAGGGTTGGGTATGTAGGTAGGGCTTTTGTTTTTGTTTTGCCAACAACATAAGTAACATGTTTTAGACAAGAAAACAACATAAGAGCAGGAAAAAATCTTTAAAAAAAAAATTTGCAACGATTTGTGTCATAAAATTTTTAGGTGGGAAGGTAGGCAACATCAAACAATTTAAATTTTTTTTTAGCCCTACATCTTTTATTTTATTTTTAAATAACATTCAGTCTAGGAAACAAATACACTATACTCCAAGGTACAGAAGCATCAATGTCCTGCATGGGCAATTTTTGGGAAAACCATCATCACTTGAATGTAATGATTTTGTTTGAAATCTTTCAGATACAGAGTATTAGCTATAGATAATGATATGTTGTCATTTACTGATGTGAAGTACGGAGAATGGCCAGTTGTCCTGATTACTAACCCCAAAGATGCTTTGTTTACTTCCTCTAAAGAACCAACTTATAGAATGAAAAACTCAACTTATATAAGGTAATGTTGATGTTATCTTCAGAAGAGCATGTAACAAAAGCTGAAAGGCTCTTATATCCCCCTGTCCTTTATCTGTTTTATTTTTCAGTCATTTTCTTCTTTCATTACTTGCCAGCATCATGGAAAGCATACCTAATTTTGTAGAAAGTTTTGTTGTAATAATGTTTTTGTTATAGTTTAAATCGAATTTTGAATTTCCAATGAATCTTAGCCCATACAAATATTTGTCAGAATTCTGATAAATATAATATCATAACCAAAGTTTTGTAGTTTTGTATTTGCAGATATCACTTATATAAACCATAAAAACATTATGTGTACTATTAGTACTATTGATATTGTGAAGGATTTATAAAAGATAAAAAAAAAAATATAAAAATACTTTGGTGTACAGCATTTAGAATTTTTTATATTTACATTCTTGTTTCTTATAAATTTATTTTGTTTTAGAATACTGGTATTTTCTACAGCAAAGATTCAGTCAGTTGATGTACATATTGATGACAAATGGATTGGACTAGCACATCATGTTCAGGGACCTCTGTATGCACTAAAATGGAACCCAGCTAGCTATCTTCATGGATTACATACCATTAAAGTCACAGTACAGGTACAATTGATGTATAGACATAAAGGGATGAGAAATACTTAATACACTGTTCCTATGATACTTTGGTCTTTAATTAATATAATATTTATGATAATCCATCATTTTTGGTAATTCCTACTGTTTCATTTTTAAACATCTGTGAAAACTCTTTAAGTTAAAAATTGCAATGAATTTCCAAACAGCAATACTGTGCTTACTGTGATACTAACCTTTATTTTTTGTTGTTTGAAACATATTTTATAGTTTTTGTCTCACCTGCGACTTTTGTCACAGTATGCCAGACATAGGTATTACAATCCTGTGGCTGCAACGCTGTAAACCATTTGTTTAAAGCTTTATATTTCAGAAGGCAGAAGACCTGGATGCTTCATACCTTGTATGCAGATACCTTATGTTACCAAGTTTCCATCTGTCATATGTCCATTTTCCTAGACCTAATTGTCATGGTTCAGTAACTGCTTGACAGTGTTTTTGTTAAGTGAAATACTCACTTATTATGAGTAATAGAATAACTATATTTGGAAATGGGTTCCGTGCGACGTCTACATGTCCATCAGGTAGGGTTCACCTGACCTTGACTTCGACCTCATTCCATGGATCAGTGATCAAGGTTAAAGTTCAGTGGTCAAGTCTGTATCTCAGATACTTTAAGCAGGTCAATTATATTTGGTGTATGGAATGATTGTAAGGTGTAAATGCCAGACTGGCAGGTTTCATCTGACCATGACTCAATTTCATGGTTCATTGGACAATGAAGTTTTTGGGGTTTGGTCTATTTCTCAGATATTATAAGCAATAGGACAGTTATATTTAGCGTATGGAACAATTGTAAGGTGTTCATGCATCTCTGGCAGGGTTCATATGACCTTGGCCTCATTTTCATTGTTCATTGGTCAATGATAAGTTTTGGTAATTTGTCATTTTATCAGATACTTTGAGCAATAGTTCAACTATATTTGGTGTATGGAATGATTGTAAGGTGTACATGTCTGTCTGGCATTGTTCATCTGACCGTGACCTCATTTTCATAGAACATTGATAATGTTAAGTTTATGTGATACTTGTAGTGAAACCTTTACAGACTTTCAACATGAATTCAATGATAAGTAAAACAGGCGAGACATTTCAGTGTGTACACTCTTGTCTAAAAGTTTAATCACTTTATTGGTAACAACACATGACCAATATTATTTATAATCATACACATGACTAATTGAAATCAATATGCTGAAAATTGTTGTCCCAAGGGTCGTTTAAAAAAGCAACTGTCTAGCAGGGTTCATCTGACCTTAGTCAATGTTAAGTTTTCATGGTTATGTCTGTTTCTCAGATAGTATGAAATTCAATCATGATAAGTAAGGCAGGCAAGACATTCCAGCATTTCCTGTGCACTCATGTTATAATATTTTGTTCTCTAATATACCAATCACTACCCCTTCCTCTGGCACACACATTTCAGCCTTAACTATTCTGTATTTTCAGGATTCAGTCAACATGTTAAAGACAGTAAAACAAGACTTTTCATTGGATGGTACAGTGACATCTTTTCCTTTTCTAGCCAAAATGGTTCTTACAAACAATATATACAACTTAGTAAGTTGATCAGTAGATTATGAGTCTCTATCAAGTTCAGTTTGGGAAAAAGTAAAAGGATTATATCAAACATTTACCCTATATCAATTAAAACAAAAACTAAAACTTTTCAAATGTTTGAAAATTCCAATTTTTATTTAATTGTAAGACACATTAACATTGCCCTCTCTGAAATCATTGACTTATGCCTGCAGATAATGGAATAGTATAATTCAAGACTTATGATGGCATTTTGTTTTTTAATCTGTACAATATCATTGTATCCCTAAGATTCAAATGTAACAAATTGTGTATTACTGAGTCATTACTAACATAGTTTTTCATAAAAAAAATTTGTATCAGATTATAAGGGATTATTTGACTGTAATTTGCAAAAAAAACAAGAAGGAATTTGGAAGGAGATGGGGCAAACAATAATAGCAAGAAAAAAACCAATCAAATGTTTCATGCACCTCCCTTGTCTGTTAAAAACGTTTATCTTAAAATCCATACTTCAAAGTGTAATTTCTGATTTAAAAATGGTTTGCTGTTTCATACATGACTAAAAAAAAATAGTAGTGTGGGTGCTGGAGAGTGCTTGCTTTTAAACAATGCAAAGGAGTATGTTCGGTAAGTGCCTTATTTGGCCCCGAATATCAAGTTCATTTTGCAAGATAAAAGATGTTTCAAGTTGATGAAAAGACGTGAGAAAGTGAAATGGAACCACTTTTGTCAAGGTATTGTAATAAAACATTGAAATTTACACCCCAAATAGGTCAAATATTGAGATTTTGATGAAAGTTGACATAATCGTCTGGATTTCAACCACATTAAGGCCTAGGAAACATAGAGTGCAGACTTCGACAAACTTAAATATTCAATTTCAGATATATTAATTGTTATAATAAAGTTTTTTATTTTTAATTTATCATATTTTATTGAAATCTGTACATTTGTTAGTTGGAAACTAGTAACGGTACCTTATCCTGGCCTCGTTAACATTTAATAGTAAATAACATAATTATACAGCTGTTAGTATTTGTTAGTAATATACCGGTACATACATTTTAGTAATCAAATAATGAAAAAAAAAAACATCAAATAAACAAAAAAACAATTGAAAGAAAAAAAGAGAGAAAAAAAAGAAAAAAAGTAATCAAAAAGAATTTCAAAGAAATTAAAAGTTGTTTTGTTTAAAAAGTTAAACAAACATAGATAATGTTAAAAGATCTTTTTTGTCGATGCATGCACTCTATGTTTCCAGTCCTATAAAAATAAAAAGATGTGGTATGATTGCCAATGAGACAACTCTCAACAAGACACCAAATGACACAGAAATTAACAACTATAGGTCACTGTACGGCCTTCAACAATGAGCAAATACCATACCGCATAGTCAGCTATAAAAGGTCCTGAAATGACAAATGTAAAACAATTCAAACTAGAAAACTAACGGCCTAATTTATGTACAAAATAATGAACGAAAAACAAATATGTTACACAGCAACAAACGACAACCACTGAATTACAGGCTCCTGACTTGGGACAGGCACATACAGAATGTGGTGGGGTTAAACTCGTTTAAAGGCGCCAAACCTCCCCTAACCTTGGACAACATAAGAACAAACTATAAAAATCAGTTGAAAAAGGCTTAACTCATCAGATGGATACAAATAGAAATACATCTAACAAACACACAGAGTGGACATGGATGGGAACTTATACATAAACGTATGGAAATTGACCTGTTTTCATTGAATTGTTGTGGAAAATCAATATATGAGCTATTTGTGATGTCAAGAAAAGAACACCAGCACGTAAATTTTCAATAAAAAGACATATTTACAAATCAGTTTTCCACACTTTTTTTCTTCATGCTTGAAGATATTGATACATAGTTTTATCATGACAAGTTACAGATCAAATTCGAATTTTGTTCTGGTCTAATGATTTTGTGCAGAGTTATGGTCCTTGGACTTAAAATTTCACTCAAATAATCAGTTTTCCTCACTTTTTTCATCATGCTTGAAAATATTGATTTGATAATTGGTTTATAGTTTTATCATGTCAAGTTACAGATCAAGATCAAATTTTGTTCCAGTCTGATGATTTTGTGCAGAGTAATGGTCCTTGGACTTAGAAAATTCACTTAAATAATCAGTTTTCCACACTTTTTTCATCATGCTTGAAGATATTGACTTGATATTTGTTATATAGTTTATGCCATGACAAGATATAGATTAAGTTAGCATTTTGTTCCTGTACAATGAATTTTTTACCGGTAGGGGACTATGTATTGCCATGCAATACTTTCAGAATGCTTGTTTTTTTTTTTTAAAAAGGTAATGGCTGGGAATTAAATAACTAAAAATTCAAGTGCCAATGTTATCAAAAATCAAAATTCTTACATTGTTGGAAAATATATATATATATTTCAGACACAGTGCATATTCTGGATGTTGATACTGATTTATATTGTCCTCCTGCTTATGTTGAGGTTATTAAATAACATTCAGGTCATGTTTATACAAGGTAAGTAAAGCTATTATCTCCCTTGATTATCCATGCTGTAGGAAAACTGTTGCTCATTATTTTAAGTACATATAAATAGGGGATATATTGAAAGCATCACATTTGATTACTTCAGAACAGGGTAAAAAGGTAGATTCAAAATTCTAATGCATTTTTTTAACTGCAAATTTGGTTGGACAATGTTATATATTTTGCAGGGTAAAATTCACTTCTTAACTGCAATAATACTCTATTAAATTCCTGGTGACTTTCGTTTATCTCAAAATTCATTCAAGAGACAATTGCTTTAGAATAAAAGTAACTAATATATTTTAATACTTGCAGATGTCAGTTCCTAAAACTCAATTTGTTACAGTAAAATCAAGGATTGATGTTGGCAATTAATTTTATTTTATTATAGAAATACAATGCAGTTATCCCTTAATCAAAAGTGCTCTTCTTTTGATATGTGGTTGTTTTTTTAATATATTTTGTGATGTTTTTATACGCCGGTTTACTGGAAGTATTATGGTATACTGTTGTCAACATGTCTGACAATAACTCAAAAATGCTCTAACCAATTTGCATGAAACTTTGGTGAATTGTTTACATCTATTGACATGAGCTCCTTTTCGATTTTTATAAATTTTGGATTTTACGTTTCCGAGTTGTGGGGTTTTATTCATTAAAAAAGGTGGGTTTTCTAGTTTTCGGACAATAACTAAAAAATGCTTTGAGCAGTTTTCATGAAACTTTGGTGAATTGTTAATATCTATTGATGTGCACTCCCTTTTGATTTTTATAAATTTTAGATTTTATGTTTCTAAATTGTGGTTTTTTTTTCATTAAAATATGTGGATTTTCCAGTTTTCGGACAATAACTCAAAAGTTCTTTGAGCAGTTGTCATGAAACTTTGGTGACTGGTTTATATCTATTAAAATAACCTCCCTATAGTTTTTATAAATTTCTGATAAGACATTGAGGAGTTATGGAACTTTATTCTTTGAAAAAGTAACAGGCGTATCATGCGCTCATGGCGCAGCTCTTTATTTCATGTACATCTACCCTTACCTATCCCTTTCTCACAGCACAGGAGAATACACATTAACATCCCCCAAGATGTATTCTAAAAAATAACAAAAGTTCTGACATCGATTCGTGACATATCACTTTTTCTTTAGAAGTGCCCATATTTAGTCAGGTCAAAAGTTATCACTATTTGTTCTTTCTCTAGAATAAATAAAAGGTGATATGGGGTATTGAATTGAGACAGCAATCAAACAACAGCAAACAACACTGATGTGTATTAGGGTTTTTCTGTTGGACCAGAACAGATTGTCTATGTTGAAGACTAATAAATTAAAGTCTAAAAAAAAATTATGCATCTTAAACATCACTGTTTAAATGACTTGCAAAAATACTTGCAATCGAGGCTGCCTGTAACTTAGAGGAACTTGGAAGTCAATTTCATGACAAAGTTCAAAGTAATTCTAAAAATTGATTATTTTCTATATTTTACAGGTCAGAATGTTATAACTAGAAATGTTGGCCACTTTATCAATATCTGGTTACTGAGGTTATGGCTGGTGACTAAAATAAAATCTTTATACTGGCTATTTACACTTTTTACACTGTATGTAGCAATAGGTATGTAATTTAAACATAAAATTTTAAGCTGAACATTAAGAGTAAGATCAGGGGTTCTGGAAATTTTTTTGGAATATATTTCCAAGTATTTGAAGGTGGGGTAAATTTTTTGTGGCAATTGTAATATTGGAAAAGCATTTAAATTAAGATTAGTAGCAGATACCAAAAAATGTAATTTATGACTAAAGGGAGTTGAAGAACATTCAATTTGACTGAAATTTGTAATTTCATTTCAGTCATTTGAAGTATGACTGCTTCCAGAACCTTGAATAAAAAATTTATAAGATATATGTTTTTATGCCCCCGTCGTAGTAGAGGGGACATTAAGTTTTACCCTTGTCCATCTGTACATCCCGAAATTGGTTTCCATTCTCTAACTTTAGTTTGTCTCAACCAAATGTTATGAAACTTATACACAATGCTTATTTACCACAAAACTCAGATCAAGTATGATTTTGGGTAGCATCACTTTTACCATTCTTGAGTTATGTCCCTTTATAACGTTATATGCAAGCAGGGGCATCATCTGTGTCCCATGGACACATTCCCCATTTATTTTTATTTATTATTGGAGATTGTCCATGACTATTTGTGCCCATTTGTTATGACCAAATCCAGAATGTCAGTTTCAGTATAAAAAGAATTGTTTATTTATATTTAATAAGACTATTTAAAATGAAAACTTGATTCACAAACTATAAAATTAAAAATTTTTGCAAGGTTTTTATTTGTGCCACAAATGATAAATAGTTGATTGGGGTTATAAACAGTAAAATCATGAATTCCATTTTTGTTATTGTCATGTAATGTTTTTATAGAACATATAATTTTTCATAAATATGAAAATGTTGACATATTGTTTTAAGTTTTGTGTTTCTATTGAAGGTCCCTGGTTTATAGCAGATGTTTTAGAGGGAGAAGTAGGAGTATTATTTGTCTGGGGATTATATGTCAAAGGGACATTACTCCCTGGATGTCTAGCATATCTTTATGGTATATTTCATGTAAGTACTGTAATCATATTGTAACATCCTTTTCCGAAAGAGTTTAATGAAGCAATGTTTTTCTGTTTCTGGGGAATGGCTATAAAGAATTGTGGATATGGTATAAACAGTTTTAAATTCCTGTTAAAAGAGAGGCAAAAGATACCAAAGTGACATTCAAACTCATATGTTGAAAACAAACTGACAATGCCATCACAAAAAACGAATTTGCAAGTTATATGTGATTATAATTTTTAAGCTACTACATACATGTATGAAATAAAACTGAGATAATGTCTGAAATGTTTCTACAGGAAAGCAATAAGTAATCATCATTTTTCTTGTTGCTGTTGCTTTTCATGGCAGAAAGAGTATTACCTCAAATAAATTTCAAATTTATAGTCATATTCACAGTTCTTTTTAGGAAATGACCATAATAGGTTATGATGCAGCCTAAAACAGTCAAAAAGTTCTCTTCTATTTATGTTTGAAAAGCTTTGCAAAATGTTTGTCATAGTTCAGAAAGCTGTAGCTTGGTTTTAGGTTTTTGGGAAATTTGTTGGGTTTTAAATATTATTATCCTAAGAATAAAAGTAAAACATTGATTCTTTAGTTCATAATACTAGTCAAAGTAATATCCAATGGAAAAAATCCCTAATCCACATTTAATTATAATCCACCAAACAAAGTTCCGTAGGGTATAATGTTTTTAACCTGTCAGTCTGTCCTTCAGTCCTAATATTGTCATTGCAACTCCTCTGAAACCACACAACAGAATTTCCTGAAACTTTGTAGATAATAAGGACTTACGATGTAGATGTGCATATCAACAGGAAATTATGATTCTATTTTATTTTTTTAGTAGTTATGCCCCTTTGAACTCAGAATTTTGCCCTAAATATACTACAGAACAATTTGTCATTGCAACTCCTCTGAAACCACACAACAGAATTTCATAAAACTTTGAAGATAATAAGGACACAGTTGACTTTTCTAGGAGTTAAGCTCCTTTGAACTTAAAATTTCAGATTAAATAAACTACTGCAACAGTTTGTCATTGCAACTCGTCTGAAACCACACAACAGAATTTCCTGAATCTTTGTAGATAATAAGGACATAATATGTTGAAGTGCATATCCACAAGAAATTTTTATTAGTTGACTTTTGTAGGAGTTATGAGTCTTTGTACTTAGGAATCTAGTGAGATTTTCTTTGCCCGCTGACAATGTGGGTGTATGGGGTAAGTGAGCATACTCACAAAGGTTCTTTAATTTCTATAAAAAAAGTTGTGTAACATACATTTTTAATATTTTAAATTATTCATAATCACAACATGCCAATCTTGATTAGTTTATATTATTTTATTTCTTATCTTCAATTTTGTGTATTTTTCAGATTGTGTTGTTTAACATTCCACTACTCTTAATGACTGGATACATTATTCATTATACACGACAGATGTCTCAGAAACATCATATACCAAGGTTCCACAAACTTAAACATATATATATACCATTTTTGTCACTAGTCATCGTTAATACTTTAATAGCTATTACAGAGTTTCCAGCAGCTTACGGAAGCAAAGCAATGATACTGGGTCCTGTTCGGACTGGATCTATATTTGTGTCATTTGTTGCTTACCATTTAGCTCAGAAACATGCATTAGCTATCCCAGCTTTTCATAAAGTTGATAAGGATTAATTTCAGAATCAAATTTACTAGCATATAAATTTCCGGTGAATGATGTATTACTATTACTCAGGCATTTATCTTACAAAAGCACATATTTATTTATTTATGACTTTTTATATGTATGCCAAATTGTTGGAGCCATTAAGTTATTGCCCCTTTTAAATTCAAGAATTTTTTTCCCAGTTTTATACCCAACTTTGTGATAATAACTCTTTTGAATGATTCATTATCGGTAAATTTTTTAATCCTTATATACAAATTTCACCGTGCATGTGTTTAGACAAGGGGAGATTTAGTGATTTAGAGCTTCACATAATGTATAGGCACTTGTCTATTGGTAAAAACTGTATATTGACCTGTAGATAAACTCATCATAGATACCAGGATTAAAATTAAGTACGCCAGATGCACATTTTGTCTATAAAAGACTCATCAGTGACTCGCGACACAAAAAAGTAAAAAAGTTCAAATAAAGTACGAAGTTGGTGAACATTAAGGACCCAAAATTCTGAACTCTTAATTTTCTGATTTGCTACCTCATTGATTATTACCTCACCTCTCTTTTTATTCAAATATGTATAGGGTATTCCAGTTCACTCAAGTTTTCCAGAAATGAAGGTTCAAGTTCTGCCAAGCAGACACATCCATTTTATATTTTTATACGACTGCAAAAATTAAAAAAATTTTGGTCGTATATTGGTATCACGTTGTCTTCATCATCATCAGCGTCGTCCGAAGACAGATGGTTTCCGGATAATAACTTTAGTATAAGTAAATAGAAATCAATAAAATTTTAACACAAGGTTTATAACCACTAAAAGAAGGTTGGGATTGATTTTAGGGGTTATGGTCCCAACTGTTTGGGAATTAGGGGCCAAATAAGCATTTTTGTAGTTTCCAGTCAATAACTTGTGTTCAAGTATGAATCTCTCTGAAATTATACCATAAGTTTCCATACGACAAGGGGATGGTTAGGATTGACTTTGGGGGGTTAAGGCTCAAACCATATAGGAATTAGGGGCAAAAAGGGGGGAAAACAAGGTTTTTTCTGGTTAAAGGACAATTAAGACAATTTTAAAGCAATCTAAGGGAGGTAATCCAATCCCATTTAAATACAACAATGTTTGATTACCTCCCTTATTTGCTTGTAAATTATGTATTAAATATGATGATTGTCTTGAGGTGATTAGCTGTCAATTTATTTTTAGAAGTTACTATTAATTAATATTATTTTAGCCATGACTACATGTACGTATGTCATTTTATATTTTATGACTTTCATTATGTATTTAAATGGGTAATTATGGTTGCAAAATTTATTAGAAATTTGAATTGAGATAATGACTATATCTTGAGGGAAAGAATTTTTTTTTGGAAAAACGGAAAGGGGGAGGTGAAAAAAATATTTTTTTTGGGGGGGGGACTATTTTTTCTCATTTCAGATTTCAGAAATTAAAAAGAAAATTTCTTCAAATATTTGAGGGGGGGGGGGGGGGGGGCGGGGGATCAATTTGCAACAGCATAGTGTATTGCACAAAAGCAAAAAATTGAATATAAATTCAAATCATATTACCAATTTTTCAGTTCTTTGACTCCAGTTATTCTGTGGCAGAAACCTATTATGTGTCAAATTTTTAATTACAATCCAAATTCAAACCTGTATCAAGCGTGAATATTGTGTCCATTTTGGCCCCAACTTTTCAGGGTTGGACAGCTGTGCTCAGCGAAGCAATTTATTTTAAATGATAATGACGACCAAGGCAAAATAAAAAGTCTAAATTTTATATCTCTCAAGGTCAATTTGTAAGAACTTACATGGACGGTAATGGAAAGATAGAACCCAAACAGAGTAAGCTCACTGGTCAATTTTAAAATCGTCATTATATTATCAAAATTTGAGAATTAGATTTGAGTATTTTATTATTTTATTTCTCATCTGAATTACTGGTATTTGTGTACCGGTATATTGTTATCTTGCCTATTTTTATACGACCGCAAAAAAATTTTGTGGTCGTATATTGGTATGACGTTGGCGTCGTCGTCGTCGTCGTCCGAAGACACATTGGTTTTCGCACTCCAACTTTAGTTTAAGTGAATGGATCTTTTTGAAATTTTACCATAAGGTTAAATACCACAAAAGGAAGGTTGGGATTGATTTTGGGGGTTATGGTACCAACAGTTAAGGAATTAGGGGCCAAAAAGGGGCCAAAAATAAGCATTTTCTAGTTTCCAGACAATAACTGTGGAACGGTGTATGGATCTCTCTGAAATTATACTACAAGTTTCCATACCACAAATGAATGGTTAGGATTTGCTTTGGGGGGTTATGGCTCAAACCGTTAAGGAATTAGGGGCAAAAAAAGGGGGAAAAACAAGGTTGTCCTGGTTAATGGACAAATACTTTAGTACAAAACATAATTTAAAGCAGTGTAAGGGAGATAAATCAAATACATCATTGAAATTATCTCCCTTACACTGCTTTTAAATTATGTATAAAGTAATGGTTAATGAACAATAAAGATAATTTAAAACAGTGTAAGGGAGGTAATCCAAATACAACGTTTTGGTTACTTCCCTTACACTGCTTTTAAATTATGTTTAAAGAAATACATATTTATAAAGGAAGAACAGTAAAAATATATGGGGTTCTTTGATATGCTGAATCTAACCATGTATTTAGATTTTTTATTTGTGGACCCCGTTATCAAATTGGTTCATATTGAGGTCAAAAGGGTCCAAAATTAACCTTTGTTTGATTTCATCTAAAATTGAATTATTGGGGTTCTTTGATATTCCAAATCTAACCGTGTATTTAAATTTTTAAAAATTTTGGGTCCTGTTTTTTAAATTGGTCTACATTAAGGTCCAAAGGGTCCAAAATTAAACTTAGTTTGATTTTAACAAAAATTGAATTCTTGGGGTTCTTTGATATGCTGAATCTAAAAATGTGTTTAGATTTTTTATTATGGGCCCAGTTTTCAAGTTGTTCCAAGATATGGTCCAGTATTTAAACTTTGTTTGATTTCAACAAAAATTGAATATATGGGGTTCTTTGATATGCTGAATCTAAACATGTATTTAGATTTTTGATTATGGGCCCAGTTTTCAAGTTGGTCCAAATTGGGGTCCAAAATTAAACTTTGTTTGATTTCAACAAAAATTGAATATATGAGGTTCTTTGATATGCTGAATCTAACCATGTATTTAGATTTTTTATTTGTGGGCCCCGCTATCAAATTGGTTCATATTGAGGTCAAAAGGGTCTAAAATTAAACTTTGTTTGATTTCATCAAAAATTGAATTATTGGGGTTCTTTGATATGCCAAATCTAACCGTGTTTTTAGATTTTTAATTTGGGTCCCATTTTTTAAAATTGGTCTTCATTGAGGTCCAAAGGGTCCAAAATTAAACTTAGTTTGATTTTAACAAAAATTGAATTCTTGGGGTTCTTTGATATACTAAATCTAAACATGTGTTTAGATTTTTGATTATGGGCCCAGTTTTCAAGTTGGTCCAAGATAGGGTCCAGTATTTAAACTTTGTTTGATTTCAACAAAAATTGAATATATGGGGTTCTTTGATATGCTGAATCTAAACATGTATTTAGATTTTTGATTATGGGCCCAGTTTTCAAGTTGGTCCAAATTGGGGTCCAAAATTAAACTTTGTTTGATTTCAACAAAAATTGAATATATGAGGTTCTTTGATATGCTGAATCTAACCATGTATTTAGATTTTTTATTTGTGTGCCCCGCTATCAAATTGGTTCATATTGAGGTCAAAAGGGTCCAAAATTATAAACTTTGTTTGATTTCATCAAAAATTGAATTATTGGGGTTCTTTGATATGCCAAATCTAACCGTGTTTTTAGATTTTTAATTTGGGTCCCATTTTTAAAAATTGGTCTTCATTGAGGTCCAAAGGGTCCAAAATTAAACTTAGTTTGATTTTAACAAAAATTGAATTCTTAGGGTTCTTTGATATGCTAAATCTAAACATGTATTTAGATTTTTGATTATGGGCCCAGTTTTCAAGTTGGTCCAAATTGGGGTCCAAAATTAAACTTTGTTTGATTTCAACAAAAATTGAATATATGAGGTTCTTTGATATGCTGAATCTAACCATGTATTTAGATTTTTTATTTGTGGGCCCCGCTATCAAATTGGTTCATATTGAGGTCAAAAGGGTCTAAAATTAAACTTTGTTTGATTTCATCAAAAATTGAATTATTGGGGTTCTTTGATATGCCAAATCTAACCGTGTTTTTAGATTTTTAATTTGGGTCCCATTTTTAAAAATTGGTCTTCATTGAGGTCCAAAGGGTCCAAAATTAAACTTAGTTTGATTTTAACAAAAATTGAATTCTTGGGGTTCTTTGATATACTAAATCTAAACATGTGTTTAGATTTTTGATTATGGGCCCAGTTTTCAAGTTGGTCCAAGATAGGGTCCAGTATTTAAACTTTGTTTGATTTCAACAAAAATTGAATATATGGGGTTCTTTGATATGCTGAATCTAAACATGTATTTAGATTTTTGATTATGGGCCCAGTTTTCAAGTTGGTCCAAATTGGGGTCCAAAATTAAACTTTGTTTGATTTCAACAAAAATTGAATATATGAGGTTCTTTGATATGCTGAATCTAACCATGTATTTAGATTTTTTATTTGTGTGCCCCGCTATCAAATTGGTTCATATTGAGGTCAAAAGGGTCCAAAATTATAAACTTTGTTTGATTTCATCAAAAATTGAATTATTGGGGTTCTTTGATATGCCAAATCTAACCGTGTTTTTAGATTTTTAATTTGGGTCCCATTTTTTAAAATTGGTCTTCATTGAGGTCCAAAGGGTCCAAAATTAAACTTAGTTTGATTTTAACAAAAATTGAATTCTTAGGGTTCTTTGATATGCTAAATCTAAACATGTATTTAGATTTTTGATTATGGGCCCAGTTTTCAAGTTGGTCCAAATTGGGGTCCAAAATTAAACTTTGTTTGATTTCAACAAAAATTGAATATATGAGGTTCTTTGATATGCTGAATCTAACCATGTATTTAGATTTTTTATTTGTGGGCCCCGCTATCAAATTGGTTCATATTGAGGTCAAAAGGGTCTAAAATTAAACTTTGTTTGATTTCATCAAAAATTGAATTATTGGGGTTCTTTGATATGCCAAATCTAACCGTGTTTTTAGATTTTTAATTTGGGTCCCATTTTTTAAAATTGGTCTTCATTGAGGTCCAAAGGGTCCAAAATTAAACTTAGTTTGATTTTAACAAAAATTGAATTCTTGGGGTTCTTTGATATGCTAAATCTAAACATGTGTTTAGATTTTTGATTATGGGCCCAGTTTTCAAGTTGGTCCAAGATAGGGTCCAGTATTTAAACTTTGTTTGATTTCAACAAAAATTGAATATATGGGGTTCTTTGATATGCTGAATCTAAACATGTATTTAGATTTTTGATTATGGGCCCAGTTTTCAAGTTGGTCCGAATTGGGGTCCAAAATTAAACTTTGTTTGATTTCAACAAAAATTGAATATATGAGGTTCTTTGATATGCTGAATCTAACCATGTATTTAGATTTTTTATTTGTGTGCCCCGCTATCAAATTGGTTCATATTGAGGTCAAAAGGGTCCAAAATTATAAACTTTGTTTGATTTCATCAAAAATTGAATTATTGGGGTTCTTTGATATGCCAAATCTAACCGTGTTTTTAGATTTTTAATTTGGGTCCCATTTTTAAAAATTGGTCTTCATTGAGGTCCAAAGGGTCCAAAATTAAACTTAGTTTGATTTTAACAAAAATTGAATTCTTAGGGTTCTTTGATATGCTAAATATAAACATGTGTTTAGATTTTTGATTATGGGCCCAGTTTTCAAGTTGGTCCAAGTTGGGGTCCAAAATTAAACTTTTTTTGATTTCAACAAAAATTGAATATATGGGGTTCCTTGATATGCTGAATCTAACCATGAATTTAGATTTTTTATTTGTGGGCCCCGCTATCAAATTGGTTCATATTGAGGTCAAAAGGGTCCAAAATTATAAACTTTGTTTGATTTCATCAAAAATTGAATTATTGGGGTTCTTTGATATTCCAAATCTAACCGTGTATTTAGATTTTTAATTTTAAGTCCCGTTTTTTAAATTGGTCTACATTAAGGTCCAAAGGGTCCAAAATTAAACTTAGTTTGATTTTAGCAAAAATTGAATTATTGGGGTTCTTTGATATGCTGAATCTAACCATGTATTTTGATTTTGGACATTGGACCATAATAGGTAAATTATAAAAATTCAAGTTCTTAGACCACATTCTTTCTGTGTCAGAAACCTATGCTGTGTCAAATATTTAATAACAATCCAAATTCAGAGCTGTATCAAGCTTGAATGTTGTGTCCATACTTGCCCCAACTGTTCAGGGTTCGACCTCTGCGGTCGTATCAAGCTGCGCCCCAGCGAAGCATTTTATTAACATCATCTGAATATGAATGTTATTGTATTTACCACTAGATGTTAAGTTTCCATCAATTAGTCATCATCTGTGATATTTATTATAAATGTTGTGTAATTTATTGATATTTTAATAAAATGGGCGAAGGTAGTGTTTTTATGTTTCGGTAGTTAGAACAGTTTATACTGTAAATAGAGAAAAGTTTGGTAATCAGTACTATAACTTCATGAACTTTGTTGATATTTGATTTCCAATCTAAATAACTTTGGTAAGCAATTCACAAATGGAAAGAAGACAAGAATAATACTGATGTTTCTGACAAAGACAAATGCCTTTCAGCATTGTCAAAAACAAAGGTTTGCACTAACTTAGAATTGACTACCTAAGAGATTTACTACTTCACGTTGAATGTCAGCCCTGTCGATACTTCATCGGTTTCAAATGAGTATAAGGTTATACAATGTTGTAAAAATCCATTTAAAATTAATATATGAATAACATAACAGCTGATTAAAATTTTAAGGATTTTTAAGCAAAATGTTTGTTGCAGATAGGTTTACAGTTTGTCAAACTGTGTCAAAGTCAAACACTGGTTAAATGGTCAATGAAAAAAAACAACTGATCATAAATATATCTATATCCTCTTACACCTCCACACATGCCCTAGACAAAAAACCCAATTTAATGAAGTTTGCCATCTGCTATTAACCACTTGCTACATGTTTACCTCAATAAATTTCTATTCACAGTTCAAGAAATTTCCAATGACACTATAATTGTTTTCTAATCTGTGGAAAATGTCCACTTCAAATGTTCAATCAAAATTCTAAAGAGAACAAATCTTTAATTTGTTTTTGTTTCAGCATCTATCATAAATATTCAATACATATATTCAATAAAAAAGTATGATTAGAATTCGATCATATGAGTATATGGTCCATTGGTGTCTGTCCTAAACACCTGTCTGTTTCCATATGTACCACTCTGTACAGAAACATTAGGATTGTTTTGTTTTACTATGTCATTACACGATTGCACAAATTCATCGTACAGTTTTTTGCCTTCCTCTTTATCAATGTTTTTATGATACTGCATCAATTTTCCCTTCAATGTACCTCCTAATGTAGCTTGTGGTACAATCAACACATCTCCAGGTAGTTCTAATATGGATACTAATTTCCCTTCATCATTTGCACTAAGTCTGGTATTTAATGCTGCCTTAACTGAAATTATAATAATCAGACAAGTGCATATACTTTCAAATTATACATAAACATAAAAGGTACTACAGCAGTTTTCATTTTTTTCTATTTTGGCTTTTTCATACCTGGGACTAATATACTAACTTAGTATAATAGTCCCAGTTCATACGTAATGCTTTAAAAAAAATTGGACAAGCATTCAACTCCAATATCTAAATATTTTACTATAAACAAATGTGGTTCATAAGTGTTTCTCGTTTCTCGTTTTTTATATAGATTAGACCGTTGGTTTTCCTGTTTGTATTGTTTTACACTAGCCATTTTGGGGCCCTTCATAGCTTGCTGTTCTGTGTGAGCCAAGGCTCCGTGTTGAAGGCTGTACTTTGACATATAATTGTTAACTTTTTACACATTGTGACTTGGATGGAGTGTTGTCTCTCTAGAAATTGACAATGAAGGTTGGTTGAAAACAAAACTTTACGACAAAAGAGATGATTTCAGCTTCCCAATTGTGAACTTTCCATTTCTATGTAGCAACATTCCAGCAGCGCCTGCATATGAAGTATATATCTCCCAATTGATATGATATTCCCGGGTTTGTATTTCCTATCATGATTTCCTTGATAGAGGATTGCTGCTCACAAGGAAGCTATTAAACCAAAAGTTCCAAATGATGAAGTTGAAATCATCCGTTCGTAAATTTTACGGACGCCATCACGAGTTGGTTGACCGTTATGGAATAACCGTTTCACAAATGATATCGGATATGTTCCTTATGTCATAACTACAATACCCTTCCCTTTTCACGATTGTGACCTACCGAATTAGACTATTTACCGGATTTGTAATAACATAAGCAACACGACGGGTGCCACATGTGGAGCAGAATCTGCTTACCCTTCCGGAGCACCTGAGATCACCCCAGTTTTTGGTGGGGTTAGTGTTGCTTTGTCTTTAGTTTTCTATGTTGTGTCATCTGTACTATTATTTGTCTGTTTGTCTTTTTATGTTTGGCCATGGCGTTGTCAGTTTGTTTTCGATCTATGAGTTTGACTGTCCCTCTGGTATCTTTCGTCGCTCTTTTGTCTCATTGGGGCTCATACCACATCTTATTTCTATTAACATTTGGCTTTATATAATTACTACCATGAAAATGAGGTCAAGGACAATGGACATATGACAGACGGAAACTTCGTAACATAAGGCATCTATATACAAAGTATAAAACATCCAGGTCTTCTAGCTTCTAAAATATAAAGCTTTTAAGAAGTTAGCTAACGCCGCCGCCGGATCACTATCCCTATGTACAGCTTTCTGCGACAAAAGTCGCAGGCTAGACAAAAATCCAGTGACATGCTTATTCCCCCAAATTGAGCTTCATTTTCAAATTACATTGATGTATTGTGATATGAATAAAAAGGTATATGGGTTATATTATGTCATATGAATAAAAAGGTATATGGGTTATATTATGTCATATGAATAAAAGGGTATGTGAGGTATATTATGTCATATGAATAAAAAGGTATGTGGGTTATATTATGTCATATGAATAAAAGGGGATGTGGGGTATATTATGTCATATGAATGAAAGGGGATGTGAGGTATATTATGTCATATGAATAAAAGGGGATGTGGGTATATTGTCATATGAATAAAAGGGGATATGGGGTATATTATGTAATATGAATAAAAGGGTATGTGGGGTATATTATGTCATATGAATAAAAGGGGATGTGGGGTATATTATGTCATATGAATAAAAGGGGATGTGAGGTATATTATGTCATATGAATAAAAGGGGATGTGGAGTATATTATGTCATATGAATAAAAGGGTATGTGGGGTATATTATGTCATATGAATAAAAGGGTATGTGGGGTATATTATGTCATGAATAAAAGGGAATGTGGGGTATATTGTGTCATATGAATAAAAGGGAATGTGGGGTATATTATGTCATATGAATAAAAGGGTATGTGGGGTATATTATGTCATATGAATAAAAGGGTATGTGGGGTATATTATGTCATATGAATAAAAGGGGATATGGGGTATATTATGTCAACAAGACAGCAATTATATTTCATAAATCACCAAAACACATTTAGAGGTAAACATACAGCATATACAGGTGTATATACAATCGGGGTTCTCACAAAGGATTTTTGAAGGCGAGTCCAGGAACTCCTTGAAAAAATAGAGCAACACAATGACATCAAATTTTAATTGCTTAAACACATTTGCTATAGAATGATGTGTGCTCAGTAGATAAAACATTTTACAATCTTGATGCACCTTTGGACTCACCAGTTTTGAAAATGAGTCCAGACAGATTCTCACGAGTCCAGGACTTAGCGGGTACCCTGTATACAATATTCATCCTGAATGTGCATGACATATATGTCACTGGATGTTAATCAAGCAAGCAACAGTTGATCAATCTTCACAATATGTCAGGTTCATACATGTAGTTTAAGAAAGATGTGAATTAATTAAGCTCAATTCACCATTGAAACAGACTTCATTGGTAAAACAATATTTTAAATTCCAGCAGTAAACATCCTTTTAAGGATTTAAAAAAGAGAAATGTCACAAGCATGATAATTAAATACACATACTAGTATACAAATAAATGGTCTACTCTACCATAAGGACTTTATAAATATTATCTAATGATAGTAACAGACAATATTAACATCTCAATCACTTCTGCAAGACAGTAGGACAGAATTTATTTTCTTCTTGAAACAGAAATGGAAGTGAAAACAGCATACAACGTAACAATGGTCGTTCATTCCTCAATAACACATCAATAAAAAAAACTTTACTTCAATTTCAAAAAGAGTCCTCAATATATGCAAAAGTCAGATTAAGAACAACTTATTTTTGTTTTTAAAAGAATTTGTATGCCTAATTGCACCCCCTAATTACATTTGGACCATAATATGTTTGGGAAAAAACGAAAATTTCAAATAGGCAATTGCTGAGGGATGTGCCTCATAATATATTGCTGTGCATTAAAAAAAAACCAGCATAATATGGGACATATTAAGTGTGACAATGTGTGAATAAAATATAATTATACATTATTACTTTGATCAAAGACATACGAGATATATATTATGTCTCTGATCAAATCCTTTATTGATACAAACACTGAATGTTCCATATGGTGCCATCTATCATCATTATCAGTCCAATTTATTCAGAGTGTTAAGTTTATATTATAATGACAAAACTCTTTGCAATATAGTCGGCATGGTCATTATGGTCTCAGATATTTTTTTTCTGTTTCTGGTACACTATACATTTAGACAGAGACAAATATAATACTGTATTATATGTCTCTGATTTAGAGAATTCTATTTTTCGGTCAAAACAATCTCGACATCCTGTTTTTTGCGCAGCATGTCAATGTTTTTTTTATGCTTAATGATATTTACCCATTTTGGACACTGTGTCTGATGTTGAACCTTTCAGGAAGCATATATACACTATCAAACCTCTTCCAATCTAACGAAACAATGCAAAATTGTAGTTATGAATATCAAACATCATCACAAGGTATTGAAACTAGAGGATCTAAAGAGCCTGTATCGCTCACCTAGGTCTATCTGCATCTTCTGTTAGTTCAACAGTGGATACTCTCGAACATTGTGAACAAGAATAGAATTCATGACAAAAATTTCTTTTTTGTTGATCTTGTATTGCTGATCATTTTCTGTTTAGTTTCTCTCAATTGTCTTACGTTTTTACCAAAATCACAAAAAAGTAAAAAATTTCATTTAATGGCAATCACTCCTATAAAGAGTCTACTAACGATTTCGGCAAATTTTGACTTATTTGTAGATCTTGTCTTGCTGTTCATTTTTGCTATTTAAAGTGTCTATCTATCTTTTATAATTGTCAAGCCTGATGATAGGCAAAAACGGAAAACGATTGGTAAAAATCGTCATTAAAGAAAAAGAACTCCAATAAGGAGTCGACTGACGATTTCGCTCATGTTGACTTATTTGTTGATCTTGCTTTGTTGAAAAATTTTGCTATGGAAAGTGGATATCTATCTAATCATAGTTTTCAAGATATGAAGCAAAAACGCAAAACAAAAGTCATTAAAGGTTAATAACTCCAGAAAAGGGAGTGTCAGACGATTTCAACCATGATGAATTATTTGTAGATTGTGTCTTGCTGGTCGTTTTTGTTTATTTTAGTGTCTATTTATCTGTTATAGTTTTTTTAGAACCATAAATTGGCATAAATTGTCATTAAAGAGCAATATAACTCCAATAAGCGGCTTCAAATGTTTTCAACAATGCAGACTTGTAGATTATGTCTTGCTGGTAATTTTTCAAGGTTATTTAAGTTTCTATCTATCTATTATACTTTTTCAGATATTAGTCAAAAATGAAAAAAAAAATTGTTAAATTTGTCATTTAAGGACAATAACTTCTATAAGAAAGTGTCTGACAGTTTTGATTAAAATGGACATTAGGCAACGTAGGTAGATCCAATCATGCTAAACATTTCTACCCCTGTCAGATTTTCTCTATTTATAACGGTTTTCTCTCAATGCTGCTTGTTCATTGGAAAAAATTATTTCGGTCAGAAGAGAGATGCAAATTAACTCTACTACGGAGGCTATTGAACGACTGACCGATCGCGAGTTATAAACACTCGAAGGAGAGCTGCCGCGGTCATGAAGTCCTTTTTTGAAATATATATCGTTGCTTTCTACTAATGTTTCGGGAAGAAAGAGTTTTCCTGTTCTCAGAAATAGACTCAATCATTTGCATGTATACAAAATACTTTTTATTTTTACTTGTCTTCCCATGATGTTGACCAATTAACCATACATTTTGTCCTTATTTTGGCCTTTATTCGGATTCCTTGCTATGCAAGGATTTGTATAGTCATGACTACTTTGCTGGTCATAACCATACAAGGCGCGGACTTAGACAAAATCCAAAATCATTGTATTTAAATATTTCAGGATCCCCTTAAATTAAGGATATCCGACTATAAATCATTAGGACCTCCTGAAATATTGCAGGCTCACTTAATTCGATTTTATGAAACGTTTTTTTTTAGATACGATAAGTGACACCTATGCCCTTGGCGTGTATCAGTTTATGAAAATGTCAGGAAAACTTGTCAGAGAAAGTTGACTTTCCAGATCGAATTTTCGTCATTGAAAAGATAGCGACGTTCTTCAGCATTTTGAATACAAGACGAGATATCAGCAAATAAAAATAATTTTAGGTTTCATAGAGAAAGTATAGTATCTATTGCATGTCAAGTCCTTTGCTGTACTACTCAGTACTACACTACGACATCATTTTTTACTCCATGGTCAAAATGTGGACAAAACTTCCTTTTGAACTCCATCCCTTTCCTTTCATGTCTATGATTATTCCGTCAAAAAGAAAGTCTTTACAAAATGTGCTCTACCTGGTTTTAAAAAAGACCATGGATCTCATTAAGAACCATGGCTATGAAGTCGATACTAAGGTCTCAAATTTAAACATAAAGTACTGGATCCGCCCTTTTATCATTTCATAAAACTGAAAACATGCACAAGGGATATACATCAACGAGACAACGAGACAACAACCCATTGGCACATGGGCAACATCCTTTTTCCAAGTCGTGTTCATTTTATAAGCAGATTAAATTTTGATTTCTCATTTCTAATATTGCAAGGGTCTCGGTGACCGAGTGGTCTAAGTACATGTAGTGCATTTACTGTACCTGTCAATACTGAGGTTGTAACGGTTCGAACCCCGCACGTGGCAGGCTAGTCCAAATAATTATGACGTCTTGAAAGGCTATTATATTTTTTTTCTTTGACGCCTAAAAACTGTCCGCCACGAAATAGCCAATAGTCATGAAAGTGGCATTAATCATATTATGGCAATCTAATATAAAACCTGCATAGCATTCAAGCAAATTTCAATCTTAAAATCGCGTCACTATAATTATATTGAAACTTTTCATGTGGCTGTACAAAACGTCCTTGTAAGCAATTACTCAGTTTCATACCTTAACCAATATATAAACAGTATGTAGGTAAAACAAATCAGAGACAATTGCCTATGCTTATAACCAAGTAAAACCCAAAACTGCTTATACTAAGCTTTCAACCTACAAACTAAACCATAGCAAAGTAGTTAAAATCCGTAGTTAAGTGGAATGATGTTGAAACTATAAACTAGTATAAGCTAATTTACTTTGGCTCACCTCAACAAACTGTGCTTCTTCTGTGTCGGATTTTGGCTGAACTTGCAGTCGAGCTGACAAGCATTGCTGAAGAACAATTCTGGCTTTTCTGTCCTCAAACTTTTCAGTACTCATAATTTTCTTGACAAATGGTTTGGGATTTGCGAAATTGTGGAATTTGCAGTACAATTTGGCTTTTAGTCCACAAATAAGCGAAAACTACAAGTAAATGTAACCCAGTGTACTTTTCCGCTTATCAAATATCCAACGGAAATCAATATAAGAACTTTACACGATTTGTTTGATATCTTTAATTACCGAAATGGGAAAAAATAATATCGGAGCCTAATATTTAATTTTGATATTCAAGATGTCTGCGCCCATGGGACACGATCGGTCACGACCAAAGCCAAAAGAGGACGACGAGGAAGAAGATCCAGTGGACAAGATGCTTACAAAAACTGGATGCAAAGAATTACATTACCTTGTCCAGGTAACTCATAGTTCCTTACATTTATGAAAAAAGTTTAAGCTACTTCGTAAACATCTTTTGTTTATGGAACAGGTGTTACCAAATACCAAATTTAAAGTACAGTAACACTGCGATGTACTGCTTTATATTGTATCCGATGTTAAGCTTAGAAAATATGTTTTGTGCCGTCCGTCTTTTTGTTTTTTATTTAAGATTACCATGAGCAAACAATCGTTGAATAACTTTTTTACTGTTACAAATGTACATAAATAAAGGTCCTATATAATGAACTTTTCTGCTATGTATTGAAAACAAAAATCTCTCTGCGTTTACAATTCATGATTTCGCTCTCATCATGCTCATGTTTTAAACATGCTCTCGATCATCGGGTCGATTATTGATTCAATCATGGAAGTATATTGACAATTTATCATGTCAAAAACTGTAATCCAAGACTGACTGCAAAATACATGCCAACTAATTAGTTTTGCACCGGAACATTGCAACCAATGAATTAATCGGTGTGTAAAAACTTTTACCTCAGACTATATCTGCTTGTTAACTCACAAAAAATCAAGTCCTTATATCAGTGAAAACTGAATTTGTTTGTTTAATAGTATTTTGCTCTAGATCATGTAGATACTGTCTTTTGATCACCAATTTAAAAAGCTTCTGTACAACTTGTGTAAAATTCCATGAAGGTTTGACGAAGTTATTGATGGCTGAAAAACTTTAACCTGAGACTGTAATGTTAATGTTAACTGTAAAAAAATGTTTATCAGTAAAGTACAGAAACATGAAAAATAAATATCTTAGAAACGTTGCTTCGGGTACAGTCTTTTTGTCATGAAAAAACATCTGTCCAAATTTTATAAATCTCCGTGAGGGTTTGACAAAGATATTGATATTTAAAAAAAAAAAACTTTAAGGTCTTTACAGACTGAATGTAAATGTTGACGACGACGACGACGGAATCGAAAAAAAATATTTAAAAGAGAAAAGGGCAAGTCCTGGATATGCCGCCTTCACTAAAAGACTAATAGTAATTAGAATTCATGATTTGTGTATTTCAATTATATACTTACAGGATTGTATGGGAGAACACAATGATTGGAGGAAATGTCAAAAACAGGTCACAGAGTTCAGGAAATGTATGGAAAAGAAATCATCTTGATACATTTGAGGAAGTGTGTGTCTTTGCAAGTGAACAATAAATCCTCTGAAATATACTATGGAAAAGAATATCTGTGATATTTAAGATACTTAGAAGAACCATATCTACCTTTTATGTAATGACAAATAAACGATACCTTTCGCTGTTGTTAAATGTTAAGATTTTGTTCAAAAGAATTTCTGTTCGTCCAAGTTTTGATTACTACTTCACTTATACATTGCTTGATTGATTGTTGGTTGCTAAACTTCCAGTGGCAAATATTTCATGCATGTTCAGGACGAGAACAAATTAACAATAAATACAATAGGTATGTCCAGTAATATATAAGCCGTCTGGGATGAAGGTCGATGTAATTTATTTATACTGCCACTGGAGAATGATGGTATATTGGATAGGGACAGACATTTTGCCTTGCAACAGGCCACATACATAACCCTCAAAGAGTTGTTACAACGGGTTCTTAATGTGCAGAGAGCGTGGCACTCTTTCTACACGAGGCATCGGATTTAACTTCCGCATTTTGACCGGACGTGACTGCGTACTTGTACATCCCACACAGCCAAACGAACACCCTACTTTGGCAAGGGTTTTTACTGTCAGTCGATAGAATACCTGTAGTGACCATATTTCTATTCCCCAGTCACCCTTTGGGGTTTCTTGACTTACAGACTATGGTTAGTGCTTAAGACCCTTTTTGATTTCAATCAGATGTAAACGGCCTCAACATGACTTTAGAGATTTGGAAAAGCACTAGAATATATGTATTGTATTTCGTGTTCATTGAACTAAAAGATCATAAAATGCTAAAACTAGACATTGAAAAAAAAACCCTGGTTTTTAATTTTAAGGTGACTGGTCAAAGGATAAGATCGAAACATGAATGAAGACTTTTAAGACCGTGACTCAACAGTATAGGTATCCACTTACACCCAATCTTCGCTACATATAGTGACTAGAGTGATTTCTCATGAGGACATGATGACCCCTATTTATAGAATCCGCGAAATAGTTCAAGCTCCTTTGGTTTTGTTATAAGTAGTTTGAGATTGCTTTGACGTCTAACTGCTGTCTTAGGACTCGTTTTATTGAAGGCTGAAGCGGAAGCCTGTCATGTTCCTCTTGGACATTGAGAGGGCATAACAGCTTCTTGGAAGTACGTACATACTTGAAAATGAAACCATTGATGAAAACAGTTGACTGATTGTTGTTTTTTTATTGTCCAGTAGCAAATATTTCATGTATTTTCAGGACCAAGGAACACAAAACACTAGAGGAAACTGTTGTAAAGTCATGTTTGGAATTTTTATTCATTTGTTTTTTCATCCCTCGGTAAATGCTATTTGTTTTTTCATCCCTCGGTAAATGCTAAAACACCTTCCAGTGAACCGGGAAGAAGAATTTTACCATCAAAGTCATTCTTATTCAGTAAATTTATCTAGCTAATTACACATCAGTATTAGAATGTTTTCGTGATTACGTACATACATGTGACTTAATTTCCGGCGTCCTCTTAAAAACATTATTTCCTATTTTTCAAAAGATTATCTGCTCTTTTTATGCCCTCGCCGTAGCGGAGGGGGCATTAAGTTTTACCTTTGTCCGTCTGTACGTCCGTCCGTCCGTACGTCCCAAAGTTGGTTTCTGTTCTCTAACTTTAGTTTGCCTCAACCAAATGTGATGAAACTTATACACAATGCTTATTATCACAAAACACAGATCGAGTTTGAATTTTGGTGGCGTCACTATAACCGTTCTAGAGTTATGCCCCTTTACATATGGAAAAATGGCTGAATTTTTCGTTTCCGTTTTCTAACTTTAGTTTGCCTCAACCAAATGTTATGAAACGTATACACAATGCTTATTACCACATAACACATATCAAGTTCGAAATTGGGTGGCGTCACTTTTACAATTCTTGAGTTATGCCCCCTTATAAACATAAAAACTGCTGGATTTTTCGTTTCCGTTCTCTAACTTTAGTTTGCCTCAACCAAATGTTATGAAACATACACAATGCTTATTACCACATAATACAGATCAAGTATGAAATTGGGTGGCATCACTTGTACTTTTCTTGAGTTATGCCCCTTTATAAACATAAAAATTGCTGAATTTTTCGTCTGTTCTCTAACTTTAGTTTGCCTCAACCAAATGTTATGAAACTTATACACAATGCTAATTACCACAAAATACAGATCAAGTTTGAATTTTGGTGGTGTCACTTTTACCGTTCTAGAGTTATGCCTGTTTACAAATTGAAAAATTGCTGAATTTTTCGTTTCTGTTCTCTAACTTAAGTTAGCCTCAACCAAATGTAATGAGACTTATACACAATACTTATTACCACAAAACTCAGATCAAGTACAAATTTGGGTAGCGTCACTTATACAGTTCTTCAGTTATGTCCCTTTATAACTTTATATGATATGCAAGCTGGGGCATCGTCTGTGACCCATGGACACATTCCCCATTTATTTTGATTATTATTATTATCAATAATCTATCATGCATGTTGACACGAAAACAAAAAGAAACACAGCTTTGGCAAGATATTGTTATTTAATTTTTGTTGTTGCGAATATGGAATATCGGCTACAGGCGACCATGGATATGTTTTACTTCTAAAAAAAATTCCGTTTTTGGGGCGTTTATGATGATCAATCATTAATTTTCCGTCATTTACTTTCTTTGTGAACAGATAAAAAAAGTTAATTGTTGTTTATTGTAGGAGCACAGATCAACTGTTTCATTGGCCCACAAAGACTTTTTAAGCTAAATGTTTCAAGAAGGTTTTGCATTTGTATTTATTAAAATTTTCAACCTCTGTCGTTCACTGGAGTATACAATATGACATCTCTTCCTATATTATGTTTCAACCACTGCCTTCGCTGGAGTATACAATATGACATCTTTTCTCCAGGATTCAACCTCTGCCATTCACTGGAGTATACAGTCCGACATCTCTTCCTATATTATGATTCAACCACTGCCTTCGCTGGAGTATACAATATGACATCTTTCCCCCAGGATTCAACCTCTGCCATTCACTGGAGTATATATACAATATGACATCTCTTCCCCAGTATTCAACCTCTGTCGTCCACTGTAGTATACAATATGGCATATTATTTCTCTCTATATTTTGAGGATTCAACCTCTGCCGTTCACTGTAGTATACAATATGACCTCTCTTTCCCCAGGATCCAACCTCTGCCATTTACTGGAGTATACAATATGACATCTCTTCCTATATTATGATTTAACCACTGCCTTCGCTGGAGTATACAATATGACATCTTTTCCCCAGGATTCAACCTCTGCCATTCACTGGATTATTGTATACAATATGACATTTCTTCCCCAGGATTCAACCTCTTCCGTTCACTGGAGTATACAATATGACATCTTTTCCCCAGGATTCAACCTCTGCCATTCACTGGAGTATACAATATGACATCTCTTCCTATAATATGATTCAACCACTGCCTTCGCTTGAGTATACAATATGACATCTTTCCCCCAGGATTCAACCTCTGCCATTCACTGGAGTATACAATATGACATCTTTTCCTTCACTAGTATTATGATTCAACCACTGCCTTCGCTGGAGTATACAATATGACCTCTCTCTCCCCAGTATTCAACGAGTCTTCAACCTCTGTCGTCCACTGTAGTATACAATATGGCATATTTTTCTCTCTATATTATGAGGATTCAACCTCTACCGTTCACTGGAGTATACAATATGACATCTTTTCCCAAAATTCAACCTCTGCCGTCCACGGGAGTATACAATATGACATCTCCCCCCCCCCCCCTTTCCCCCCGAATTTAACAACTGGAGTATACAATATGACATCTATTTCCCCTGGATTTCTCTGCCGTCCACGGGAGTATACAATATGATATTTTTCTCTAAATTCAACCTCTGCCATTCACAGAAGTACATACACAATATGAAATCATTTCCCCTGAATTCAACAACTGGAGTATACAATATGACATATATTTCTCCAGGATTTCTCTGTCGACCACTGGAGTGAACAATATGACATCTTTTCCTCTGAATTCAACCTCTGCCGTCCATGGGAATATACAATATGACAACTTTTCCCCTGAATTCAACAACTGTATTTACAATTTGACATCTTTTTCCCCCGGATTTCTCTGCCGCCCACAGGAGTATACAATATGACATCTTTTCCCCTGAATTCAACCTCTGCCGACCACGGGAGTATACTTTATGACATATTTTCCTCAAAATTCAACCTCTGCCATTCACAGGAGTACATATACAATATGACATCTATTTTATCAGCAATCAAAGCCGGGCTCCAAAGTTATTGTGAAACTGCCTATTCTAGAGGTGGCGTGAATCAGATGTGGATACTAAAAAATTCCAAAGATCTTTTAGAGTACATACAATTTAAGACACTCTAATCTTGCATTAGTATTAAAACATTTGACTTTTCTACACTTTACACAAGTATTCACCATTCCAAACTAAAAGACAAATTGAAAGAGTTGGTATTACTTTGTTTCATTAAAAAGAATGGCGAACGTAGATACAAGTATCTTGTCTTGGGGAGGGATAAATCCTACTTTGTAAAGAATCACTCTGATTCAAACAAAAAATTCTCTGAAACTGACATTATCAAGATGCTTGATTTCTTGATTGACAACATATTTGTTACGTTTGGAGGACGTGTTTTTCAACAGACTGTCGGAATTCCAATGGGAACCAATTGTGCCCCTCTTCTTGCCGCATTGTTTCTTTGTTATCATGAGGCTGACTTCATACAGGAACTTCTTAGGAAGAAAGATAAGAAGTTAGCAAAATCCTTTAACTTTACGTTCCGCTATATAGATGATGTTCTCTCACTAAATAATACAAAATTTGGTGACTATGTTGAACGAATCTATCCCATCGAACTAGAGATAAAGGATACTACAGATACAGTTAAGTCTGCCTCATATCTTGACTTACATCTAGAAATTGACAATGAGGGTCGGTTGAAAACAAAACTTTACGACAAAGAGATGATTTCAGCTTCCCAATTGTGAACTTTCCATTTCTATGTAGCAACATTCCAGCAGCGCCTGCATACGGAGAATATATCTCCCCATTCATACGATATTCCCAGGCTTGTATTTCCTATCAAGATTTCCTTGATAGAGGATTGCTGCTCACAAGGAAGCTATTAAACCAAGAGTTCCAAATGGTGAAGTTGAAATCATCCCTTCGTAAATTTTACGGACGCCATCACGAGTTGGTTGACCGTTATGGAATAACCGCATCACAGATGATATCGGATATTTCCTTATGTCGTAACTACAATACCCTTCTCTTTCACAAATGTGACCTACCGAATTCGACTATTTACCGGATTTGTAAAAACATAAGCAACACGACGGGTGCCAAATGTGGAGCAGGATCTGCTTACCATTCAGGAGCACCTGAGATCACCCCCAGTTTTTGGTGGGGTTCGTGTTGCTTAGTCTTAAGTTTTCTATGTTGTGTCATCTGTACTATTATTTGTCTGTTTGTCTTTTTATTTTTGGCCATGGCATTGTCAGTTTGTTTTTGATCTATGAGTTTGACTGTCCCTCTGGTATCTTTCGTCCCTCTTCCATTTCCCTGGATTCAACCTCTGCCGTCCACTGGAGTATACAATATGAATCTTTTCCCCAGGATTACAACCTAGCTGTGCATGTCACTGGAGTATTCAATATGACATCTGTTCCTATATTATAAGGATTAAACCTCTGTTGCCCACTGAAGTATACAATTTGACATCTTTTCCCCAGCAACAAGCCTCTTTCACTTGAGTATACAATGACATCTTTATCCCAGGATTAAGTCATGTATCCAGAAAATTCAATGTTAATGAACAATGAAAACAGATAACCGTCAGATTGTCTATATACCAAATATAAATGACGTACATTTGTATTTCAATACTAAAGGAAGAACTTAACATTTAACTATGAACCATAACAGTGAGGTCATCTTTCCATAAAGTTTCTAAGAGACTAGATAAACTAGTTACAAATCCATAACTGAATCATCCAACTATTATAACCAGGAAGTCACATTTCTAACATTTTCGTGCATGTGATTTAGATGATACCAAATCTCAATTACTAGAGTGGGGTTGATAAAAAGCATTGGTTAGTACCGATTGATTTGTTTGGTGCATTCTATAGTTTACAGACGAGTTATAATTGAATTATAACGACACATGGGATGGTGTCAGTAGCTTAAAGGGGCAGTTTCCATGTCTCATGATAAATTTGATGAATTTTTACTAGTTTAATCTACATTTCAGTCATGTAGTTGTTACTTTGGCATCCCTTTTTCACATTTAATGCTACTCTGGTTCCTTCATAAGATATCCAGATGTTTTTCTAAGATTAAATGTTCAGGATCAGCGTATTTCCTGATTTTGACATTTGATGTGCTAATTGTAATCAATCCTATATGTGACCTGAACCTTTCCATGTCTACTAATGTAAACAATTGCTCTCCAAAAACACTTGCACATTTTAAAAGAAAACTTTATTTGCGGCTCATTATATTTTAGTGTTAGTTTTTTTTTGGAGTGATGGTTTTGCTGTTTCATTGATGGATACTAATGTCATCCATTATTTCAAAAAAAAATAGAGCACTAACCAAATAATACTAAAAAGTCAATCAAAATTTATTTTTATTCTTCAAATTATATAGAACAATGATTTAGTGCCATCACCTACTGGGGCAATGTGACTCTAAATACATAATAACACTGGATGACATGATCACTGTTAGGACAATATTATACAGTAAGTAATGCTAATTTGTTATTCCCCTGAAAATCTCAATTAAAATGGGGTTCAAGCTTTTTGTTTTGTTGAGGATAAAAGAACCCCTTATCAGAACATGTATTTATATGTTATCTATAACAAGTGGAATTCTTTAATATACAGTTAAATTTGAATTCAATTGATAAATGGACTACTGTATTTAGGCATGTACTATAAACACTTTTTTACCAAAGACATATTCAAAACAATCAAGTTGAAATCAGATAAAATTAAAACACCTGGAAGTTGAACATATAAAGTTTCCATGTAGAAAACTAATTCCTTTTGCTAAAAGCCTCTACTGAAACCTTCTGTGTTTTCATATACCCATCCAGGTTCTCATACACACGTACATCATATATATGACTAAAACACAAAACTTTATAACAACAGATCAGATTAGAATGTATCTTAACTAGTCTAAAGTAATTATATATACTTTCTGGCAAAAGAAAGAGATGGGGTCAATTTCCATTGAATTTATTTCACACTAGGACCATTTTCAATATTTATTAAAATTCACAGCTTTATTGAACTCTGAGGTTCTATCATAACAACATTATGTTGTATATCTGAACATTTGACAACATGGAAATATCTAATGAAGGTTCAAAAGTCAAAACTGCAATTTTGGCAAACTCTGAGTATCTATTCAGAAAATTATCAAGGACAACATTCAAGATCTTAACCATAACCAATATTCTGTCGGAACTTGGTAGTAAAGCTCTTTGTGTTTCAGATACAAGTTTAAGCCTATTTTTTATCGGTGCCCTTCAAAAATGTCTCAATAACCAATATTGTATCAAACTGGTCTTCAACAGCCATGCCTAGTGCTGAATAATAACATTTGAATCTTAAGGATATATCTAAAGTTGATGAAATTAAAAAAATGTTAAGTCTAAAAATCCTATTAAGGTTTGAACAACTTGATTTGACCCTGTGTGTGAAACAAATACAGTGGAAATTGGCAATTCCTCTTTTCTTCATGCATGTATTACCTACAGTTAAACAGTTTGAACATAACTTGGCAACATCAATTTCACATTTTATGTACTGGAATATTTCAACAGGTTGTTTTCCCAATTAAAGTTCTAACCCAGTCAAACTTTTGAAATGTAACTCGTCTGAATCCATCCATTCATGTTCTGTTTGACCATCAAAATAAAACTGAAAGATAGCAATAAACTAAAATTTCTTCCTACAAAAAATGAATCAGTTTTTAAAGTAAGTTCAACTCTTATTAATATCCCAAATTTTCCATGTTCAGTATATCAATCATATGATTTGAACAATAACCACTACAATATATGTACATTGATGAAAAATACTTGTTTTTAGCTTCGAAAACAGAAAACCAATCTCGCCCAGCTTTTCTCCTGCTTTTCTAAGCGAGTACAAATATTTTAATTCTCTGACAATGTACATTTATTGTTTTCATCCTGCAGCTTTTAATTCCAAGTTGTTGTCTTCTTTTTAAAAGGGACTGACATTGCTTGAACAAAGACCCCAAAATCAACTTAAATCTTAAGTCTGTTTAGTAAAATGGGTGATGACAGTATAAAATGTTATACTGAAACAGTAAATTTCTCCGACATTGCCAATTTTCATGAGTACAAATGAATACAAAATAATGTATTTTGTCAAATATAAAAAGCTATGCAACAAGGTGTAAAATGATAATTTTGTGAGAGGAAAAAATGAATAGTGACATAGCAAACATTATAAATAAACAATTATGGTCACTTCAAATTATTTTGTAGATCACATTTCAGTGGTTTTCAATTCTCCTGATATGCAGCCATTTTGGTTGACAAATCTTCATGGTATTTGATTGCACAATAAAACAAAAATCAAATAATTTTTTCCAATTTGTTGAACATTTAACTTTCACCATAAATTTACTATGATATGTTTACTCAATTTCACTTCCTTTTCAAACGTCTTTATATCAAGATTTTTTTTCTCTCCCTGAAATGTCAAAAAATTCTCTCAAACTAATGACCCCCGAATGAAAATCTACATATTAACTTGACGTGGCCAAACAGTTAATACCTAGCTAGCTGTATAACAACAATTATATAACAGGTATTCTTTTGAGGCAGATAGTTCAATTAATCAATGTCATCACACACATCTGGATTAGTACTGTTGACAAACACTATAAATTAATGTTGAAAATTTTACTTTACACCCCATTGTGTATAAATTTTTCTATTTTTCCTCTCCTCTTTGGTACAAATGTATTTTAAGGGTAAATTATGGGAGAGGTATCTATTTCTGGTCTAAAGCACACAATACGGAATTGAAAAAAAAAAAAACCAATCTGTTTTTTCCCAATACAGATGTTAATCCAACCACAGACATAGACCGAACACTCATAAGCATCCTTCAACCACATTTTTATCATATAATAGAGAGGAAAACTAGTCTGACCTAGTGGTGCTGTGCCGTGGGCTACCAATTTTTTTTAGATTTTTGGAGAATATGAATTTCCCAAATGTAACAAAGCCTCAATTTAATACATAGTTTTAGATCTCTTTGGGAAGCATAAATTATAAAACCACCATCAGCAATTTTACAAATCACAAAAAAAATGATATTAACGATAATAAATGAACCCACGGTATGCACATACTATGTAATTAGTTCAATTTACTAGAAAAAGACCAAAAAAAAACCAACAGTAATTCGAGACTGCAAACATTTATGCTCATTATTACATTAACAAAATTTTAAAAAGCCCTGTCCTATATGTGAATAATTATTCTGCTCATTTTATTAAAACTTTTTACAGTTTAAAAGAACATCAGTAGATAAGACCAAAAGACACAAAGGGAGATGCATGTTTCCAAGTAAAGAAAGGAAGAGTTCACTTCTTAATTTGTACCCTTTTAGGAAAAATTTTCTATTGTACAAGTTTTCTTTAAAACCTATATTTTCTTGCGCCAAACAAATGTCTATCAAACATAGATTTAAGGGGTGTATGCCCCTTAAAAAAAAACTTTACATAATAAATGATATCTACAGGATTTTCTTGAATTTGAGAAAAAAAACAAGCCTATATGAGAACACTTTTACCAATTCTTTTATCTTGAGGCTACAAAAGTCTTTTAAAAATGGCATATTGTGGTACTGTCAATTCTAAGATGGCCACTGTCAAAAAACACTGTGAATGATTCAACAGAAAGAGCTAGACTTTAAATATTGCCCTATTAACTGGTATTACAATCTCCCATGTTATATAAAGCCAAATGTGACAATTTTAATCATACAACTATCAACAATTACACATATTATCAACTACATCTGTACTTCATTAGAACTTAACAGACAATATTCAACACAGCAGAAAGGAACACACAGAAAACTAAATTATAATCAGCTACCGAAACATAATTTTATATAACATGTATGCAATATAATTTTTTTTACAAACTCCTAAATCTATGTCTACTTTTTGTTATAAATTCTCATTTAACCTCTCATGACATGAATGTACTTGAAGGTCACTTAAAAAACAAACATCCCTCTGTTTTGAAATGTTGCACCAAATTTTGTCCAATCTGTTTTAAAGCAAATTATAAAATACCATATTATTTTGATTTGAAAGTCCTCAATTGTAACATTATCTTTTTTGCTTTTGTTGTTCAAAAACAACTTTGATCATGCTCGAACGGAAACACCTTCATGTATGCCATGTCGCTGTAAGAGTTTTGTACGCCCAATTTAAAGCTGGAGTTCATTTTGATGACAATTTTCATAATGGCGTTTGAACAGTTCAGATTCCAAATGTTTTAATTTTCAGTAAGATAATGATCACTTGTTTGGAATGCATCAAAATATAAGGAGTTACATACAGTGGATGTTAGAGAAACTTATTTCAAGACTTATCTGCACTAATGACCTTAATGATATATATAAACTTTCAACTATGAAATCTAAGTATCTTAAAATAGCACTGAAAATTCTGCTTATTGTCACTCTGTTGGATTTCTTATCAAAGTTTCATCTCTTTCCTTAAATCTGTTTATGTGGTTGTAGATGAGCATGAAAATGATACAAGACTAGAAAAAGGACGAAACAAAAATCGTAAAATACAAAACAAATAGTATCTAATATTGAAGTAACAATTTTTAAACATTTCTAAGTAATGAATTAAAACAAAAAGAATACAATATTTAGCATTGTCATATTTCTATAACCATTTGGAAAATATTTTGCTTCCGTTACCTTCATATCAGATAAATCAGTCTAACATAAACTGTAATACTGTATATGATATGACAAAGTTTCCATTCATGCAGAAAATGATCAAATATTTGAAAGGACAAGAGGTGGTAATGAATTATAACATACATACATTATGCAGACTCATACAGTATCTGCTTGTCAACTGATCTGCCAATAATAGGTTATACCACAAAGCTTAGTAACATATCTACATAGTAATTATTTACGAATTAAAGAATCAAAACTACAAAAAATTAAATACAAAAAATAGCCTTTTCTGTTTGTCTGCTTAATTGGTTAAATTCTCAACGTGTCAATCAATTTTAATTTATGTAACAATCTGAATGATTAATAATATGGATATTAACTGGAAGATTATTCTGACAATAAACATCTAAAGGTCCATGCCAATAGACAGCCTATACTGTTTACTATATCAAATTTGTATTTAGCATACTAATTTTTCGACCCTTAAAAAGGGACATCTATTGCAGCATCACCAATGTGATGTCAATCAATTTTAAACAGACCAAGCATTTAATGCTATATCTACATATCTCAAATAAATAAGTGGTATTCACTGAGCATAGGCATGTCTTAAAATCTTTCAAAGCTGTGAGTCTATTATTTCAATATATATCATGAAACAAATATTAATACAAAGTTAAAGCATATTGGATCTTGCTGGACCAATATCATTCTATAAATATATTTACCGAAGGTTCAAAATAAGTATAAATAGTATTGACCTATCCAATAAATTAGTAGAAATGACTTGTAAAATTTTGATAGCTTCATTCAGTCCCTACAAATAATATTGTACAAATATTTAAATCTAATCCCAAATATCTGTTCAAAGTTGAAAAATAATTTGCTTTTTCTTTGTATTTTAAATAGATGTGCCCTATTCGTTTTTTTTTATCATAAAACTTTCTTACCCTGGAATTCTAATGATATAAAGTCTTTTTCTGATATTTAAAAATTGATTTCATGGTAAATAGTATAGTGCAAAACTTCGGGTTACGGAACAGTTTGTGAAGTAAATATCATGTCATTGTTTTCTAATTAGTATTTGAGAAAAACTTTCCAATTGAATTAAACAAATAATTATTTTTTCTTTCACATTGAGCAAATAGATTTCACAAAATATATTTAATATATTTGATATAAAACAGTAGATGCAATGTGTGTTGAAATGTTTAAATTTCATTCAATGCTGTTAAAACATTATGTTTATATGAACACTCTCCATTATACTGTTGTGAAAAATTTGTTTTTTTCATTCATAACATCGCAAAAGAAAATGAAGCATTGCAAAAAATCAAACACTACACAATATTATAAATCATAAAAATGTAGACAACAAATAAAAGAACAAGCGTGTTCACACATACAATGTGAACATGTTAACTGAGGTCAATTATTTCATCACAGTATTATTTCTGGTTATTAATGTGTATTTATATGAAACTAACTTAGCACTAAAATAAATGTAGTAAGGTCACAAAATTGTAAATTATCTTAATTTATTTTGTAAAAGTTTAAATAAAGTAACCTGAATTGGAATGACGCCACATCAAATTGATTTTTAATTCTTTAGTCACTACCTGAAGGACTTGAAGCACTCACTTAATAAAAGCGCTTTAACACAATTTAAAAGTTCGTGTAGGTGGATTTTGACATATAAAAGTAATACAGATGACCCTTGCATACAAAATGTACAACTTAAGTAAGCATTTTATGCATCGGTATTTTTTTTTTTAATTTAAAAGCCTCTTTATTTGTTGCAAGTTGAAATTTAGATTTTAATGATTATTGAACACAAAACTTTCTTTCAATAATATCAGTAATTCCTTTCTTATTCTGCTAAAAATTAAAAAAACTTTCACAATCATTTTTCCTTTTCTTAAAATCCAAAGAACTAAAACAAAATAAAGCAATGTCAAAACTTTCTCATGTCATTTATTAGGGGATAGATACATCTGTATAAATTTAAACATGTCAAAATACTAGGAAATTGACTTTGTAATTATCTTAAACTCTCAAGTATATATGTAGTAGTAAATTTACATGGAATATTTACTAATTTTTTTTATTCTTTTTTATATAAAGAATATGAAATTTAAAGTCCATTACAAAGAAATTTAAGTGAGAGATTTTCTAAAGTGATAGAAAGGTGGGCAACTGACTTATGTACCTCCAACCCTAAAAACTCATTCTATAGGAAAAATATCATGTTGGAATCCAAATGGAGAGTTCATATTTTCACCCTTGGTAGAAAAAGTGTTCTTTTTAATGTTTTAAGCAACTTTGTAAAACAATAGATGTTACATTTTTTCTGTACATGTTGGTTAACCCTAAAGAATTTAAGATAAAAAAGATGTGGCATATTCAGTATTCATTACTCATACATAATGCAATTTCGTGAAAATTTATTACGAGGGAAAAGAAATAACCTTTCGAGAGCTAACTGACTGATCTATAATGAAAACTTTTCTACAAATATTTTGATACTGCCATTCACAAGGAATAACAAAAATCGTCCAATCTAATCCCTTTGATTGATAACAACTGTTTTCTGTAAACAGAGGCTGTACTGTCCCACTCATAGGAATATTTCATTTCAAAAAGCAAATATAACATCATAGAATATATATATATAATTATAGATTTAACAAAACAACTGAACAGATGCTCGGTGGCCATTTTCTGCCACATATTTGAGCCATAAATCTGCTCTTTATTGATTTGGAATCTAACAGTTTTGTGTTTATATAAAATTCTGCCAGACAAAACTATCGCCAATCATCTTCTACTGTTGCTGTACCGTCTTCTTCCTTAAAGAAACATAAAAAACTGGTTAAAAGACATTATCAAGTAGCTTATCATAAATTCAAGTAAAAAGATGAAAATTCCACGACCAAAAGATGACAAACAGTAGTAAGCAAATCCTGACTTTAAGAAACTGTCCCCACCCCCAAAAAATAAATTCAACAAGGGTTATCTATGAAGCTCCATAAAGTATTAAATTTCAAATGATATCATTTTAATTCCTGTCAACAGCTATATCTTTTATTTGTGAGTATTTGGAGACTTGCACACATGTCACATGTCTGTAAAGAATACTTGAATATCAGCCATGATGATACAACTCAGGTAGAGGTTGATAAACGATCAATCTAAAAACATCACACTGTAGAGCTTGTTTACATGAAGTCTGACAACAAATTTCAGGAAGCTCTTATTTGAAATTTCTGAAAAAGGTGTGACAAATATTTAATAAAATGCTTCGCTGAGCGCAGCCTGATACAACCGCAGAGGTCGAACCCTGACCAGTTGGGGCAAATTTGGACACAATATTCAAGCTTGATACTGTCTGAATATGGATTGTGATCAAATTTTTGACATAATATAGCATTCTGACACAAAATAAATGTGGTCAAAGATCTAAGAAATCCATTGTGCAATACAGTGCAATTGAAGATTTCTTCTTGAAACTTTTCAAAAATTCGAAATTTAAAAAATTTTGAAAAAAAAATTTGAAAAAAATCCCCCCCCCCCCCAACTTTTTGAAACCCCCCTTGGAGCAAAATAACCCTTAAACTCAATCCCAGCCTTTCCTTTGTAGTATGGAACCAAAGTTTCATGAGAATTGGTGACAGCATTTTTGAGTTATTGTCAGAAAACTGGAAAATCACCCCTTTTTAATGAATAAAACCCCATAACTCAGAAATGTAAAATGTAAAATTTATGAAATTCTAAAGGGAGCTTACATCAATACATACAAACAATTCACCAAAGTTTCATAAGAATTGCTGAAAGCATTTGTGAGTTTTTGTCTGATAACTGGAAAGTCCCCCCTTTTTTTATGAATAAAACCCCGTAACTCGGAAACGTAAAATCTAAAATTTATAAAAATCAAAAGGGAGCTCATGTCAATAGATATAAACAATTCACCACAATTTCTTGCAAGTTGGTGAAAGCATTCTTGACTTATTGTCCGAAAACTGGAAAATCCCCCTTTTTTTAATGAATAAAACCCCATAACTCGGAAACGTAAAATCTAAATTTTATAAAAAACGAAAGGGAGCTCACGTCAATAGATATAAACAATTCACCAAAGTTTTATGCAAATTGGTTTAAGCAATTTTGAGTTAATGTCCGACATGTTGACGACGGACAGACGGACGGACAGACGAACAGACGGACGGACGGACAACGGTATACCATAATACGTCCCGTAAACGGGCGTATAAAAATGCTTGTTTTTGGCCCCTAATTCATACATGTTTGGGGCAATTAACCCCAAACTCAATCCCAGCCTTCCAATTGTAATATGGAACCTTGTGGTACAATGTCAGAGAGATTCATACACTTACACACAAGTTAGTGTCTGGAAACTAGAAAAATGCTTGTTTTTGGCCCTTTTTTTGGCCCCTAATTCATACATGTTTGGGGCAATTAACCCCAAACTCAATCCCAGCCTTCCAATTGTAATATGGAACCTTGTGGTACAATGTCAGAGAGATTCATACACTTACACACAAGTTAAGTGTCTGGAAACTAGAAAAATGCTTGTTTTTGGCCCCTTTTTGGCCCTTAATTCTTAAACTGTTGTCCCCATAACCCCTTAAATGAATCCCAACCTTTTACTTGTGGTATTAAACATTGTGGTACAATTTCAGAGCAATCGAAATACTTATACACAAGTTATTATCCTGAAACTAGAAAAATGCTTGTTTTGGGTCCCTTCTTAGGCCCCTAATTCCTAAACGATTGGGACCATCATCCCCAAAATCAATCCCTACCTTCCTTTTGTGGTATTGAACCTTCTTAAAAATTTCATAGAGATCCATTCACTTAAACTAAAGTTATTGTCCAGAAACCAATGTGTCTTCGGACGACGACGCAGACGACAACATGATACCATTTTTAGCGGTCGTATAAAAATGACCATAATGTGTTTCAAAATTTAAGTATTCAGTAAACAGGAAGTTGATGAGCCATCAATCTGAAAACTATCACATGGCAGAGCATATTCACATGAAGATTGAAAACAAATTCCCAAAGCTCTTATGCAACGGAATTTCATAAGACGGACAGACAGAGATAACAGTATACGGTGAGTGGGTATAAAAAATCTATAAAGGTTTGACAAAGCCATTGAAACGTCAACCCTAGACTGCATTTATATGTCATAAGCAAATTACATTCATCAGTAAAAAACAGAAAACAAGAAAAAAAAAAAATTTCTGATCTTTGATCATAAAAAAGCTTGTCATAAAAATCTTTGAGAAAGTTATTAATGTCTATACAAATCTTTGACCACAGAATGACCTGCCGACAGTGGAATGTGGCATCACAATGTCTCATTTCTGCAAGATTTTGTCACAGGCTCTACAAAAATAAGTGTTAATTTGGTTTGCACCAACCAAATTTTCAAGAGGCATTTGAATTTTTTTTTAATATATACCATTTGTTAATGAAAGGAAACATGTGATGTTAAGAAGATTCAAATAAACCAGCTGACAACATACATATAATCATAGTATTGAACAATTTTCAGAATAAAAGCTAAATCTAATGAGTAAAGAGGAGTGTACATTTTGGTTAGATACAAATGACCAATCAAAACTCACTGCAGAAAGACTAACCTAGTTACAAAGGGTAAACTCAGTATTTTCTCAATAACTGTTTATAGAAGGGTTCATCAGTGCTAGTTTCTTGCTGAAATTAAAGGCAACTCAGAAATTTCAAAAATTCACATATTGACAAATATCAAATATCTGAAAAATCAGACCATCCTTCAGACACTTTTTTAATTTCTTCGATTAGTGTAAAAATGTTATTTTTTTTGTTATTTGAACATTGCATTAGAATTATCATATAAGCTTTCAACAGGTCCCTAATAAATATTCATTTTTTAATGCACAGAAATTTCATCTTTAACCTAACCCATTTACTGTAAAATCATCTCCATATATCTGTATATTTAAGGAGGATTGTTAAAACCATCTCCACAATATCAAGGAGGATTGAAGAAGAGGCTATCAGAAATTTCCACGATCATTCTAGATCTTTCTTGCTTCAAAGGATCATATTGGTCATTTTCTAATCAACAAATACATATACAAAGCCTGAAAATCAGTATTGAATTTAGATGGTCCAGTCAATTCTATGTACTGAAACCTTGGTAGGATAATATCCTATGGAAACAGCAAAATAAATGGCTCAATGTAACATTAACTACATGACAAAAAGCAAATGACACTCAGATCAGACGACATAATGTAATTATGCTATGCAAATTCATCCAGCTCCTATAACCTTATTGTTATGCAAATCCATCTGGCTCCAATAACCCTTATGTTATGCAAATCCATCCAGCTCCTATAACCCTTATGCTATGCAAATTCATCCGGCTCCTATAATCCTTATGTTATGCAAATCCATCCGGCTCCTATAACCCTTATGTTATGACTATTCCATCCAGCTCCTATAACCCTTATGTTATGCAAATCCATCCAGCTCCTATAACCCTTATGTTATGCAAATCCATCCAGCTCCTATAACCCTTATGTTATGCAAATCCATCCAGCTCCTATAACCCTTATGTTATGCAAATCCATCCCACTCCTATTATGGCTTTTCCTAAATTTAATGATAAAGGACAAAGAGGATTATTTTTTTTTACCCAACAAATTCTTAACAGTTTCAAATAATTATATCCTATAGTTCTACCTATACCAGGCAGGTTTACAATAACAATCACCATCTAATTATATTTCAATAAAATCGGCTTCCTACCACTGAAGACATACATCACTACCAAATCCTTTTGACCAATGTAATGCGTGCCTTGAATAGGATAGATTGAGTCAGGGATAGAAACAAGAGGCCTGGGAGGCAAGACGACTGTTAAATTGTTATGGGCTTCTGAGATATGCATGGGGGTGTCTGGATGACTACTTAAATTGTTAGTTTATTTAAAACATTATGGTTTTTATGCATAATTTAGCTGTCATAGATAAATATTCATCTGAGTTAATTGTTACAACTCAACTGAAAGCTTTGAATATAATTCCTGTACTTACTTCTGCTGTTTTCTTTGGTCGCAGTCGATTAAGTATACTTTCAACTGTATTTTTTCTGTAAGATAAAGAACAGATATATATTATTCTTCTTGTTATCTATTTAATCAAGGCTTTTACAACCCTATAAAAATATAACTTTCTGATAAAAAATTCCTGTCTTTCAAATATTACTTTCAAGAAAGCAATTAAAATATTTACAATACACATTCAATGTATTCAAACTTATTGAGTATTGATTTTATTAATGATTATACCTTTTTTAACCCCAAAAAATACAAACCCACAACAAATTTCATTACATATGCTGTCAGAGAGTTAGATACAATGTATATGATTATCTTGAAATTTACAGTTTAAAAAAATCACATTTCAATGCACAAATGCAAATAATAAGTGATGTTAAATAAAGGCATATCTTGGGGCATGAGTTGTGAGTCATCTATGGTTGTTTATTTTATGAAAACTTACTCAAAGTATACAAGTTGTGGGGGTTTGGGAAGCCTTTCCTACCCCAACACATTCTTCTTACTGGAATAGCCCTAATGAAATAAGGACCAGATTTTGTCTTTGTAAATAATGGCTGTTCCATTATTCAATATTGGGGCTGGTCTGCTGATATTTTTAATACATTACAACCCTTTCGATAATTCCAGACAAATTTGGTTTATAAATTGAAGTGCAATGCAGAACATCAATATTATAAGTGTGGTCCTTTAATATTTTATAATTAATGTTCTCGTCTCATCTCATAATTTTATTATTTATAAGTCTTGACAATATTTATCAATTCCCCAAAATTACAGTTTAACATTACACAATGAGTAGGAGATTTAATAAAAGTGAAAACAGACCATGTTTGCCAAATGCATATAAACTATGTCAACTAATGAGTCGTACTTTGAACTTAATCCACCTCCAGGTGGAAGACCATCAATATCTTCACTTATTGTATGCATTACATATGGTAAATCTACGTCCCGCACATCAACATCAGCTAAAATTTCTGTAAAAAAAAATGGCATAAAAATATTAGAAACAGATCTAAAATCCAACTAAATGTTTCAAATGCAGCCAGTTTGATATGGTTCGACTAAAATAAGCAGTAATCAGTAAACATGGTAAAGTGTCCCTAGTTTTTGCAGACAAGAAAAATTTCGGCTGCCAAAATAACTTATTAGAAGTCCTAACAATGATCTTGACTTTTCCCGGCAGTGCTGTTGAACTTGTATTTTTCTGTGTAGTCATGAAATATATGAAGATGAAAGTTACATACGACAAATAATAAATCCAAATTTACTTGACAACCAGTTAAGGTGGTACCAAACATCTCGACTAAAAATAATTTGGCTCGTTTAATTTTCATACCATTTTGACAAAAAATTTACATTGACCCTTTGACAAAAATATAAAAATTTAAAAAAACTTGAACCACACACTTTATCGGAAAAATTTCATTGAATATGTAGCAGTTTGACAAACACTAATTTTGATCACTGAGAAGCTTAATGTTTCCTTCACAATAGAACATAATTAAAACGTTCAGCTGATTTTTACAGAGTTATCTCCATGTAGTGTTATGTACCTCCTTAAAGCTCAAACTTAAATAAGTCTGTTCCTGTTTCTACTTCTGCAAATCAAAATGTTTATGTGTGATGAAATATAATTTTATTTATTCTGGTATTTCTAATTTCTCACTGTTTCAATGTTGGTGCTTTTAATGTCATGAAAATACATCTTTCAAGGGTTCCTTGGTTCTTCTCTGTTAATTTATACAGATGAATGGGTTCTTTGTGAACGATAATTTTACAGTATCACCTGAACCAGTGACTTGTACATGTTGTAAGTTAAAGTGCGTTTTTTTCAAATGACCCACTGCTTGACTGCTTCCATCTAACTGTGCTTGTCCCAATGTCAGGAGCCTGTAGTTTGATGGTTGTCTTTGGTTCATGTGTCATATTTGTTTTTGGTTAATTGTTTTGATATAAATTAGGCCGTTAGTTTTTCTCAATTGAATTTTCATATTTTTCATGTCGTGGCCTCTTACAGTCAACTATACGGTATGGGTTTTTCTGTTTGTTGAAGGCTGTAATTGCATATAATTGCTTCCATCTACTTCATTTGAACTTTGGTGGATAGTTGTGTCATTGGCAATCATACCACATCTCCTTATTTTTATATTGTATAGGTAAATAAATGTTGCTGTGAAAGCAGTTTGATTGCAATTGACGTCTTTAAGTCCAATTGAGACTCATGAAAGAAGGGAAATTCTTGTGTTTAATCTTACACATTTTGACTTATGTGTGTTCAAGCTCTGGAGTATTTCTGTATTCATGAAGGAGGACAGTAATCTTTTTTGCACCTATTTTTTAAATAATAACTTGCAAAATAAAACAAGACCCATTAACATTTGTTTATGAAGGATCACGATTTCATACCTCTAGCTTGCTCTTAGTAACTTCAAGCATTCATCTAATTTTTTGTTATTCAGAGAATTTGGTGTGGATGGGAGTTCTTTAATATTATCAGTTTTTCTTTAAGATACGAGCAGATTTTGAATTGTTTCCTGATAAGATGTTTTTTTCTTTATTTGTGTTGTTGGGTTGCAATCTCATTAACTTATACTCCACATCACCCTTTATTCATATACAGGAAAAACTCATAACTCATTTAATTTCAGAAAATTTTCTCATTTTTAAGATTCTTTCACTCAAATACAGCATGTTGAGTAAAGAAGTCAGAATTTTCAATTGTTTCTTTCAAAGGTTACGTCTTATCATTACGAAATAATGAACATTTTCTCTTTCTATATTCATGATATATATACTAAAGTTTCCCATTTAATCAAGAATGCCTATTCTCCTTGCCTTTAATTTTTGCCTCTATTCTTTCATCTAATTCCTGTTCCTTTTTCATAGCTTCATCAGAAACTTTAGGCGATCCTGTGAAAGCAACTATCACAATACTCATGTTATCCCTGCTGCCCTGAAATAATCAACAAAATTACAGATCTTATGTAAAAAGGAATATTCCAAAATATTTATATGTATAGACATGTAAGAGTTTCAACCTAAAATAAAATGATGTATGTACTTGTAGATGGGAGACATTTTTTTAACAATTTTTTTACCCTGAATATACAATTTTGTTTTAACCAAAAAATGCCAGCAATAACATAAAGGTACACAAATGTTCATGTTAGCATACATAACTTTGTATCTTTTGTATTCGTACACATTTTTACATGTGACCAATTTAGTATAAAATTGTTTGAACTAAAAATTAACGTGTTATATTGTAACATGTTATACATATATCAAATAGTTACATGTGTCTACACCTGTACAAGTACAAATGTGTGTACTATATACATTTGTATATCTTTAAAATACTTGAGAATCGACATTTTTCAGCTGTATTTTATGTAGTGTTTTGATATACATGTATATATATTTACAGAAGACTCAAGTAGATATTTAAACATAAATTTGTTCCTGGATTTAAAATCATTTTTATCATGTTTCATATACTTTGACAGAAACAAATTAAATATTGAACAAATACATGTATTAGCTTATGAACAAATTGTGCTTGTTAAATGTTCCTTCTCTATTTTTTTTTGGCTGAGGGTAAAATATATGTATAATGTACAAGTATCTAATAATTTCCCTATGTACATGTACATAAATATATGATATTATCATTGATTAGTTTGTTTAAATCTGTAAACACTTTTAGAACACCCACACATTTACGCTATTTAACACACAGGGTATGACTCATGTACATTTAACAAGTATTGAATCATACATGTATCAAATTTAATATAATTATTTTTTCTTCCTTGAAAATAAACATTCTTAAAAAGTAAAAATTTTATTTTTTTTCATATTGCCATTTAATCTTTAAATAATTTACCAACTTTACAGACTGGGTGTACATCATATATTTATAGACCTAACAAACATATTTAAAAATAAAGACCCTATATCAATGTATATGTTTGTACACAACCCTTCAGACATTATCACAAGGACAGTACAACTTTTTAACATGTTTAACATGCTACTTGAAAGCATTAAAATCATTTCGTTTTACATACTAATTATATTCATGAAATTACTGGTCTAACATGTCTAAATTCAGTTTAGTCCAACTATTTACAGAATTTTAAATTTATAGCAGAAGTATAACAAAATTTAAAACATGTTGAAGAATCTTTACCTACATTGTATATGAAATAAAAAAGTCTGAACATAAATTCGAGTACTCTCATCTGAAATTACACACAAACACAGAGGCAATTTTTTAGATAGAATCATGTTGCTGAAATTGATAGCATAGGCTTTACCACACAGAGCTGTTGTAAACTGTTCGACCTGACAAATACATATGCTGAAATGCTTCGGCTGCTATACTGATCACAATTGAATTTTATTTTGAAAATCTTAAGATCAACTTTTTACTACAGGTACATGTATCATAATGACATTCACATAAAGTATCATTCAAATAAGCAAATGAACCATGAAAATGAGGTCGAGGTCAGACAAAAATATATACCTTACAATAATTCCATACATGTACATCAAATACAGTTGACCTATATATATATATTGCTTAAACAATGTAGTTATCTGAGAAATAACTACCGAAACTTAATGTTGATCACTGATCAATGAAATGAGGTCAAGGTCAGGTAAACCCTGTCTGACAGACATGTTTACTTTGCAATGATTCTCTATATTCAATGAACAAACATAGTTGTCCTAGAGTATTACTCATAATCAGTGAGAAATTATGCAAATATAAGAACTAGGGTTTTTGTTAGCAGTCGCTTCACCATGAGAATAAGGACCGGGACAATGGACATGCATGACAGATCTAGAAGGAAAGTTCAGAGCATAAGGCATCTGTATACAAGATATGAAGTATCCAGGTCTTTTACCTTTTGAAATATAAAGCTTTTAACAAATTATGTATGTAATTACTGCCAAACAAGCATCCCTGCATGTGTGAATTGCATTCTATTAGACTTTTGTTATAAAATTTGTCAAAGTTCCTTCCTTCATTTCAAGACATTTAAAACCCACAATTATTAAAGCCCTGAATTGATACCATACCTTATATAAGCAAGTATCCACTACTTGATTGCAAATCAGCTCAAGACTATTGGTCAGTCGCATTCTACTTCTGACAAAGTCACAGAGTTCATCATTAGACATAACATCCCATATCCCATCACAGGCTAGCACTATGAATTCATCCTCTTGTTGGTTTCTATCTTCAATAAATATTTCTGGTTCCGGTGATACCAGTTGTTCGCAAGGTCCCATACCTTGTACATTTTTATATTCAAAATCCCCGAGAGCTCTTGATACGGCAAGCGAACCGTTGACTCTCTGAATCATTACACTACCTCCGGCTTTTTGAATTCTTTCTTTTTCAGTGGGATTCACAGGTTTATGATCCTGTGTTGAAAATACACATTTACCTGCGCGTGACAGTACAGCCCTAGAGTCCCCACAATTTCCAAAGAAAACATGACTTGGCGATACAATTGTACAAACTGCCGTGGAACCACTCTTATCCTCGCCACTTGCCATTTCTGGCATTGACCTCATCTTTTCATCTAATTTCAGAAAACCTGTTTTCACACCTTTAATTACATCCTCAAAAGACGGCTGAATTTCAGTTCCTTCTTTCATTTCAATTTTACCTCTAAAATCTTCATTAGTTATGATATGATCAAGTAATTGTTCGGCACAATGTGCTGAAACACGAGCACCAGCATGGCCATCAAAGACGGCAAAAAATGACCAATCTTTTAATCCATTTGGCAATCCAATGACTGCTGTGTGGGCATCTTCCATTTCCACCCTCCATCCCTGCATACTGCTGAGACCAAATCGAAGCCCATTTCCAACTCCACCTTCATTATGCTTCTCAGTTTTTGGTTTGTCAAGAAAGGCTCCCATTGTTAACTGCAGAAAATTTAGTAAATTGTTTTTATCAGATGTTATAAGAACTGTGAATGAGAATTTGTCTATCCCTTTTATAACTACTTACATTTAAAGGCATATGATACAGTTACAGAAGAGGTAATGATGTTGCTAACATAAAATGTTATTTTTCGCTACGACAAACTATGACATAAGATGTATTTTTCAACTAATTTTAATCAGTAGCTTGAAAACGAGTACCTCCTTTTTAAAATGGCATTTGGCTAGATTCAGATTATTAGTACCAATTCTTATAAAAAAAACACTGATGATTTTTTTAAATTAGATAAATATTGAGCAAAAATGCCGTTTTTTTTTAAATCATGAAAAGTTAATAAAAATCAATTATTTCTAAACAATTGTTGCAAAAATTTATAGCATAGTTCAATTTTTTTATACAAAAATCCACTCGTGATTAATTTTTAAAACAAAAAATTTAGGATCATGTATGTCTGTCCAAAGGACAGAAATATCCAAGAAACCAAAATTTTCAGTAAATGTCTAAAATTTTTACCCCATTTATCTGTAAAAGAAGCAAATGAAGGTACCGTATGTTTGTTATTACATATTTGAATTGACTAGGTGAAAAAAAGCTACTTGGATGGAGAGTTGTCTCATTGGCACTCATACCACATCTTTTTATATCTATTGAATGCAAATTTTCATAAAATAAAAGAACATAGTTCCAATGTTCCCCGCGTTGCACATATATAATGAGACAAATGAAGGCTTGAGAGCAAATACAATGCAATTTTCCATATAATTAATATTTCCAAGGGCATAACTCTTTTAAAAATAAATAATCGGCATTGATTTTCGAACTTGTCTGAGACATTGCTGATATAAACCTATGATATAAGTTTCATAAAAATCTGGCAAGAATTGTACACTTGAGAGTGCTAACAATGCAATTTTCCATATAATCAATATTTTCAAGGGCATAACTCTTTTAATAGTTGTTGATCGCCACTGATTTTCGAACTTGTCCGAGACATTGCTAATAAAAATATTGTAAAATTTATATTTAAAAAAAAATACAACAAAACAGTCTTTGTTGTTGATTCATGTTTGTCATATTTGTTTTTTTTTCCTTAATCGTATTGCTATAAATTAGGTAGTTAGTTTACTCGTTTGAATTGTTTCACATTTTTCATGTCAGGGCCTTTTATAGCTGATTAAATTGTATGGATTTTGCCCATTGTTGAAGGCTATTAATTGACTTATATTATAAATTGCTTATATCCACTTCATTTAAAACTCTGGAGGATAGTTCTCATAAGCAATCATACCCCATCTCCTTATTTTTATATTTAAGTTTATTTGCCATTTTGCTTGGATTTTTCATTTTACCTCTATTACCATCAGTGGTTTCAAGACTTCGCTATTCAGCATGCATTGAGATATTTTAATTCTCATTCTGGTCAAGGCTTTGTTTTCCAAAGAAAATATTTATAAACAATGATGAACAAAAAAATTTGATGAAATTTCATTTTTTTTTTAAACAAAAGTTATATACAGTATATATATTTGAATAAATTGACAGGTTTTCAAGTCTATGTTTAATTTTATGGCTATAATTTTTACACTAAATTATTCTTAGAATTATTCAAATTTGTAGCACTGATGAGATTATATTTAAGAATAAATAAAATAAGGGATAAAATACTCCGCTAGGCGCAGCTTGATACGACCGCAGAGGTCGAACCCTGAACAGTTGGGGCAAGTATGGACACAACATTCAAGCTTGATACAGCACTGAATTTGGATAGTGATTAAATATTTGACACAGCATAGGTATCTGACACAGAATGAATGTGGTCTAAGAACTTAAACATTTTTATTTTACCTATTCAAACCATATCATTATTATTTGCTTTTATCATGTTCATATATAAATCAGAAATAACCAATTTACAATGGAAAATTGTAAAGAAAAAAAAAATCCCTCCCCCAAATTTTTTGAACCCCCTTATGATTCATCACCCCCAAACTCAATCCAAGCCTTCCCTTTGTGGTATGGTACCTTGCAGTACAATTTCAGAGAGATCCATACACTTGAACACAAGTTATTGTCTGGATTCTAGAAAAATGCTTGTTTTAGGCCCCTTTTTGGCCCTAAATTCCTAAACGTTTAGGGCAATTATCCAAGTGCATAAGATCATAAGATAGTATCCAGAAGTAAATTTTGTAAAAATAAAATTCCTGTTTTTCCGTATTTTACTTGTAAATGGACTTAGTTTTTCTGCCGGGAAACATTTCATTCACTCTGTGGTTAAAGTTTTTAAAATTTTAATAACTTTCTTAAACTATCCTGGATTTGTACCAAACTTGGACAGAAGTTTGTTTATGATCATAAGATAGTATCCAGAAGTAAATTTGTTAAAAATTTTTTTTATTTTTTCCGTATTTTACTTATAAATGGACTTAGTTTTTCTATCAGGAAACAATACATTCACTCTGTGGTTAAAGTTTTTAAAATTTTAATTACTTTCTTAAACTATCCTGGATTTGTACCAAACTTGGACAGAAGCTTGTTTTTGATCAAAAGCTAGTATCTAGACGGAAATTTTGTTAAAATTTTGTACCTGTTTATCCGTATTTTACTTATAAATGGACTTAGTTTTTCTTCCAGTTAACATTAAATACAGTCTGCAGTTAAGTTTTTAAAACATTTATTAGATTCATAAACTATCCTGGATTTATACCAAACTTTGACAGAAGCTTCTTACAATCAAAAGATAGTATCTAAAGGAATATTTTTATTGATTTTTTTTCATCATTTTTGTTGAGCCTGCGATTAACAGCAAAAGTAGGCGAGACACTGGGTTCCGCGGAACCCTTACGAATTATTAATGTATAGTGCCTCCCAACCCTCACATACATTTTTTTCCGGAATAGCCCTAAGCAGCATTGCTGAGTCATAGTGGTATCATTTACAAAGGTTTCCTGCCTCCAACCAATGAACCATGATAAAATAGGGTCGGTCCATTGTTAATTCTTTGGGGGCATATTAACAAAATCAGGAAAAATTACATGATTTCTTCGAGTTTGACCAATTTACATTTATGAATCTGGTAATTTGCGCACGCATGATCAGGATACCTTTATAATTTTCAATGGTTTGACACAATCTACACTCGATATTCACCGATCTTACTACAAATTTTAGCAAAAAAGTTCCAGAGGAAATTGGATTTGTAATCAAATAAGACGACTCACAACGCTTTAACTTGAATATTTCTTTGCAAGGCAATAAAATATTTTAGTTATCAGTTGGGAGGTAGGAAACAAGCAGCCCTTTTCGGCTAATTTTTATAGTTTGTTCTTTTGTTGTACTGTCCCAGGTTAGGGGGATTGCTGGGCACCAGCAAACTAGTTTAACACTGCCACATTCTGTATGTGCTGTGCCTGTCCTGAGTCAGGGGCTTGCAATTCCGTGGTTGTTGTTTGTTGCTGTATATAACAAATTTTTTTCCGTTCATTGCTTTGTACTGTACATAAATCCTCGATTGAATATTTTTACATTTGTCACTCCGTGGCCTTTTAAAGCTAACTATGGGTTTTGCACATTGTTGAAGGCTGTACAGTACAGTGACTTTTTTGGTGTTAACCTCTATGTGATTTGGTCTCTGGTGGAGAGTTTTCTCATTGGCAATCATACCACATCTTATTTTTATATAATTTTTTGGGCCTCAGGCTAGTTTGCCACCAAACTTTTCCAACCATGGGACTTTCCATTTCCAAGAACATGACCAGAACAATGAAAGACCTATTCTCTCATAAATGTATTAAATGAAATATGAATAAAATATGAAACTTTATATATTCAGATACAAGAAGTTGTCAAGAACATATAATTTATTACAAATACATAGTTTTAACTTCTTCTAAAACGTGTCTTGGTCCTATTAATTTGCTCTTACTAGACATGATCACATCAACCCTAACATTTATATTCTTATAATTGTGCCATACTGCTATCTCTGGTGGTCAAGTACATGTAGCACCTGATAGGCAGCTATAAATATTGCATACATACATGTAGAACACATTGTCTCAAAATGTTATATTTATTTGTACAAGCCTAAAATTTGTGGATAATTGTTAAACTTTCATTTCTATTCTGTTTCTGTCATCAGCAACTAAAACTTCAATGGTCTAGTTCAAATAAAATGTTTTCTTTGTTATATTGCAACTTTTGAAACTGTCCATTCATAATTTTGGGAAAATAAGGTCAGCTGTTTGGTAATTTTATTTGAGGTGTGAAAGTGTTGACCGAAACACATTTAGTATGAAACACTGAGGCGCTTCATAATAAAAATGTGTGCACAATCAACACTTTTACAAACCTATAAAACTACAAATAGGAGCAGTCAATTCTTATAAATTGCATTATTATGCTACAAGTTATATCAAGCTATTGGTTTGTTTTCCTGTGCAATGTTGTAACGTTGTCACAGGAAGCTTATTCGGTCATATAATTTTGGAATGCAAGTGTTGTCAGCCAATTAAAATTATGGATTCTTATGAAACAAACGTGTTATGATATTATATAGGTTTGTAAGCGGTCTTCGGCAAAAGACTGAAATTGTATTACATCAAAATAAAATTACCTTTTGAACCCCACTCTGTGACCATGTTGACAGAATAAGCATAGACACACACAAAGGTGGGTTCAGAAGAAAATTTTGCTGATCGAATTTCACACAAAATGTGTAATGTCAGTAAATAGATCACAGCAAGGGATACATACATTTTCTCCACTGAAAATTAAATGAAGCACAACTGAAAAAATATTGTTCAAATAAGCACTGGATTTTTTAGATTTGGTGGTGGATTAACATTGATTTAACGTTCGTGTGAAGTTGTCATGTTAATTTCATTACAATAAAACAATTCTCGGCACATGCACGCAGAAAAAATGTTACACTTGTACATAAAAATGGAGGGTACTGAATTTGGCGACTGCAACCTAAACTCATCAATATTTTGACATGACACTTACTGCTGATCTCACCTATAATTTCTCATAAACCGATTCTTTTCAGGAATTTCTATTTGTCACGAAACATTCAATGTAAAACACCAACAGCGGTTCCGTAGCATACCAAAATGGGACGCCAAACCAAATGTAACCAGTTTTCTACTTGCACTTTTCTCAAGTGTCAGTGAAGTGTGAGAGTGCATTTATAGGTAACTTTACATTTGCTTGTCGTTATTTTTGTGAAACTAAGGATGATTTGGCACAAATCATAACGAATTCTCGTGCCAAACCGTTTGCTTTCTCAAGAGACCACTAACAACCAAAGGTCAACATGGCTTCTACCACTAATGGGCATGCGTAATTAGCGAGCACTGCCGATGAATCACCGTCTCGATTAGTCAAAAGCTTCATTGTCAAATTCGTGTCCTCATCGTTTAAAGCGCTTTGACAACTTGAAGAGAACAAGATATGACGTCACTTACTTTTTTTGTAAGGCTATTTATAACTTATTTGATATCCTTTTTACAAGTTAATCAAAAAATTAAAGAAACATCTCATGAATAATTTTTTCTATTTTGAAAGTAGTAAAAAATCGGTTTATTAATCAAGACATGTAACGCTAGGCGTCCGAATTTTTCAAGATATCTAAAAATTATAATATTCTCAACGATTTATACAATACTTTCCAACGAAAAGGCAAGACTTAGACACACGGAAAGGGGGGAGGATTCAACCTACAAATTTGGGTACACAGACGTCCGGCTGGTGGGTTTGAAAAGCACCCAAATTCATATAATTCATAAGAAAGTCACAAGCCATTTTTATATATTTCCCAGCTATGATCATGTATGACATCTTATTTCAATGAGATGTTAACCACACGGGATTTGTGATTCATATTATTTTTATGAGATTAAGATATCAGACACAGTTTTTACAAACAACTGAACAGAAGATCAGACACAGTTTTTACAAACATCTTAACAGAAGATGCCCGATGATGAACATGTATGACCCATTGACCGTGATATAAATTTCTACCCATTGATATATTACCTCCGTGAAACTGCACCACATATTGATATATTTGACATTCCAAAAAAGTGACCCATACCAGCGGCACGCCTGTGTATACCTTTATATAGGAAGAGCCCCCCCCCCCCCCCCCCCCCCCCATCATCGGCGTAGACATGTCTGACAGTCGTACAAATATCATATACTTGAATACTTGGGGAGCAATATACCGCCTAGCTATGATCAAAAGGGATCGTCAATGCGGAGAATATAGCTAAATAAATTTAGAGTTAGTTGGAACGTTATATATATAGTTTCTGAATAACTTCGAATTTTATCAACGGCGAATTCTGGGGACTATTATAGTAAAATTGAGAATGGAAATGGGGAATGTATATATAATAATCCCAGGTGAATTTAAAGAAAATGTTTTATACCATATGTCACTACCGAAACACTGCCTACCCAAGTGAACTGATGCTATCTTAAATAGGTAAACAGATAGAAAATCGTAGGACTTAAAAAAAACAACAACAAAAAAAACACACAGGACGTCACAAAATTGACAGGACAATTAACAAGTCACAATAAATTACTAATTTTCAATTGTTTGCCCTATATTTGAGAATTTGAAACTATTTGAACCAGAGACATATTTCATTCAATACAATATATATGATATTTCTCTGCTTGAACTAGTTTTATGTATACATTCAGTAACATGTATTTGAAAGCTAAATTCATTAAGCAGTAACAAGTTAGCATATAATATTATATTGTTCAATAGCTAGCATAACAGGCACAGATTCAGACAGACAGGAGCACAACGGAGCGCACCTCACCCAAATAAAAAGAAAGAAGGGATCGGCTGTCAATCAGAACTCATACTATAACGTTATCTATATATTCAGATAAAATTTTCACTGTCGTAGACGTACATCGATGTATTAAAGGTTTAACTACAGCTAAATAAGGACTAATTCATAATTCATTATTCTCAGTAGCTTCCAATGGCGCTCCTAACATTAAATCCTAGATCCACAGCTGCCATGATTTGTGTGTGTGTGTGTGTGTGTGTGGGGGGGGGGGGGGGGGGGGGGGGGTAGGGAACTTACCATTTAGTGAGTGGTAGGGATGAGCAACTGCTGGAATAGGTCCCTACGTCAAGCTTCAAAGGAGTATGGTAATTATTAAGGTAGAACAATTATGATGTAATATACGAAAAGGTTGCTGATTGAATCATTAGTATCTAAAACTAATCAGATGTCGATCACAGATACAGTTAAAACCTTAGTCGTAATTTCATCAGATATTTGTCGAATCTCATAATCTCTCTATGAAATAGCGTAATCATGATAGCTATAGGTATATTTTAAACAACCAAATATGAAAAGGGTGCGATAATGAATGGATGTATCAACGGCTCACCCCTACCACTAAAGAATTGAAGAGTCCCCTTTCCGAGCAGTCAATTAACCAACCACATAGATAGACAAATCGGTTTTCTAAACAATTGATACATCGTAATTTTTTTTTTACCAAAAATTTGGGTTACAAAAATTTAAAGTTGTTTAATATATGATTGTTCAAGTCAATAACATTAGTTTTATTAATCAAAGACACACTTATTGCTAAACTGAACTGTGACTTTCTGCCCTTCCATGATTCTCCTAAATGTCATTATATCCCAGGCGAGCAGATTAACTTGGACTTGCAGCTGCAGGAATGCATTCAAAGACACCTCGCCCCTCTAAATTAAGCACATATTTCAATTGATTTAGATCTATCCTTAAATCGCAAAGGGGGCCTTAAGCGGCCCAAAAGTCCATAGCCGATAAAGATTTCGTGCGCCGCCTCACTTCAAGTCTGAAATCGGTATATTATCAATTCAAAAGTGAGCTGTTGTTTTATTAGTTGTTGTGATATGGATCAAAATTTGTTATTTTATAGCGTGTCTTTCTATGTTGTGATGTTACACTATTGTTTCAGAAAAAGGGTGAAGGTTTGGTACCATTAAAACGTTTAAACCCGCTGCATTTGTTTGCACCTGTCCTAAGTCAGGAATCTGATGTTCAGTAGTTGTCGTTTGTTGATGTGGTTCATAAGTGTTTCTCGTTTCTCGTTTTTTATATAGATAAGGACGTTGGTTTTCCCGTTTGAATGGTTTTACACTAGTAATTTTTTGGGGCCCTTTATAGCTTACTGTTCGGTGTGAGCCAAGGCTCCGTGTTGAAGACCGTACTGTGACCTATAATGGTTTACTTTTATAAATTTTGACTTGGATGGAGAGTTGTCTCATTGGCACTCATACCACATCTTCTTATATCTATTTGTTTCAATTTAGTTACTGGCAAAGTCTTTAAACAAATTGTCATGATGACTGATAAGTCAAAGATTCATTTTCGGTTTTTCAGGGAAGTTAACTTAATTTCTTATTAAAATGAATGTCCATCAAGTAATTTCGAATTATATATAATAAAAAACTGAACAGTCTGACCCCTTTCTGTAAATATTTTTTATTCAGTATTTCAGAATATAAACTGTGTGTCAAAGGTAATCTGAAAGGAAACGGGGGTTCGAATCCACTTATTGCAGAACATCTCTTTCTGAAAAGATTGGATCCGCCATTGTGAAAGTAACAAAATGATTAACTATTTTGTAAATAAAGAGGTGAAGCCATCCTATAAAGGGAGCAATCTAAAACCATAAGTCAAAGAAACAAGACTGTACACCAAAAGAGAATCTACGAACAGACAATGAACAGAAAATTCAAGAAAACATTAACCATGCAGAAAAGAAAAGATTGAGCAACCGTCACGAACCCAACTAAAATAACTTGGTTGAACTTATGTGATCTGATAGTCTGAGTAAATGTTCCTGCTCCGATAAGCAAGTAAGAATTCGGAATAAGTCATTTGGTAATAGCACAATCGGAAATATTTTAGCTTCAATATTAAAATAAGGGATTGTATCAGAGTTGATAACTTCACCCAAAACAAGATAAAATAAGCATAGTAGTGTAGCATGTGGTATAAAAATAGAAAATTGAATATTCAGTGCAAACAATGGAAAAATACTATTCACGTTCCCAAGAACCTGTGGTATTGTAACCTTACGTCAGTGACGGGTCGTCAAGCAAATCGCGATAATGTGACCGCAAAAGCTTACGGAGGGATGACTTCAGCTTTACTATTTAGGAATTACTAGTTCAATGGCTTCCATGTAAGCAGACTCCTCTACCAAAGGACATAATTATGAAACGAAAATCATGCTCAGTCTGTGATAACTTATCAAATGGCCATTGGGAGATATATTTCTCAATATGCAGTCGCTTGTTGAAACGTTGTTACAGAAATGAGAAGTTCACAATGAGAAAATTGCAAATCAAGTTTTTTTCGTAAAGTTTAGTTCTCCTCAAAATCTATTACAGAGAACGATTTAAAGAGGTTTTCTAGACAAAAAATGGGTCAGGAATACATAAGTTTTGTCGTATGGTTGCTGTCTGATTGGTGTAAACCCCACATCTGTAGTACATGTAATTGTATTAGTTATGACCAACCAAGGTTGGTGCATGTCTGAACTTTCCAGAATTACCACGTTTCTAGGTTGATTATCGTGCGATCCATCTTTATTTGATAAACATCTGACAACGTAACATGTGGTGCGTTTGGTTCCGGTGAAAGTAAACAGTTGAAAAAAGATACCTGATATGTTTTACTCTTTACTGTTCGGTATGGGTTTTGCTTATTGAAAAATGCTGTATTGTGATCCTGTAAATGTCCAATGTTCACATCTTTGACCTTTAATGGGTCTATGGATACATAGTTGTCTCATTGACAATCAGACCACATCTCCTTATTTTAATATAATTTTACAAAGAACTTTAAAAAAAGTGAGGGGGGGGGGGGGGGGCCGGGCCCCCCTTTCGTGGGAAAAATTTGGTTGATTATATAGGGAATCACTGAAGCATGACTGGAGCGGGCCCTCCCTTATGAAAAGTTCTGGATCCGCCACTGATATGCGGACATTTTTAATGAACAATATTCACAAGAAAAAAATCTGTGCTAGAAGTGTTTGGCTGAAATCATTATTCCTGAAAAATGTTGAATTATGTTGAATTCAAAAACGTGAGAAAGGTAAACGGTCTCCTAGTCTTACACCTCGTGGCAGGTGCGTTCGACTCCGATCTTAATTAACTAGGATTGACAGTTTTCCAGCCGAAGGTTGGCGATACTCTCTGGCTTCTTCTATCCGCCGTGATGCAGTTGCAATTGTGACACATATCCCCATACTTTGACTTAATGCTTGTGCATGCTGACACAATCGCAAGACTCTTAAATGTTTTTTAG